ACCGCGCTTTATTCTAAACAAAGACGTAAAATCCAATTCATCTAATTAAAATCTTCGATTGCGTCTCCTTTGCAAACAAGGTAATTATAATACAAAATTGGAGATGTCCGTGTTCAAAGCAATTGGATTAGTTTTATCCGTGACATTCTTTGTTTGTCGTGCAAGTACAAACGTCGTGGAAGATTTTTTGTTCATCTATTTAAAGCAACTCTGCTATAATACATTGGTTTGGTTCCCGTGCTTGGTTTAATACCGCACAGTTATTTGGCGATCTCATATGTAGTTATTTGTCAAACAGAAGTTTTGGTGTTTATCTATGTAAAGCAACTGGGCTATAATGCGTTGGTTTAGTTCCCGTGTTTGGTTTAATGCATTGCCTTGCCTTGCGTCATCCAATGCCAGGCTTAGGTGAAACATGAACGTATTCAAAGTACCAGCGTTGATGATCTACAATTGCAGTCAACAGGTTTTGTCCAGACAAGCCAGTTTCTTCCTAAATGATGTTCTTGATGGTGACAAACGGGCGCCCAATTCTTCTTTTTGCTGAGGGTGTCCTTAGCAGAAGCTCACCAGAGGGTTCTTCGTGACGACTAACATGGCTCGCAAGAGTCAAACGCCACTGACGATCCGTTTCAGACACACGAGGAAGCGTACCGTACAGAGATATGTTAGTAGGATAGCTTTTCCAAGATATGTCATAGGCGTGTCTAAGCTTTCTTGTGTATGTGCCGTCGAGAGGCTTTTTATATTTCACATTTAGCGTCCATGAATCTGACTTGTAGAGAAGGATGGTTTCTATGGAAGCCTTAAACACTTTAACCTATGTTGAAGTTTTCTTTAGCCTCATTAAGTTTTGTTTTAATTGCATTCAGCTAATGTAAAATGCGACGTTTGAAACAGGCTTAAAGTTTCGCTAATTGTTTGAGAAGGTTTCGATCTCCGAAGAGATTGTTTTGTTATCCGAAGAGGTTCTTTTGCCACGCAAAACATGGTGATTAAAAAAGCAAGTAAATACTAAACACGAAAAGCTTAATCTTGAAACATTAATGGTTTCAATACGGAATCATTGCAATGGCCAAACCCAAACGCGATGGCGTTACTAAGGGCAATCGTAACCTAATCGCTAATTGGATAGTTCTAAAAGAGCGTCTCTGAATGGCTAAATGTTACACACGGCACGATAGGGTAGAATAGAGTAGAGTAGAATACGGTACGCTTGCAATAACAATATATCTGCTTCGCAGATAGAAAAACGAGAAGATTGATTCATATTATTTATTTGGATTAGTCATACAAAGATCCTTTGCTTTCATCTGTTATACGACGTTTTGGTTTGTAACTTTTACCAAATCAGATCGTAGTTGTTGATAACGTGCTTGATGTTTTGAAAAAAAGCACGTTGTCAGGCATTGATCTTTGATTTACAAAACTTTTCATCGATAGTTTATCTAAAGGATGCATCTGTTCTGTTTTCTCAGGTATATTTTTGTCGTTAATACTGAGAAACGTCGAGTTGAAGCCTCTTACTTTCTCATCTAATTCTTATACAGAATAGACCTCAGACCAATCTTCAAGAGCAAATTAATTTCTTAAGACACATAGATTTTCATGAAATAAATCTTTTACCTGCTTGGGAGTTGCCAGTTCTTTTTTCTTTCTGTTTTGGTACTAAAAGAGGGCTCTGGTAATCAGAGCGCCCCAATGGTGGTAAATGGCGTATCGTAATGTACTTATCTCTCCCATTCTTCATGTATTGATCAAAGATGTTTCTTTCTGTAATTCACCCTTTGATAGATTTCTCTAAATTGAAACAATTATGTTAAGTGGTTTCTTTCGGCACTTTGTCTAGGTGAATAATAAAAATAGCGTTAAAAATCTATATAACATTAACAACTATTTTACACTTTATAGTTTCCTTTTAATACCGTAAAGTCCCTTTTCTGAATGCAACTATTTAATTGTCAATAGCTCCAGTCCACTATTTGTCTCTCAAACACGATAAACTTGTCAAATTTGATACAATAACTTGCATAAGGTACTGATGCATTTTATAAACATTTACCCAATTCCTTTAACTCCAGGTCATTTACTTTATAATTGCGATCGTTAGAGCAAATACTTAAAAAATAATACTTGTCACTTTAAATTTGAATACCTAATGAGGAGGTGATGAAAATGATTCTTTGGCATTCATCACTTTACGCATACTACTTCTTTGTTGCATTATGCACACAAATATACGTCCTCTTTCATTAGGTTGAATTTCATTTGATACTTTACGGTGTCTCTTCTATGCAAGAAGCTATAATATTGGTAATAAGACAGACATTGCCATTATTTCTCAAATGTTCAATTTTATATCTTTAGAACAAAATGCCATAGAAAAGTCTTTTCAACTGCACAAAGCAGTAGCTAATAACAAACGGGAGTTAGCTCATCAAACACCCATTCAGGTCACTAAAAATTTAATTTTCTATAATTGCAAATCGTATTATATTCAAACCATTCAATAAAAATTACAATTACTTGTGAATCATGCACTTATTTAGTAAATTATACTACATAGATATAAACTAGTGTGTACTAAACTGCGTATAATGAAAAAAGTTCAGATATAAATTGCATAACATTTTACTTAGTGAATTAATTTATACTTATAATATATGAATACTATTTGGTTGAATATGTGGAAGCGAGATTTCTTCAACATTTTGTCAGAATAGAAAAACAAACGCAGAGATTGAGAATTAAACTTTTCTTTAAGCAATACTAATCGCAACCAGTGACGTTAATTATACCAATTATGCTCTTTACATGTTTGTAAATGTAGATCATCCAGGTTGGTATAGTCCTGAGAAGGACTGTTTTTGTTCTTTATTGGACTATACCAACCTGGACGATCTACATTTACAAACATGTAACACTACTCCCGGGTTCAAACCATTTACTTAATTACGCTCTTTCTTTCAGAGCCTTAAGTACGCAAGAGATGAGACAGTAGAAGTAAAACTGCCGTCAGAATATAAAGCATTAAATGAATGAAAGACGACAACTGTGCTGTGCTTTCTTACTTATGCAAATAAAGAATAATCGGCAGTAGTTTGTGGATATCGTAATAGTAGAAAAGCACTTCTTCTATACTGTGTAGCTATAATTTACACGTCATTCATAACTGTTTTTGCCCCAAGAGACCACGTAAAAATATATCATTTATCGCTTTCCATGGTAATAATAAAACCACAAGATAAAACCATTTTATAGAATTTTTAAATTCGATCTCTATACAAAAACTTGATTTGTAAAATAAAAATAATAAAACGGGTATGTTGGTTGGCATATAGCTGTGTTTGCATTAGTTTGTACAAGCTAATTTGAGCTCAACCAATCAAATCAATTAATCAATTAAAGAGAATTTTCTAATTAATCATGAATACATTTTACGGGAAATACTAAAACGTTTGTTTTGCATTTGTCTGTTTTGCGTTATTGTTGATTTATAAAGGAAATAATTATAAAAGGTGTCTTTTGTTTTTGCCCTGGCAATGTAAGATGCTTAATTTTGTGACTATTACAGAGAACAAACTGCAAAAAGAAATTATATTGCAACTTTTAGCAAGTTTTAGTATTTTCTTGGAAAAAACAGTAATTTTCAGGAAAAAAAGGTGTGTGTGGTAGATTCAGACCCTGTCCACAACAATGCGTTTTTGAACGCTCCATTTTCATCGAAGTAAAAATGCATCGTTTTCATTGCATTCACACCAGCGTTTTTATATCGTTTTTGGATGTATACACCAAAACTCTTGAAAGCGACGAATGTGTGATATATTTAACTGAACATGTTTATACAAAAAACGCCCACGGTTGTTGTGACATCAAGTGCCATTTTCGCCAATTCAGAACGTCATTGACGTCATCGTTTTTAAAAGGCTCCGTTTTTGACTGTCCACATTAAAACAAAACGCATGCGTGTTCAAGTTGATCCACTTTGGAGAGCGTTTTCAAAACGATGCGTTTTCATTAGGCAGTGTATCCATTTTTGAGCGTTTCAATGTGGATGGAGGCAATAACGCATCAAAAAGAATGCGTTTTCAAAGAAGAAAGCATTAGTGTTGGCATGGTCTCAATTTGTTATAGCGAGGCTGAGCGTTTTCTGCTAGTTACATCACTGATTGGATTGTATGCAAAGTGACGTGAAGTATAAAATTATGCACAAAATTACATATTCAAAAATTAAATACACTGATTAAAAAATTGCATGGTTAAAACCTAATGTACGCTAACAAATTAAAAAGACATGGTCTTATGGAAAATCCTAGAACGAACTCAATCATTTCGTTCTAAAAAATATGTTTCAATTGAGCAATTACAGAAATATTGACAGCGATAAGAAATCACATTAAAATGTTCCAAAATATACCAACGTAAAATAGTAATCTTCATGTTTTAACTCAAACTGTTTTCCTGAAAGTCTGCCTTCAGGCTCCCTCATTGCGGAAGTAAATCATTTAACTAAAGTGGGTCTACGTTTAAACTATCCCACTTTTGCTCGACAACTTTAAAAGAATAAGGTGGCTTTGCTGCAAAAGAAGTGATGTTTTGAAACATATCTACATCGGTCCATTAATTGAGTTGTTTCCTCAGGTAGCAAATTGCCTAGATCTTTTAAATTTATACAAACATTATCAATAATTTTCTCGACACAATAAACAGACACATCGACATACCCATCATATACTCACAACTAAAGAAAAAGGACAAAAAAACTTCAAACAACACTAAAACTAAAACACTACACTCTAATATTATTAACACCAATCATATTCACAACACACCAAAACCAATGGCAACGCATTTCACCCCATCCAATCACATTAATCCACCCACTAATCCAATTAGACGCTCTAAACGTGTCCAAGCTAAAAGCATGTGTAAATAAATATCCTCATTCTAATGAAGGCTCAAAGCAACGAGTCAAAAGCTCAATAAAAATCACTTATAAATCCGGAGAAACTTTTATCTTTTATGTATTAAATGCCTGGATTACAAATTTTTAAACTTATAGTAAAATAACTATATTGCATACTATAGGTGTAGGATGTGAATTGGATGTGACGTGTTCTGTATCTTTTACTAGTCATTTGAAAATGTATAATTTTTAGTGGTGAACTTACTAAATATAAACTAAAATGCAAAGCTTAAATTCAATCCAGTTTTGCTTTCTTTTAACCGTTTACACAACATCCGGAGTAGTTAAGCGTAATGTGAGCTAATTATGTAAAAGTATAGAATAATCTAGTGAGCTCCTTATAAAATTGTAGTGTTATCACTCCAAAATTAAGTTATTTGAATCATAGGCGTAGCCAGCCTGCAAATATGGTCCTGCTACGTTAATTTTTCCGTGGTCACTCCCTGTAAAAACAAAAGATTTCTAAAGAAATGAATAATGCTAATTATCTAAAATTTAAATGACACGACCAAAACTTGCGGCCTGGATATGCCTCTATTTTGAATGTTTCCTATAGACTTCTTCCATCCAAAGTTTTTTTGGAATGTATGGAGCTCACTGAGAAACGGGAACTTGGTGCAATTAATACTTTTTTAATATGAGCTAGGGTTAGATGCATTCTCATCCTGATTTTCTTTTGAACGATCAATAAAGCAGTTCTTGTTTTTGTAGTGCTGCAATAAGGCAGACCATACCCCTGTGCGACAGGCATCGATCAAGTTTGCATTTCCTGAAAATATACCAACACATCCGCTGCAATACAGCTCAACTAACCATGGCGTTCTTACAAAAAACAGGGGCTCGGTCAAATCGAAATATCGAGGAAAGGAAAGTTTTCCACAGCGGAATAATATTGTCATAACGAAAAGTACACAAAGACAAATGGTGAATATAAGAAAATGATAAAGGCAACGGAATACTTTTTATGTATACACATAGGTGCTGTCATGATAACATTAAACTTAAATTTCAAAAGCTAAATATCAAGAAAGCTAAGATTTTGCAGTTTTTCTCTAGCTTTCACTTTTAATTTATAAAATTTTCCTGTAAACACTGGTCAAGTCAACTATTATTTCAAATCAGTATTGCAAAATTGCGCACAGTTTGCAGGTGCAGCTTAAAAAACTAAAAAAATTTCTTGACAGTAATAATGATTGTTCTTCCAAGAATAAGAATGTAAAGCAATTATCTTCGTAAACGTGTTACAACTGTATGTTGTTCATTTGCGCTTTGCTAAACATAATTGCTTATTTCCTATACGTTTTCAAACTTAGTCTAAATTCTGAGCAACTCTTGTATACGTGCATGAGTTTCTTTTTAGGAAGTCTGTCCTAAGGAAATCTATTTATCAATCTATTGTACAGATTTTTATATTAGCGGCGGAACATTCACAATTAGGGGGATGGGGGTGTTGGGTTAAATTCATATATTCATATTACAATCCGTAATCACAATTGATTTCAATGGAAAGTGATAAAATAAAATATGCATAAATGCAGATTCTGAAGTTTTTCACTCATTTCTAAATGAAGTTTTACCACAATTCGCTTTTCAAGCAAGCTACAACTAGGAAGCTTTGGATCGCGTTTGACAGCGTTTTGAGCAAGAAGTTTAAAGATTTCAAACTGGACTACAAAGAAAACATGCACTTAAACCCATTTGAGATATTTTGAACTATTTTTGCCTTACGAATTTTTTTTTTGAATAATCTGGAGCATTTTACGGCTGCGCCTTTCGGAGTAAAGCGGACACTTGTGTTACTTTGAACACTGTATTTTTGGAATTATTTGAGTCATTGATTTTTTGTGTTTATTTAAACTGAAAGAGATGCAACATTTTGTAAACCACAAACTACGAAATGCAACCACAAAACACAATTGTTATAACTCCACATTAGACGCTTAGTAAAAGCCAACTATAGTGTGTTTTGGCGTTATGTCTTTTATTACAGAGTAACTCCTAATAATTAAGTATGGTGTAGGGATGAATAGTAAAATATAAAATATGGATTCCAAATTTTTTTTAAACAGCATTTAGTCAATCTATTCTAGTTGAATGTGACATCTAGCACTGAAATTATCATCATTGTCATTTCCAAGGTAAACATCAAATCCACGAAGTTCATCATCATCATAATGCATTCGTAACAGCTCTCATCGTTATTATCATCTCCAAAATATTGCATTCCGGCCATTAATAGAGGAGCACAAATGGGTGCATTTGAAATTAGCCCTTTTGCATGGTCAAGTATTTAGTTTTACACTTACATTCAGTATAGAGATTCAAAGATTGATGAGCGAGTGGAGTGCTATCTAAGTTATAGAAGTCCTCTATCGTCAAAAGCCATGGTAAGAGAATATCTATTCGTCCATATCGGAAATATGCTGTATATATATAAGTTGTACTTGGCTATTGCATGGAAGAGACAATACATCATCGAAATATTAGCCCAACATAAAAAAGGGGATATCTTGAGTGAGTCGTTTGTATGAATCTAGATGTTAAGTGTTTGTGTAAGATTGAATACTCGACCATGTTTTGCTTTTTCCAAAACGACTAACTGAAAATGCAACTATTTGTGTTTTTGCTGTGATTGGCAGAATGCACGGATTGAAGATGATGCCGATGAAAAGGGTTGCAAATCATGATGACGACTATGAAGTTAGTGGATTTGATCTTCATCTTAGAAATGACGAAATTATTAATTTTGTGAAGCTAGATGCTACGTAGAATGGAATGACGTAACAGTTGATCAGGAAAACTAAGTTTAATATTGTATATTTGAAAGTTTATGTCTACTCCCTATGGCATGCTGGCAGGGGGGGCATTTGGCCACTTTGCCTCTACCTATTGTTCTTTTGGGGACGAAGAAGGGAATATGGGCGTCAAATTCTGTTAATGGGTTAATAAAACCTATTTGAAATGACACATAATTTTATCAGCCAAGAATTCAACAAAAAGACATTTTATGGCTTCTTAGTTTAAAAATTTTTCTAAGACAGCATTTCTTCGGACCACCATGGTATTGCTCGAACCTATCATGCGTGGTTCTAGCGTTTGGCACTCATCGCTAAAGTATTATACTTGTAAGGAGAGAGCATTTTATATGAAAAGTGATTGCCTCCCAGTAAGATTCTTCTTAAAACCCCACAGCCTACTTCATACTAAATGGCTATGAGTAGGGCCATACTCAAAGTTTATTAAGTTTTGTGATACAGTTAATTCAGTAAATAAATATTAGGTTGGTAATGACTTACGATTTTTGTTGTGCTCCAGTGTTTTATGTATATAAAGGAGATAGTGGCAGAACTCACTATAGTTAGCCATTTGCAAGGTGTTACAAAGCATATAAGGTGGAATGAGAACAATTCTTTTCTGGGGTTACATTCCATAGTTTGTTGTCCGCAATGTTTTGCATCTTTTTCATCCAAATCAACAAACAAAAAATTAAAAATAAAGAAGAATTACAGTGTTCAGAACTAACACAAGTGTCCGCTTTACTCCGGAAGGCGTTGCCGCAAAATGGGAGAAAATATGTTCCAGATCATCCCAAAAAATTTTCATCCTAAAGCAGAAATAGTTCAAAATATTTCAAATGGGTTTAAGTGCATGTTTTCTTTTTAGTCCAGTTTGAAAACGTTAAATTTCTTGCACAAAACGCTGTCAAATGCGATCAAGTGACTCCTAGCTTGCCTGAAGAGAGGATTGCGGACAAACTTCATTTAGAAATGAGTGTAAATCTAGAGATACTGTATTTTATGTCATATCCTACATCAAATATGGTGATAATTGCGTGATCAAAATTGCGTCATACGATTGCGAAAGATATAACTTATTAAAATTTCATTGGTGAAATACTCAAAAACTGCGGATCTTTGAAGGCGGAAACAGATTAATTTACACTTTCTATGATATAGCCTAGTTATTTATCATGTTAAAATGTAGTACCCGATGGGGGGCAACGAAAGTTAACGATAATTGGCCAAAGAATACGGCGTGATATGAATAATATTCCCCCAATTATCGATGAAATGCCGCTGATAAATGGGTTACCCACTACCAGCAGGAATTTCTCTAGAGTTACTTTGCAATCCCGTTATGGTTTATTTTCGAAAAGCAACTTCTTACATACCTATTATCACGAGGCCTTTCTTTGCTCGTGTGAGAGCAACGTTTACTTGATTTTCATCCATTATGAATCCAATATGTTCATCAAGCCATGTCTTTGATGGATTCTTTTCAATCAAACTTTCGTCAAGTGACCTTACCAATGACAGAATAACGTAGTCACTCTCGCTTCCTTTTGTACAAAAAAATATATTTTTTAGAAAATAGCAAGAAAGTAGCTTTTTTTGAGGCATGTGCATGTCCTAACGTACATTTGTTAAAGCCGCTTTCTTATAAGAGAGTGCATACTTCTCGAATTAAACAAATTGTATTTTTTAAGAAAACCCTTTTTTTAAGAGACTTTAAGAAATAGTTTTTTTGTTTTAAGAAAATTGTTCTTAAGACAAGAAATATATTTTCTTAGGAAATTAAATTTTTGCTGTGTCATATTAGGGCCCACCGTTTCTCAATGGATTTATCAAGCAGACAGGCATGATAAAAAATATGAAAAATACTTGCCTTGGGCGGCAACAACTGTTGACACAGACACACTGTTAAGGCCAGTATTTTTTAGCTGCTTCTCCAGTTCATAACATTGAGCACGATAGGGTGACAGAATAAGGATGCTTTCCTCAGTAATACCTGAATCCTTAATTTCGCTTGCAACACGAATCTACGGATATACATTTCATGCAAAAACGTTATTAATCATTATATTAGAACATAATACCAATAATTTTTAGAATTAATCCTTTACTAATAAAAAAATCATGTGGAAAGGCTTAAAAATAGTGATTAGCTCTACAGATCCATTTTAGTTGTAAAACGAGCACTTTGCAGCTTGGTTAGTATGAAACATACTTAAGTTGTTTTGTGATGATTTAAAAAGCACTTACAACTTCCTTTATCTCCTTTTCATTCTTTTTTGAGTTCTCATTTCCTTTATCTGTGCTAATAATAAGTGATTCTTCGTGCCCTTCAACATGATTAAAGGCAAAAGGAAAGGAGTTGCCATTAGGCCATTTGTATTGGTCTGGTTTACGGCGTTTGACAATTTCAGCTGTCTCAAGTTTTCCGTCGTAGGATCTTTGAGATGGAAAGTTACAAATTTCTTTATGCTGCAACAAAACAAGATTAAATTAGAGAATAATGCCGTTTTGTACAAACAGTATATCTTTATTGCATCTGATCCCTCAAAACAACCAACATTAAGTCTCGCCTTCCTTAATTGCAAATCTCACGCATTGCATACATCAGCTTGTGCACGTCTTGTCGATTGCTAACTCGTATCTCTTTCTTAAGAACTTTTGGAAATTTCTAAGTATATTTTTTAAGTTCATTTATCTTTTTACACACCAATTTTTTGCTTTTTATTTAAAACTGGTATAAAGCTTTACATAGATAAAGTTTACACGCAGCTGATACCACCTTCATGCTTGTTAGCCTACTTAACGCATTGTTATACAAATTACGAAGAAAAGAATTTCTCATATTACAAAACATTAGTGCACAACTCTTAAAATTGATTTCAAAACTGTCTAATCTACTTTCTTTGTAGATTTTCACATGCTGTACCGTACAGTTTTGCTAGAAGTTTGGGGTAAATAAAGCACTTGCAATTGATTTAATTTAAATACAAAATGCTTGAAGAAAATTAAACTATTTTTTATTTTGACAGTCATTTAAGCTCAAAAACTTTTTTGCACTATTCTCTTCTAGTTAAATAACAGCTTATTCCTGCCTTACGTGCTTTTGTTTGCCTCTTTAGTTTTGCAAAAATGTCAATTGCTGAGCTAAATTTAATGTCGTACTGTTCATGTCAAAACATTTATCTTCATCTCTTAAAAGTTGTTTTAATATGATTCTTTTAAACATTTTTACCATTTTTACGTATTAAAATTCTGATCTAGACTTTTTGATTGTTATTTTCTTGAAAACGACTTGCTCTATGTAACTCCTAAATAACAAGCCTTACAAAAACCGTATAATACATTTTCGACATCATCAAAAACTATAAAAGCAAAAGGATGGAAACGACACGTCCATGCCAGCATATTAAGAAATTGCTGCAGCTTATTTATGAAAATTATTTATGGGAATTAGGTTTATGTTTTCACGTTTGATGAAATTTTGAAATTTTGTTGTATTTGGTTTCTTTTGTGTTGTTGAAGGCTCAAAAGCCGGTCTTGTGCAACAATGCTATTAATGTAAAGCATGAAAAAGCTCAGCTCATTTTTTTATTTCGTTCAGCGAGTGAAACATTTATCCAAAAAAACTCACCATTCTGTACTGTAATTTCAGCATATTGGCTTTTTTTGAGTATCGTTCAAACATAGAAACTCCGAGACCCAGTTGTTTCGCCTGTTTACATTTGATAATTGGCTGAAGCTGCTTGTGATCACCAATCAGAACGACTTGCTCGGGTTTTGAGCCTAACATACCGCAAAGGGTCTCTGCCTCGATACACATAGCGCTTTCATCAATGATGCATTGACTCACTAAATCCTCACACGGAGACATAACACGTCTACTGTACGCTATGGTACATGTCGCTAATATCACTTTGACATTGTTTTCTGTCATGGCCCACTTTTCAGCCTTGGCTTTTTCCTTATGATAAATAAAAACAGTATGTAGACTCTTTATAAAAGCGAAATTTCATCATTAGTCAGTCTTATAAATAATGAGTGAGATAGCATTGAGAAAATGTGATCAATGTGTGAGGAGAGACGTTAAAATATGCGTTAACTTGCAGTATTTAAGAAATCACATTAGCTTACACAAATGATATAAATTATTAAAAAAAATCTTTCCTATTTCAGTAGATCTACCTTTTCATAACTTGCAATTTCCTGTCGTGTAGCAAAACCACCTTCGCTAATATATCTCTTAAATGTCTCATCAAACTCCTTGATTTTCTTGGAAAAAGGACATGTGTCGCTGCGTATTACATGATGCAGAGAAACGTCTTTAAGTTTTGGGTCACACGCTAGTTGAGCAGACGAATTTTTCAATCGAAAGGCTGACAACTGATCAGCAACGGGAAAGGTCTTTCGCTCAATTTCTTGTCCATAGATTCGCAAAATGGGAAAATCGGGAATTTTCAATAAATAATCTGCAAATTATAAGCTATGTTTACACTTACGACTTAATATTGTCTTAAAATTAAATTTGTCTGCAAGAACATTGATGTAATACAGAGCTTTGGCTACTCAAACAGCAAAAAAATAAATTCTAACGCTTCAATTTCATAGGATACGATCATGTTTCATTTTCCAAATATTCATACTTAGTTTAAATGTCTTATGCAGCAATGACCTTTCCTAGTTTACGTTACATGTCATAAGAATTTCCCAGTCTGGTCTAAAACGTCTTAGATGATCAAGCGAAAGAGTCCAAGATGTTTATCACGATGCAAACATGTTACGGTTTGATAATTTTACTAATAATCTCATTTGCGTTCTTTTTATATTCGCTCAGAGCAGTACATCTTATACTTCATTAAAAAAAAGCAATGTGATTGAATTCTCTTTTGTTTAAAATGTCTAAGAAAGTTGAGAAGCATCACAATTAATTGGTCCTGCCATGCAAATATTTTCGGGTTTACTAGCAATATAAATAATACATTTCTAAATAAATGCTGAATAAAAGTGCTCCGAATTTTAATAGCAATTGTAAACTTACCTGATTAATGCGATTCTATCGAAGTTGGAAATTTTGTTCCACTGAAATTTGCGCAGTTCAAAAGAAAATGGTGTATCTGTATTTCACAATACTTTACACAGATTGGATTTTTGTCATTTATAATGAGAAAGAGCCTGGACTTACAATATTAACAACCAAGCAGGTATTTTCACGGAATTTTGAGAAGTAATAAATTATATACGTACGTGCAACCACATCAACTGACTTGTTTGAAGGTCCAAGATAAAACACAACAGCGCCTTTATAGCCCTCATCATCTTTCTTTTTAACAGCTGAAAATCGTAACTGATTGTAGTGGGCAAACCAGTATGCAATATGTACGCCAACAACTGTTTTTCCTGTACCTATTTAACAAGTGTATCAAAAACTAGTAAAGTGTATTTGACTGCAAATAATTTTTGCATTAACAAAAGCCAGCTTTTTACTAGATAGATGTTTGAAGGTATTCATAACTGCAGTACATTTGTTCTTCAAAAATCTGTAATTCTTTTTCTTTCATATCATGAATTTCTTTGTCTTATGGTTTGTTTTTATTAAAATAGTATTAACACTTGTCAAAACTGAAAAAAACTCCAAATAAACTGTTGGTTGATTCAACACCCTATTCTAATAACGTATAATCAAGATGGTATGACGTTTTTTGTTGTGACGTCAAATTTAAGCGATGAATAACTGTGAATGAAATAAAAAAAATTCATTATAAAGGGCTGTATAAAAAAGGACCTTTAGAAATTGACACATTATAATGGTTTAAAAGCCTTTCTTTATGCTAAGCCCAAGTGTGAGCAAAATGCCGTCATCATAAAAAGCTATTCTGCCCTTGTATATTGGACATAAACTCCAACACCAAATAGATACAGTAATGTACTACTAGGTTACATAGTGATTAAACATGGAATATTTCACAAAACTTTAATTTTCAAAGATTTTCACTTTTTCACACACCGTAGATTAAATAACAACATGTTCTTGGAAAAAAACGATTTCTGAACTTCATGAAATTTACATACTTGACCAGTTTTAAGGGGGTGGCTGCACCACTGTTTGAAATGAATAAAAATGCACAGATATTTGCTAATAAAAGCTTTCTTGATTTTTGATATTAAGCTATAAAAATAGCACTTTTTTGAGGGCGAACTAGTTTGTTAATTCGAAAGCAAAGAAAAAAACGATGCAAAGTAAAATCAAAAAATGTTAAAAGATCAATTTGTTTGCATTCATCCTACCTGGTGGTCCCTGAATCACAGTAAATGAAGAATTCAGAGCATCCCTCACTGCTTTGAGCTGATACTCATTGAGTGGAGGAAATTTTTCCTCTTTTTCCTCGAAAGACAAATTTTGGGGAAGTTCATCCTCTATTAAACATAGTAAAAGAGAAAAGAACATTTTGAATACGATTAGTTAGTTAAATTGCCAATAAAAAATCAAACGACAAAATATACTATATATATGCGTAATCATATTTTTCAACTCAATTGGCTTGTACTTAAGCGAGTACTGAGTCGCAAATCTGTAAACAATGAGGAAAAAACATGATGCTAATATATTTTGTGATTTCCATCATGAGCAGCTTCCTGAAAGCAAGGTTGCAAATACATGATTTAAGGCTGACACTTGTTTGTGTGTTCTGTACACTGTGTTTCGAGAATTTTTTTATTTATCTCAAGACCAAACGCTAAAGCCAAGCACGGAGGCTCAAGTCGTACTAGGAGTACTCTTGGGCATACTCTCCTAAAAAATTTTAAACTAAGAAGCAATAAAATGTAATTTCTTTGACTTAAATAAATGAAACAGCACTAACTGTGTCATTTCAAATGTCTTTGATTAGATCAACCTGAACATTCCAAGTTCAAAGCCCAAAATTTATTTTCCGGCCCCCAAAAGGGCAACAGGTAAAGGCACGATAGCCAACTGTCATCTCCTGCCAGTAGGCTCCAAGGGAAAACTTATATAAAATCAAAAATTAAACATTGAACTTATTTTTCTTAGTCAATGGCGGCGTCATTCCATTCAAGCTCTTTTCTTCATCATCATCATCTCAAAACACTGCATTCTGCTTTCTAGCAGCCACAATTAAGAAGAACATTAGTAGGTGCATTTCAAATGTAAGTAAGTACATTTTGTTGCAAAAAACAGACGCATAAGTAGGTACTTTTTTGCAAAAAAGAGACGGCAATGCATTTATCTGTGCTTCTTGTTGTTATTACCAGAATGATGACGATAACATTTGGAGAAGCAAGATGATAACAAGATGAATTTAGTGTTATTATAGAGAATTTTATTTTAGAGACAAAGAATAAATACGTAGCTTCGAACTCAAAATATAGGTTGACAAAAAATATTTAAAATGACAGAATTAGTAATATTTTATTTGTCAAAATCAACGAAATAACATTTTAAAGCTTTTTACTTAAAAGTTTTACAGGAGAGCATGCCCTCGGTTCTTCCTAGTAAAACCTGAACCTACCGTGCTTGGTTGTGGTGTTTGTTTCTGGTTTTTTAAAGTTTCGTTCAGTTTTTAATTTTTTTGGGGAAAGGGGTCATTTTAGTAGAAATTTTCAGTAAATTAATATTAGGTTGGTATTGCTATTAACTTAAAATTTTCCGTGTGCTCATGTGTTTTATGTATATAAAAAAGAGTACGCAAGAATAAACTATAAGGTGGTTATTTGTAAGGCTTTACAAAGCACATAATGGGGAATTAGAAAATTTGTTTAATTTTGCTCTCCAATATTTGTCGTCTGCCAAGTTCTCCATACTTTTCAAGTTAAATAAAGACAAAAAAATCAAAGGGTTGAAAAATTTTCGAGTTGCAGTGTTCAGAACAAACACAAGTGTCCTCTTAACCTCAGAAGGCCTTGCCATATGGCTTTCTCATTGAACCTTCGAACACATCAAATTATGCAAAAACTTTGTTTAGAAATGTGTGTAAAATTGCAGACTCTGCGTTTTATGTCATGTCCTGCTTTGAGTATCTCGATGATTACGTGATCAAAATAGCGTCAACGCATTATTTATTCGTAGAACTTCGATAAATTCTCTCAACAGTCTTAAGTGTAGTCAAGCACGTTTAAAAGAGGATATGAACAATGAGATGATTTCTATGTAAAGTGTCCCTTTTTTGAGATACAGTATAGAAAGCAAATTGATGGGGATGGCTAAATATTCATATATTGATTTTCCCCCGCATGTCTGCCAGTAAAGTAGAATTGCGTTAAAAAGAACTTGAACACGAAAAGAGCTAAAAACTTGAACATTAATCCTTTCTGCTGTTGTAATTTTACTCAGCTTACAAAACACTAAAAAATGAATTAATTAAGCTTACTCTGAACATTATAGATGGCATTAGAGTCCTCGATACAAATATTGTGAATCAGGGATGATTTATTCTCTGGAGCCATCAACAATGCTGTGTAGCAGCGTCTGCGTCAAAAATAAACAGAATTGTAAGTCTAGACTGGAATAGGTAGGACGAAATATGCTCAAGTAGTACAGTCTGTAAGGATAAAAGCTGAATCGAACTTTAATAGGCAATTGCAAATTTGGCCTAGTGTTTCGCATTTATTATCATTATGTAGCAAGATGAGCTCTTTAGTTTTTTAATTTTTCTTTCGTTTCATAATAATTAGAAATAATGCAGTATTTTAAAATAAAAATTGCACGTAAAGTCAAAGTTGCAAGTTTTTAACGGTTTGTGAATTGAGTACAGATAGGTGCTGGCTAACCAGGATTCAACGAGGCGTTAAATGATTTTAGCAAATGGAAACGTTGATATACTTATCATCAGATAAATCTTCTAGAGCAATTTCACAATATTCTGATTTAATAACTATGTGCAACACATTTAAAACTAAAACAAACAATTTGGCCTAATTACAACAGGAATGACTTATGGCGTTTAAGGAACACTTAATTTTTACGCTTAAAGTTTTACCTCCTTTTAATGCCTCGAAATCATTTAAAGCCTCACTAAAACCCGGTTAGCAAGGCTCATACGAACAGCCTCTTAATAAGGTTTTACAAACACTTTAAATAAAAGAGAACACAAAAAATTGGTTTTTTCCCAGTGTTGTATTTTACGATAAACAATTTTCAATCAATATAATAATCCCCAATTTAGTTTGCAATTTTATTGGAATGACTGGGGGGGACATGCCCCTTCAGTTCTCTCCTTTATTGCATACTCCCCTTAATTTCATTTCATATTTTTTGAAATCTCAAAATTAGTCTTTGGAATGACTGGGGGGGACATGCCCCTTCAGTTCTCTCCCTGGCGACTCCCCTGGGTAAAAATATACTATCGCAATAGATATATTTAAATGCGCTGCTGCCTGTTAAAGTTTGATTCATCATGTTTTGGTCCTCCATGAGCTTTTACTAGTTTTTGATATGGTTTCTCATATGTAATAAATTTCATGAATCCACAATTGCTTTTTAGTTCAGACACATTTAAAAAGTAAAAATGCACAGAGGAAAACTTTTTGTGCTTAACGTTTCTATCACACACCTTTCAGGTACGCTTAATTTTATCATTTCGGCAATAACAACTGAACTGCCTTGATCAATCAACGATTGTGGGATTGGCAAAGCGCTGTGTATAAAGTCAGCCGTAAATGTACAGAATTCTTTGTCACTTTTTTGTCTCACTTTCCTTTCACATTTTTCCCAATCAGGCCACTCCATATCGTCTTCCGATTCGGAATTTTTCCTGAATGGTGGGAGGATCTGAAAATGTCCAACCCAATAACCAGCATTTGATTCGTTAATGTTAGCTGGATCTCTTATGCGTACACACAGTAAGTTAAGATGAAGTGTGCCAACGAAGTGATTTTTGATGAAGTCGTTCGATAATTGAAACTCTAGAATGGTTTTGCCTAAAGGGAATTACAGAACAAATTTAATTTACTTAAGCGATAAGAACACGATCTCAACAACGATTTCGTTTACTGACTAAGAAATTTCATATGATTTACCATGGGATTTCTAAAGGAATATAAACTGGTAGAAAAACGTATCCCAATTTTAACAAATTTCAGGTATAAACAATCAAATCACAAAGCATGAGGAACTGAACAACTGAAAAACCCACCATTGATCAATGATATGTTTGCATGAAGATTAAATAATATGATTACGTCATTTTCTGCTACGGCCGACGTCACAATTTCCATCATGAGAACAGGTTTCCACAAAGTAACATATTGTTCTATGTCATCGTAACGTTTATTGTTGTAAGGCTTGTGTGTCGGAACCTTCGCAAAACAGGTTGCTGGTAAGGTTCGATGTTCAATACATGAGTAAAATATGTTTGTAATCTTAAACAATTGAATCTCAGGTATAAGAAGACCACGCGATGCATTGGAGCATAATTGAACTGTGATTTGATCTAGCGACCTTAAAGATTGTTTGACTTGTATCAACTGATCTGTGGCAATCGTCAACTCGGAGCTTGAAGTTTCAACAAAAGTTTTTAATACATCTTCTTGGGGAGAGCGTCGAGCATTGCTTAAAAAAACAATAGAGCAGAATATTTGAGAAAAAAAGTGATATACAAGCAAAAGAAAGATTCTGAAGCATTTAGAATATAGATGATATTTGTTCCTTAAAAGCAGACATAAAGATTTTACACAAACTTTGTTAGCAACAGTTGGTAAATATGCATGTTCATAAAATTATTTTTCTGATGTTTTCATTATTTTGACTTAAATTTCGAGGAGATTTTTTGTTTAAGAAAAATAATAATGGTTGGCTTGTCTTTTAAATATTGTCGAGTTCCAAAGACAACAATTTTCATTGTAAATTAATTTCTACAACACGATTTGTATCAACCACTATTCAACTAAAATTCAATTTTTTAGTGTCAGCTCTGCATTAGTTGGCTATTTACATAGCCAGTATTGTTAAACAGTTATTAATGTAGTAAGTAGTTTCATAGCTAAAATATTATACAATCAAAACAGGTAATTTTCTTTGTCAATTCTACAAAACGGTGAAATGAATATTCTATAGCCGTAACTAGAAGGTTATTCTGGGATAGGAACGGGGGGGGTGTTGTTTATTCATATATTCATCTATGTTGGACTATTTTTAAGTGAATTTCTTTTCAACTAAAATTCAATTTGGTACAACTGAATGTATGAATAACCCCCTCAAATAATTGTTCTAGTTACGGCGCTAGAGTGATTTTCTGTGATCTTCTTGTCCGCGATATCAGTTCAAAATAATTAAAACACAAGCCACGTACATTCACCATACTAAAAAGTCATCGAGAATCAATTTAAGCATATAGACTATAAATCGGTTTTCAATACTTATATAGCTGAAGCTTTTTCTACAATTACTTCATTGTAAAGTAATTCTATTAGGTAAAAATTGACCAGTCGTAACATATTTATCTACGCTCTAAAAACTAAATACACACATAAGAACTGTACTTACCCCTTATCTTGAAAGCATTTATTCACTCGCAGCAAAACACTATTTAGTTTGTCCAGTCTGTTTTTCTTTATTGCTTCAAGTATTTGTTTCCAATCGTTCAGCGATAAAGAGAAATCATCATCCTCAGGCGCCTGGGTTGATACTTCTTATGAAAAAATAATATGAACATAAGTTTGCAAGTCATTCAAATGAATTGACGTTTACTCATAACATACTATCTATTGAGTAAAAGTTGGGCATCCAGAAATATGTAAGTATCAATGGATTATGATTTGTAGACATTAACCGAAGATGATATAACAATTTATAAAAACAGTCACTAAAAACGCAAAAGTATTCAGGATATTCATTCTATTTAACTTTTGTGAATCGCATATATTTTATTCGGACATCGTTATTGTTGGAACAAAACGCGTTTTTCTTTGGCTGCTGAAGATGAAAAAGTCCTCATCAATACGTTATGAAGAGAAATTTTCAAGGTGAAGCATAGTTTTGATTTTAAAATACGCAAAGAAAAAAAAAATGAATATAAATCAGTAGCAAAAGCAGTCTGCAAGTTTTAGTCCTGCTATGTATCTTCGAATTTTTTTTTGTTTTTACGGTGACTGAACATCAAAATATGTACATTTCATTAACTAACTAGCGGGCTGGCTACGACAATGATATTGACCTGTGATTCAATTTCGTTTTTCGCAAAGTATATAGAAAAAAAACAAAACAGGCAAGCCATATTTTATTTAAAATTTCCGTCATCATGCCGGATTCACTGAAAAAATTCTATAATCAAAAACTATTATCACTCCATGTAAGACCTGTAGATTTACAAAAATCTTCTTTGGCGATACATTTCAAAAACCAAAAATAACAGCTCGTTGGAATCAATAAAATTCGAACAAGAAGCAAAAAATTTATATAATAATGCTAAATTCCTATCAAAACGACAACACATAACTTAGGTACTCGTTTCAAATGCAGTTATAATGATTGAAAAACTTACCTTCTGATTGGAAGTTCCATTTTTTCCTCAAATTTTTCGACACATACTTTCGCAGTTTAGACTGCAAACGATCTTTGCTTTCAAATCTTATCAAACGAAATTTCCACTGAAGTTTTATCTTATTTTCTTCTTCTTCAGGATCAATACTAAGTCCAAGTTTTGAAGAGGAAATAGAATTGCTAGAATATGAGTCAAGTGTTTCTTTCCCAAAAAACAGCTGGAAACTTTCTATAGTGATGTTATCAACATACGCAGAAACAAATTTGCCTGAGCTCGACTTTATATCAATGGCCAATTTCAGTTTTTTTGAATCTCTTTCAAATTTTTTCGAGTTTTGATGGACGTAAGTGCAATGTTCACAAAGTTGCGTAAGATTCTCTACACTTATAACGTCAGTTTCATTCTCCAAAGTTGCGATAACAAGACGATGAGCAACAATATCGATATATCGACGAATTGGTGATGTGAACTGACAGTAAGAGTTGAGTTTTAGACTTGAATGACCGTGTAATAGAGTTTTCAATTTTTTTCTGTTTTCGTCTTCATTCTCAGATGTTGTGTCCGAAGCGTTACTGGATGAATTTCTTTCATTTGAAGAAATTGCTGTCCATGGATAAGGAATGTAGTCAAAATTCTCCCCAGAACAAACATACCTTCCTCTTTGCTGTATTTTTCGTTTGCGCATGGCAGCCAATGCTAGATGAGGAAAGTGATCGACATCAGAAAGAACCTTTACTATTTGCTTGAATCCTGCACGCATCTTTACTTTTTCTATCAATTTATTCCATGTTCGGCGGGGGACCCGAATTTCTGTGACATCTGTTTCGTTAGCTTTTAAAGGCTCTAAATCCTCATCTTGCATTGAGAGATCAAACAAAAATTGAAAACGTTGTCTCCATTCAATTTCTCGGTGATGTTTAGGAGGTGGTTGAACACGAAGTGGAGTCGTTTCTGGAAATTTTCTCAGCAAATACTTTGCCACATGATTATTGGTCATTATCATGATTTCTTCAATCAATTGATGAGCTTCCTTTTCGTTTTCATTTGATTCACTACCAAATTCGTCCGAACTTCTTTGATGAAAAACTGACTCAAAGCCAAGACGTAACAGACGACAATTTTGAGCAATAGAATTTGCAACTTTGATTGCTTCGTCAACTGTTAACTGCCTTTCCTGAAATCACAATTGAAATTAATAAGGATGAAAAAAGGGTTGGATTTTTTTTGCAAAAATTCTTGATCACTTTGTAAATGTTTAAAATTATCACATCTTACAAATGGTAAAACAACGTCTTGCAAACTGAGAAAGAGTTCGATTGAATGCTACAGCTGACATCTTTCAAAATGAAAATGTCATTCATCTAATACTGTTCTATTAAAATCACACAACAGCCTTTTCCTTGTTAAAACATACTAGCTGCAAAAAAGTCCACAATCGAAGCAGTTAATTTTTTGGTTTTGTAACTAGCCTGCATTATTGTTCTGTTTTGTAAATTTAGGATTTAATTATCATTGATTTTTTAAAACACTTTTGGCTTTATGACAGCATGCAAGTGAACACAAATTCAATTGAATTTATTAAAAAAAGAATAAGTAAGCTGGCTACACATCAAATAGAGACTTGACTTTGTGCAGTTTTTTCAATTTATCTCTCCTATTAATTTAAAATAAAGTCGCAGTTGTAATCTGAATTTGCCTAAAATCTTTAGTCAGAAAAAGATTAACTCTTCTTTTGCACCTGTTCACCGGAGACAGCACTAGGCAAATCAGGTCTATCGATTATGTGTTGCGCTTCCAGATAAGTGAGTTTCCTTGATGACCTTACAATACTCCGCTCTATAAGTGGTTCGTCAATAATACCACCATCAAGTGCAATTTTCAGATTAACAGTTATGGACAGACGATCTTCACCAAGCAATAAACTGCAGCACTTCTCGGAAAGCAATGGCGGGAGCATGGGCACTGCTGCTTCTATATTCTTTGGATAGTAGCTAGTGCCTCGTGATCTGGCTTCCGCATCTAATGGTGTGCCAGGTTTGACAAAATATGTCACATCAGCGATATGAACTTGAATAAGGTATTTCCCCTCAGAAAGCACTCTGACACTTATGGCATCATCAAGATCTTTTGATTCTGGGGGGTCAATGGTAAATACGTTATCACGATAAGCAGGTCTAGATTTTTGATCACGAGGAATTTGTCCATCTTCGTAGAAATCTCGAGCCATACTTAACAGCAAATCTCTTTTGAACTTAGTTTTTATATTGTACTCTCTAAAAAGAACTTTTGTTCCGCTGTGTATATCTTCACCAGACACGATATGGTCAGTAGCATGACCGAGAGGATACGGGTAATCCTGAACCCATTTGCATATTTTTACAACAATAACTCTTTGACCCTCTTTTGCTTCTTCCAACTGTTTTCTGGCAAGTTTTGATCTTACAGTGGTGACACCATTAGTTCCTACGTTGTAAATTGGAATGTTCCCTTCTTCTTTTGATTCATTATAATTGACAATTTTCGGTATGATTTTATTTCGTGGTATCATGACATTGATGTCTTTATCTACTTTGCAAACAAAATAACGACGATCGATTTCAATGGGTCGTCTTAGTACTCCTATAGAGGTTAAAACAAATTTATTTTGGTACTTTCAAGCTTTGAAATTAATGAAAAAGATTTAATTTGGCACTTGACGATCAAACACAAAATATTGACATTTAAGAATTAATCGAAAAAGATAGCTTATTGGTCCAGAAGTATAATGGCAATTAAAAACATAAAATGATCAGAAGAACTTGATAAAAAAGTTTGGGAGGGGGCTTCTATGTAATGAAAGCAACATATAAATTACATAATAATCAACATTTTAGAATTTCAAAATATTTTACTAGTAAAACTAAAAATTGTCGGATCTTCATTAGCAAATATAATGGCAATGTTCTGTCAAAAATATCCTATTAAATGAAAGTCATTGGGTAAGGGAGAAGCGAGCTGTAAGGACTTGATAGCACCAGAATTGACTGCCCTAATTTTATTTTAATTCTAAATTCTAAAATGAACATTTGCAGTACTTTTGGTATAGGACATAACTTAACGTAAGGCTTGCCTTATAAGCGAGTAATAAATAAAGTTTTGAACATTTTTTATATGATCCAACCTATGACTATATAACTTAAAAACTACTTATTAGTGTAACAAGCCCTTTTTTAAGAAAGGTTTGCAAACATACATAGTACTATAAAAAATAACAGCATTATGAAGGCATTCTGAAAGGCCAAGTTATCCAGGTACAACCTTCGATAGGCAATCAAAGAAGAAATAACGTGAAATATGTTTCATGTTGTTTCATAGACATCCTAAAACTTCAAAATTAATTCATATGTGCACTAAAAATCACTTTTTAATTTGGATAGTCATGATGACGTTTTCTTAACACCCTAAATATAAATTTGCTGTGTCCTAAAAAAAGGGAACCAGCACAAATGATTACGTATGGCTAAAAATAGAATGTGCATAAGATAATACATTGTTTAACAGGTGTTTGCTCCCTCCATTGTTTGTCCATGTTTGGTAAAATATTTAAAATGAAAATCAGCTTATTACAGTAATTTTAATTTATTTCGTTTCAATTAAAAATGAACAAGCCCTACGAACTCCAAGGAACGTAGGAACAAACTATCAAGCTAATATATAACTATTGCAAACGCTAGTTATACTATTATGCAAAGTAATTTCATCAAAAATACGTAATTATTTATGGGGTTTTTGTTTTTTTTGTGACACTCTGTACTCAAGACCTCTTTTAACTGTGAACAATGTCATAGAATTCATGTTCGCTGTTGGGATGGTTATAATTTTCTCAAGAGATGGTTATAATTTTCTGTTTTCTTACTGTTTTGAAAAACTCATTCTGTTCAACAGAAAGCACTCACCTTTAATGTATCCAAAATATTCGTTTATGCCATGCAATTTTGTAACAGCCTTTAATTCAAGCACAACCACGTCATCTTCAAAAACACCACGGACTTGGCCAGGAAGGACGATGTCAGGACTATCTGGTGTTGGTAGTCGCCCGTAGTAAGCTCTTTGACCCTTCCTGTTCTCAACGTGTATCCTAAATATCTTATATCTATTTTTGTCACTTTCAACCAATGAAAGTAAAGATTCTGTGGTGAAAATATCTAAAAAAACAGATGACTATTAGCGAAATACCAAATGGTTTTTCATTAAAAAAATAAACAGTGACGTCAATTTCGTTAATTATGGGCGAGTATTCGTTTATGTGTAATAAAAGCTAGTAAAAAAGGATTTTAAAAGAAATTAATTAAGAAAACACGAGTACATGAAGCCTCCTCCTCTCCAAATTACTATTTTTTCGGCGTAACTGGAATTAAATATTGTTTTCTAACAGCAGGTATTAAAGTGACAATACTAACCGAATTTGTTGTGAAAAAAAACAATCAGTTGTCTTGGTGCTTAAGTTCAATTAAAATATTGAACATAAGTCAACATGCTATTTATCTGTGTTACATAAGTTGAGCATATATCAATCCAAGACTAATCTTCCATGAGTGAAAAACACATTAAAAGAAATATATTTGAAATTTTAAATAATTTACAAGCATGATTAATTAATCTTAAATGACCTGGAGAAATTTTTGACCTAAATTCATCAATTTCAGCAAAGCGCATGAAAGATCCTTTCGAACGACAGCCCGTTCATATATAACATTTTATTTACGGAAAATCATGGCCATTGTCTTAAAGATATTTTTAATGGTAATAGTGATTATCTTTTGTTTTTCATAAACCAGAATCCGCTATCTTTTGTGGCTCAATTTATAAAATCATGCCAGTACATATATCTGAAAAAATTGAAGCCAACCATGATGTTGACAATGATGAGTTAACGGCAGCCTTTGAGGTGTCAAGCATTAATCACTGGGTTAAACAATATTCACGTCAGTTGTAACGCATCGTATCGTATTGTATTGCAACTCGTTGTTTTACGTCTTTTTATTGTTTCGCAAAGTTAACATCGCTGACCTGATGACTGGTGACCCGATGGGAGGGTTTTTTCTTTTAAAATTCAAAGGACATAAAGTACACGTAAATGCATTCTATAATGTGGGTTTATTAGAAATCATAACAACTGCTAACATACTCTGTTCCTTGACGACTTACTTGTATCATGTTCGTCCTGTGTCAAACTGTTGGTTCCCGATGTTGATACAGCGCCAGCAGTCTTTTGAATTCGTTCTTGACCCGGTTCCAAGTAAAAGCCCACCTGTATGTCAGCAGTTTTATATTTCAAGTGACCTTTCCGTTTAGAAATCGTTTGGTCTACGTTGCATGAGTTGCCATCAGATATGCCAGGAAAGTCCTCATCATATGGGCTTATCTGTAATTTAGTTTCATCCATTTCCTTCGTTCTTTTGCATTCTTTTATTAGTTCTCGAACAATCATTGCATCATGACCCTCAATACCACGTGATAGAGAAGGAGAATCTGCTTTATCCCTATCTAATTCTCCTTCGTGATGGTCAAATTCTAGATTTGTTGAAAGAAATAACATGTTTTTTAGGAGCAAACAACAGTACAAGTACAAATATACCCTTAATCAGACAGGTCGTCAGTAATATATAAAAATTGTTCATCTAATTATCAATAATTTCATGGTTGATAATGTTTTCGACACTTCAAAATTTTGCCATTTTAAGCAACATAACCAACTCTTTAGCCATGAACAGACATGAACAGACATTTTTGAGTTTTGCATTTGATCACTAAATTATTTTTTTTGGCAAATTATAGTGTTAATCCATCATACTATGTGCTTCATAATGAGTAATTTGATCGAATAAAATCACTACTACAGCTGCACTTGAAAAGGAAGCTCGATGTGATAGTTAAAATTTCAGCAAATCTCAGTAATTGTCTCATAAAAAAAAGAATTCGATCTGATATAGTAACCATTTAAGATAGAAGATCCTAAGTAAGTAGTAAAAACCATGACAGCGTTGCTTCCACCATATAAAATTTGTATTAATTATTATTTTCTTTTTAGTCACTTAACACTAAAATAAATGGAAAGCACAAGCAAAGTCGGGAAAATCACAAGAAAAATACTCCAAGAAAAATACTTCCCTCTTTTCCTACTTAAGCATGATACAGGGAAAATGGTTTGTTTTTAAATCTACTCTAAAGCACTCAATTACTTAAACACAACAAGTTCTTATACAAAAAAATGCTTTAAAATTGCCATGATTTTTGTAACTTTCTACACAACGATTTGAGCAATTCACCTTTTTTGTCATCTAAAGCACTTGAAATTGTCGGAATAAACGAAGGAGCGCTTGGATTAATAGTTTGTGATCGCAGACAGTAGTCCATCACATCTTTCATTGTGCATCCAAACAAACCATTGTTTTCTTGGCAACGTTCGAGGTAATCTTTCCACAAATGGCGACACTCTCCTATACTACAAAGCGACATAGGATCTCCGACAACAGACAGCAAAGACTTTGCTCGAGTAATTGCTGTGTTTAATAACTGTGCATCAGAAAGAAATCCAAAATCTAGTTGAGATGAGATGTTACGATCCTGGATTTGCTTGCAGGTATGTTGTGTTCTGACTGTACTAATAAATAACGCTTTGAATTCCATGCCTAAAATTAACATCAACCCTTTCATCAAATTATTGGTGAACTCTTAAATTTGAAAAGCTAAGACTAGCAACATTATCAAAAAAAATATAGCAAATCATTAAAATCAAGAAAAAAGCGAAAGCAAAAGCAATAACAAATTCTAAAGTTAAAAGATTAAAAAATTTTAATTTAAAATCTAAATAAAATTTATATCGACAAGGAAAAAAATTCAATAAATGTGTTGGATTTCGTGTACAAGATAATTAAACAATAAGACAACATCAATGCCACTACTTAATATTAAAATGATCTTGAAAAAAAAGTAGCAGCATGCATTGCAGGAACTAAGACTAATATTACAACATTTAGCATGAAGGTCAAAGCAAGAAAATGACTACAGTTACAATTAAAACCACATCAATACCCTGACAATGGCGACTTTTATGTGCGAGAAAGTTACGCACACAATTCCTAGAACAATGACTGCCGCCAGGACTGCAAGTTCAACTACCCAGATTGCTATCACGGTTAATCACTAATATGACCAAAACAACAGTTAATTTAAAGAAAAGGACAAAGAGTTCGACTAAATTCAGGATAGCATCGAAGAGATTCACTATATCCATGATAACGAGCACGATCGTTAATGAAGAAAAATGGGATTGTGAAGCAAAAAATAAGACCAGGATAAGAAGAAACATATCCATATGAGGACGGAGAAGGCAATGATGGAATGGAATGAAAATGATAAATAAGAACTATAGAACAACAAGGCTGAGAAAATTGCCTAGAATAACAAAAGGCCAGAAAAAATGCATAAAAAAGCGCCGAGTTTATGATAAAAAGCGTTCTCCCTTGTATATGAAATTTAAATCTAAATCATTTATTTATTGACTATTGAGTTATATTGCTTCGTAAGACTTCCAAGAACAATACGACCTTTATTTTATTTAAATTACCTTGAACGTTTTCAACTCTATGGACCTTTACTGACTCAAGACCTCTCTTTCTCAAGCAATCTCTAATACGTTTCACCTGTTGAAAGAGAATATTAGCAATGTATATCAAAAGAAAATTCAAATAAATATTTTTGGATTGCTAAACCTGATCATGATAAGGAGTGAGCACGCCAATGCATTTTCGCCAACTTTTAGGCGAAAGCAAAACAAGCTCCTCTATTCTTGTCACCAATTCTGCCACCTCTGCATCGTTGTAGTATCCTAAACTTTCTTCAACCCAACAATCCACTCCTCTCGCGGTATAAAATGTGAGAACAGGGACAGTATCGTGTTCAAATTGATCACCTTTAGCAACCAGTTCCCCACCATAAAAGTTATCTGATGGGAAACGAAGAATGTTTGCATGGCATCGATAGTTTTCTGTAAGTAGTGTCACGTAAGGTATTGTAACGTCGTCGTTACTGCCGTAGTTATCAACACTGCTCTTTTTAGTAATTTCGATGTTCTTTTTGTCAGTTTTTTCCATGCTTTCTTTATTATTATTATTACCCATAATACAACATTTATTGTAATGAGCAAAGAGACGCTCCAGAAGCGACGTTTGAGGGCCAAAATCGATTGGCCACAAAGACTTTGAATAAGCAGGAGGACCCATCTATAAAGAAAAAATGAAAATGTCTAGAAAGTGACTCATTATTAATTAGATTAACAAAGAACTTTTGATATTAGAATTGCGACATATGCATGTGCTGTCGCTGGATAAAACATAATTTAGATGTACAAGGATTTATGACAACAACTAGCATACGAAGCAATGCTTGAGATCATGAGCACGTTTGACAATGTTGTAGAAATAAATTTTGGTACTATTGGTAGAAAGAATTTAAATAAGCTTTTTTAAAGCAATTGTATACTTTTACTGAAATTTTCGAAACATATAAAGCCTAAAACATATGTAAAAAATTCATTGAAAAAATGCTTTTTCTGAATGACGTTTGAGCGTACAACAAATAAATTTTCTTTTAGATAAAATAAATAAAATTAACGTCGAGCCAAGGGCTCTGATTTATCAATATACAATTTGGTAAATAGTCTGTTTTCTTAAACATGCAAAACTAATGTCTACTCTTTCTCTCACTAATATGTCCTTTATAACGTTTATGGTTAAAGTTAAACTAATGGGAATCAACTTTACCTATCTGTATATAATAGTGAAAATATGTTTTCATTGAGTAAAAAATTGTTGATTCAACTGAAAACAATAAGATTTTACTTTAATGAACTTTTATCACAGTAAGTTAAAGTTAGCATAGAGACATAAATTCGTCTTACATTATACGGCATAAAAACCCTGACTTATAATAAAACGTTTTGGCTTAATTTAATGCAAAAAACGGAAAGAACCTTAAGGTCTTTCTACAGCCTTTATTTTGATTAAAACGTAAAATTGAATAATTTTTCTAAGTAATCACATACCTGTAGGTGATCGCCAGCAAGGACGATCTTTGTAGTTCGATCAGCCATAACAATCGGCACTAAGCATTCAGGTTCTAAAGCTTGCGCAGCCTCGTCAATCAGAATGTGTGTAAAAGCAACTGAGTTATTATGACAATATTTCCATAATATATGAGCACTCGACAGCGTGGTTATAATAACATTTTTGGAATATAATTCTTCAGAGCTTGGTAATCTAATTTCATTTGTCTTTTCTGCAACGAGAAAGGTATTTTAAGAATCGCCTCAAAAAAGCAGGAGAGTGTCATCGCAAACTGCTTAATTCGACCTACATTTAAAACGAAAGTCATTAAGTGCACAAATGTTTTGAAGAATCCGTATTCGTTGCCATTAGAAGTAAAGCTATTTTGCAGTTTACTTCTACATTTACGATATTTTGTAGGTAATTCATTTTGAAATTAACATGTGCAACTCATTATGTGATTTAATTAACATTGAACAATAGTTGTGATAAAAAATTTGTAATGTAGGAGTAAATTTAAATGCGTTCTGGCTTTGCCACCTTATGTAAAGTATGAAAATATATTACCATTTATGTTGCAATATTTGCGCAAGTGTTCTTCAACTTTCGTTAGAGTTATAAACTGACTGAGAACACGAAATGGATGTAGCTTTGAAAAAGAATCGCTTTGTATTTTCTTGTCCAAAAGGTCCAAATGCACATCTGCAGCGCTATTAGAATGAGTGCAGATTAAAACTTTGTTGGCACTTGGCTGGCTGAGAATAGATATGCAAGCACGGCTAAGAGTGAATGTCTTTCCGGTGCCGAATGGACCATAGACGACAATTGGTGGAGTAGGACTTGGATCGAGAATCATAGCAATTGCTTTGTGCTGGTTTTTGTTCGGCTTTTTATCCATAAACCAATGAGGAATAGATTGCTTTAACAAAAAATAGAAAATAAGACGCAACACATGAAAGAGGGGAGCCTATCCTTCAATTCATAAATAAACCATTCTGTAACCACTAGAACTTTTTAGTGTTCATGGAAATGTTGCTGGTGCATGCACTGTTATTATTTTATAGAACAAAAAAAAAATCAATTTGTGTATTGATTCATTAGTACTATTTCATTATTTACTTTAAATATATTTTATCAGTTTGGTACTTGAAATGTAGCTTTATACGTGAATGCCAAATGAGTCAACGTATACAACGTTTACATTCTTAAAAACTATCCTAAATTTAATAAACATTTATAAAAAATGACGATTTTTTTAGAGCAAAATGTTTCGACATTAACAAAATGCCAAAATGCAATGAAGATGGATTTTGTCAATGTTGAAACATGCTTGCTCTTTAAAAAATCGTCGTTTTTATTGAATGTTTTTTAAACTTGCTGCGACTCAAAATTTAATAAGACTCGAGCGTCTTTATTCTGTGTCAAAAAAACCCTTTTAGCTATTGCATATACAATCTCAGCTTACGAATGTTATGTTTTACATTCAAACAAACCTTGTATTCTCTAGGGGCAGCTGAAAAGTCTGGTAATAAGACATCCATTTTTTCTTTACATAAATCAATGGCTTGATGCTTTTCACACATTGCACGACGGTTGTAAATAAACTTCATATCAACATTGATAACCTGGTCATACTTCACATTGTAATCTTCACAAAACGCTTTGTTTAATTTGATTACAACAGAGTGACAACTTTTAAATAGGATACAGCACTCGTACACACGTAAGGCTTGATCTTTCGGTCGGACTATTACAGAATAAACTGAACGGCTGATCAGATGACCAGAAACTTCGTCAACCACCAAAAAGTCCAATAAATTAATCTCTCCAAAAAACTCGGCGTTTACAGCAAACCTTGTTACCTCGAATGTTGTAAAGCAATTAACAATCTTTAGTTCTCCGTTAGAAATATCATACCTACCAACAATAAAATGAAAAGTATTTGAATTAAACGGAAAAAACTTCTGAGATTAAATAGTGGAGAATAAAATAAATGTAGAAAAACATGTAACAGCATTTTCTTAAGTTTTGCCATCAACCACCTCCCTCTGTACAAAAACTGCCTCCTCAGAAGTTTGAACACAATTTGTATTTTAATGCTCATATTATTTGATTCATCGTTTTCAAGTAATGTTGTTACAGTCATATATAAGAGCTTTTAAATATCACATTGAGTTTACATGCATTCTCATAAAATAAAACATTCCTATGAAAGGCACTATGCCAAATGATACAATTTTGCTTACATTAGTTCAACATTTTTCTGTTTTGTAAAGGACAAGTTACAACAAGTTCAGCGAAAAACCCAATTTATTTACAATGTATACTCGAGCCGGAAACAATTGATGATGAACTAAAATTAATATGATAAATAAAGAGAACAAATGCTACATGAACAGTTTTCAGTTCAACTAGCTACAATAAAGACTATTGTTCATCACTATGTAAGCAACGTCGGCTGTGATTGGTCAACTCCCTGCAGATAATTCTAGATATCAGTAATTATGACGTTATATCTACATATAATAGTTTCTACAAATATGGATGCCAATAAAAGCCGGTTTTGAAAAGAAATCAAACAGCGATAATTGACGCAATTTCTAAAAACGATGTGAAAGCTTTTAAAGGAAAAAGATGCGGAAAACACTAAAAAAGCGGCGAAGCTGACTTTGAACATATTTACAACATATTTAAACGAGACGAACTTAAATAAACAGTCTGACAAAAATAAATTGGCGGAGGTTTGAAAAATGTTTTACATTGATATGTTTTGATAAAACTTCAGTAAATAATAAAACAAATATTGAATTCGTTTTTTGCATGATATCAAGAATTCTTCAGAAGTACATTATTAATTCAAGTTTAAAATTCCCTTTCTTTCTGAAATGCAATTAATCAGTTGAAATGAAAAGGCTTAAAGAGAGTACCAAGAGAGTTCGACAAAAGCGTGGCAAACGTAATTTTTTTCAAAAAGAGCAATCTCTTCACTGATTAATAGTATTTCATTCTATTCTGGGAAAAGCAATTAATAAAACAAATTTCAGTAAAATCACTTACCTACGTGATTCTATCTGCATATATTGTACTGATATAAATTCATGTTAAAACTATTGCTGGTAGATTTTCATTAAGTAAAAAATAACTGACCTGGCGATTTCTTTTTTGATATATTCCTCTTCAGTGTAAAGAATATTATGCCAACTTTCACAGTATGTTTCTGAACTGAATTCAGGTATTTCTGATGGAGCTGGATGGACATCAGGAATTGGATACGAGTCACACAAACCCTCTTCATCCAGGTAAAGCAGATCATCACACTTAACCACTTCAACGCTGTCAAGAGACCAGTCCACTATACGACATCGTTTCACCAGCATTTCTTCATTTGGAAGAATTTCCTTGCTGACAACGGACACTTTAATTTTCCTAGATAATACAGACCCATTTCCAAAATCAAAGATCAACTTTTGTTCAAAAACACCAAAGACCTCAGATGAGAAATGAACGCCAAAACGAGTAGCCAGCGTTTTCTTCGATGAGTTTTCAATTAAGTTGTTGCCGACTGAAAAACGTAAACTGTGTTGACTTGAAGAGGGGTTAGAGCTGGCGCCAGGGTTGTTAAGCAATTTGAATCGATCAAGATGAAATTCGTGCAAAAACGCCACTTCCGTTAGTAAAAATTCAGAGCTTTTCTGCACCACAAAAAAAAAATGTTAGAAATAAGCAGGGCTCATTCAAATGTTTTTCTTTTTATAATAATATTGGTTTTTACAACCACTTACAAACATAAATCTCCGTATTATTTTTTCAAACCTGAATTTCGACATCAATGACAAACATGTGATCACTTGGCGCAGACTTATCAGCCCTATTAAGCAGCAGTTGCCAATCCGACTTACACGTGATTGCTATACCAACAAGATCATCTCTAAGCTGAAAATTGAATGAAATGAAGCTTTGCGCGTGGCCAGATTGCCAAAGGTTAACTATTCCCTACTATGACTAAATTAATAAAAAATGCTGTTTTTTATGTAGCATTAGGCCCGTTTCAAGCGTTTGCATTTTTCATGCGCCGAATGCATTAGAAAAGGAAATGAGATAAAATTCTTTATTATCTTTCGTTTTGAATGCATTTGGCTAATGTAAAATACAATGTTGAAAACGGGACTTAGTCTATTAATGAAAAAAACTTATATGGTTTCACTTTGTGGCCATAATCAAATGGGAGATCATAAAGCAACCAACTTATAAGTATAAAATAAATAAAATGGCTTAGATGATTCAAGTTGCCTTGTGCATGATTAAAAAATGTTTGAAAGAAGCTAGAATACCACTTACAACATGTTCTTCCCCTTTACTCTTAATCATCGTCATAACTCTCTCACTAAAGCTTTCGGTAAGTTTTTGTTCCTCTCTCAGCTTTTTCAAATGCTTAGTTTGACGATTATGCAACTCCGTCCAAAACGTCCGCTCACCCTCACCGTGTGCAAAGGTACATTTATTTCCATAGAAACAATAGCCATGTTGAAACCTTTTCAAAATAAAACGTTGTTTTGCAATTGAAATAAGAGTATTCTCCAATTTTTTTTGTGACAAAGCTAGAGTTCTTGTAAGTTGTCAAAGCAAAAAACTCCATTGGCGATAAAAACAAGTACAGTACTGTAGTTAAAAGATGCAATTGTGCTGTTGTTTGTCTGATTTATTTGAAAAGCCTTTTTTCGGAAAATTTTTCCAAAAAAAATTTGCAAATGAGAATAATTTTGAAATTACGAATAAATAGAGTTATATAGTAACAGAATTTTTGACTTGCATCTGAAAATACTACATGCGAATTAAAAGTCAACTCGAGTCTTACTAGATTTCCTAATGACATGCATGATGGTAAAAAATTTAGACAAATAACAAAAAATGCAACCGTTAAATATCAGGTCAATATCAAACCTTCGACATAGCTTGTATCGACCCATGACAACGTCATAGGGAGGTGGCGAAATTTTGTTACTGAAATCTCGTTTTTCTGCCGTGTTCTCTTTAACACATTCTTTTTGTGACTTCTCACAGAGTAATGATGCTTCAACTGATCCATAGACGTGAACTTTTCATCACAAAAACCACAGAATAAATTATCTGAATTTTTCATAGTTCTTGCACTTGACGATGAGTAAGTCTTTGTGGTGTTTCTTTGCTCTGTAGTTTTAATAAGCAAAATTGAAGATTTAGTACTATGTAAACGTATGCTAAAAATATATATTTTCACTAACTGTCATGATAGATCTTGTTGCAGACAAAACAAACTACAGCAGACAACCGACAAGTTTCCGGTCAGAAAATTTCGCAAATACTCAATATGAAATAATATAAATAACACTTGAAAAGTAAATAAATTTCTTTCTCAGGAAAATCTTTTGCCAATTAATTCACTTACAGATTTGGCAATGCATTGTGTTCCGCAAATTATAAATCTTGGCTAATATACAATTATTACAAGTATATTATATCAGTAGTTGTATACAAGGATAAGATATTTGGCCCGTTCCAAGCGTTGCATTTTAGAGGGGTCGAATGCAATTAAAACAAGAGATAATGAGGCATTTTACCTGATTTTCCTTTGTCTTTAATGCATTCGGCTCTAGTAAAATGCAACGTTTGAAACCAGCATTATTTGTAAATATTTGAAAATAAATGCATAATCAATATTTTTCTGTGCTATGTAACGTGCAACTCAACTGTTCAGCTATAATTTGTGTAATGTAATAAGAACAATAAATTATAATGATAATGGTACACACAAAACCCTGTATAAGGATAGTTGGAACATCGGAAGTAAAAATCGCGTTCGCCATCTTAGTTGCAAAAGCCAGCGAAAACAAAGCATTAAATGGTGGAAAGATAAATTTTCTGTTGTGATTTCTTTTTCATGAATATACAGCCTTCCCTAAATTTAGAATTCAGTTGTTCATAGATGCCATAATAATGGAAAAGCCTTTATTTAATGGAGTGGATGCAACTTGTACGCCGTTCATACTGTTTTTGCCACCAGGAAGCACGTATGATTCTATTTCTCATCGCTTTAATTGGCACTGTTACAACGCAACATAAAATCATTGCAAACATTTTTTATAATTTATCTCTTTATTTATAAAAATGGTTATAATTTGCGCTTTTGGAACAGTAATGGCGGTGCGCATGTGCATGACCATATCTACCCAATCACCTTGATCATTATGCAAATTGCAGAGAACAATACGTGTTTCAACTTTAAAAGGAAAGGCTCTGGGTAAGCATGCTAAAAATTTCATGGATTTTGGGAAACTTGTGGACATGTTTAAATGTATTATTACACAGTGTGTGCTTCGGTGCTGTAGGCTTTAGAGGGAAAATTAAGATGCAGAAACATTGCCAGAGTGTATAAGAATAAATTATTACCGTTTAGCTTATAGTTCATTAAAGTTTTATTATTCTGTTTTTAAATACTTCTTACCAAAGGCGTAGCCAGCCCCAAATTTGGTCCTGCTATGATAATTTTTTTGTGCTCACTCACTGTAAAAACAATAGATTTCTAAAGAAATGAATAATGATGATCAAAAATTTACATGGCAGGACCAAAATATGTGCGCTGGCTACGCCACTGCTTTTTACCTTAAAATAATTATTTTTACTTTCAAGCCTTATATCTTTTCTTCTTTCAAAATAGATTTGTTTGTTCACGGTGAAAATAGTTTTGAGGCTTTAACAACTTTTAAGGCAGGAAAGTGTTCAGATGAGCAACTACCACCAACGTGTGACAGTTTGCTTTAACATATTCGTTTGTTAAACTACCTAGCGGTGATTCAACCTTTCTGTTTACAACCACAAATAGATATTCCTCCTCCAGATGAAAATGGGTGGCAAACGAGTAACGGGAAGCTGCAAGTCTAAAGTCGTTGTTAGATGGGAAACATAATATTTATAATAATACATTAGCATATTAAAAGTCCACGTGACTACAGTTACGCTATATTGTTTTGCGCTCTCCACACTTTAATTATGTTGATGAACAAACAGTTATTGTTATATGAATAAAATCCATCTCAATCACAATGATGTGACTGATCATTTTAATAGGTTAGGCGCCCAGGACCTTCGAAGATGTGTTTGAAGCACAACTATGTGAGTTTAACGAAAAATATACATAAAACATTGATAATATTTATATGAATTTAAGTATGGCGATGCCAACGGATTTGTCGAATTTGTCGATGAAAATCACGACGTTGAATGAAGAAAAATACCGAGATTGAGCGTTCAATATGCGTCTTTGTCTTGAGAGCATGGATTTGTTTGGTCATGTCCACTGAGGATGCGACGGCACAAGTAAGACAAGGGTTTAAAATAGCGTCAAAGAAAGCGTGGACGTATATCTGCTTGTCGGTGGAACCTGAACAACAAATTCATATAAGAGACACGAATACAGCAAGGGAAGCCTGGGATTCGCTGAAAAACGAATTCGCTAGAGTCTCCATATTGCAAATAGTGCGATTACGCCAGCAGTACTATTTATGTCGATTCAAGACCGGGGATAGTATGTTGGATGATATTAATAACATGAAGTCTTTACACGACCAACTGAGAGAAATGGGAATTCAGCATGGCGATAAAGAACTAGCAATGATCTTACTCACGATTTTACAGGACAAATTTAAGCCACTTATCACTGCATTGGATGCAGTGGCAGAAGACAGTTTGACTTTTCAAAAGATGAGAGGAATGCTACTAAATGATGCTGACAGAGTTGCTGATTTGAGCAAGGTCAAAGATGCTTATACAACACATCGATATTTTAATGGGAGAGAAAAGAAATCAAAAGAAATATACAAGACAGAGAATAATAATAAGCACACATTTCGAGGATTCTGCCACAACTGTAAGAATAGAAGACAACTTACGAGAGATCGCCCACAACGCAAGAATTACAACTCTGGAAATTCAAACAGAGAAAATAGGACAGCATTTTATGCTGAGGTAGAGAAGAATGAATCAAGAGATGATGATGAAATAGCATTATTTACAAGTGATAATAGTAAAAGATTTGGTTGGATCATAGACTCCGGTGCTACCCATCATATGACATTTGAGGTAAATAAACTATCTGATTATGTTGAATTCAAGAAGCCATGTAAAGTTAATTTGAGACATGATCGAGTGATTTTTGCTTATGGAAAGGGCACATACAAGTTATGCACTAATTTAAAAGGGACAAGCCAAAGAATTGCATTAAAGAATTTTCTCTATTTACCTGATTTAAAAAGAAACTTGTTATCAGTTCAAGCAATGATTAAACTGGGAGCAACTGTTGTTTTCAAAGATGATGAATGTAAATTTCCAAAGATTCAAGGTTACTGGGAATTGGAGAAATGCAAGGAAAGTTGTTTATGCTTAAAGTTGTTCCAAGAGAATATGTGCATGTTGCTGAGAACAATCCAAACATGGAGTAATCGCATTGTTGATTTGGACATTTGGGAAAGGATAATTTTTCTAAACTAGTCAATAATGATATGGTGACAGGAATGGTGAGTTCGAAAGATGAAAATATGTTAGATGTGTGTGAAGCATGTATAATGGGAAAACAGTGCCGTAAACCGTTTCCTAAAAGAAGTTTGAATCATGCAACTGAGTTGTTCGAAATAATCCACAGTGATGTTTGTGGCCCAATGAATGTCAAATCGTATGGAAAATCTCAGTATTCTGTGACATTCATAGACGATTATTCACGATACACGCAAGTATATTTTCTTAAAGGTAAAAGTGAAGTGTTGGAAAAATTTCAAGTTTGTCAATGAAACAGAAAATCGTGGTAAAAGAATCGAAACTCTTCGTTCGGAAAACGGTGGAGAGTACTGTTCAAGAGAATTTGGTAATTATTTTAAGTCAAAAGGAATAACCCTCTAAACAACAGTTCCATATTATCGTGAACAAAACGGCATCGCTGAAAGGATGAATAGAACTTTGGTCGAATGTACACGAGCCATGTTACATCATGCATGTATGCTAAAAGAATTTTGGGCAGAAGCATTGAATACCGCTGTATACATTCGCAACCGTAGCCCTACATCATCAAATGAAGTTACACCGTTCGAGATAGTTCATGGTGAAAAGCCAAACGTATTACATCTAAGAGTTTTTGATGTATTGCATATATGCATATCCCTGATGCTAAAAGAAATAAATTTGATAAGAAATCAGCTAAATGTGTATTCGATGGATATCTAGAAAACACCAAAGGATTTAAACAATACAATCTCGAAAAGAAAGCATTTTCTCACAGTCGAGATGTCATATTTGAAAAAAGGAAATTTCACGAATTCAAGTCCAAGGACAGTTTCGAGTTTTACTGCAAGAATGATGATAACAAGACTACTAAAATCGACGCAATTATCAATAAAGAATATCATACGGGAAAAACTGCAAATGAAAAGGATCATCCTGAAGATCCAATGTTCCAATACCATCGTCCAGTTGGAGCCACGTATGCGGATAACTTTCTAAGAGATATGGAAAGACTCGACGTCCAAAGATTTAAAGGTAGACTGGTGACACAAGGCTACACCCATTTACCAGGTATAGATTATGAAGAAGTGTTGTAAGATATAGTTTGATGAGATCGTTACTTGCAGTTGCCACCATTTTTGACTGGGAAGTCCACCAACTCGATGTTAAAACTGCATTTTTACAAGGAAATCTGGAAGAGGAGATTTGTATGAAACAACCAGGTGGATTTGTTGATAAAGAACAATCAGATTACGTTTGTCGATTAAAGAAAAGTATATATGGACTTAAGCAAGCGGCGAGATGCTGGAATAACGCAATTAACACTTATCTGTTATCCAATGATTATAAGAAATGCATCGCTGATCCCTGCATCTCCATTAAATCAGTGAAGTCTATAGATCGTACAATTAAGTTCGTAATTGTAGCGATATATGTCGATGATATGATGTTCTTCTCAAATGATATTAAGATATTGCAACAAGAAAAGAAAGCGATGGCAATGAAATTTCAAATTGAAGATTTAGGAGAGCTGCACCACATCCTTGAAATGGCAATTCTAAGAAATAAAGGATCACGAACAATGTCTATTACTCAAACAAATTATTTAGAAGATGTGCTCAAGAAGTTTAAGTTGGAGAATTGTAAGACTGTTTCAACACCCTTGGAAACAGAAAGAAATACGAAAAGAAATACGAGTCACGAAGTTGTAAATTTGGGCTAGAAAAATGAATTCAAGCAGAACAGTTATTTCCACAGTTATAATATACAGTTAATGAAGTTAACTTTGGGGGAAAAGGAAGACTGATCAAAATGAAACCTTGTAAGGGGGTTCGTTTTACAGTCAATTAAGGAATAAAGTAATTGAGGAGCATTGTTGATGTTTCTTATGTGGCCACAACACCTGACTTGTCAATTGTCACAATGACTGAAGACAATATACAGGGCCAAATTTAATGTCCTCTTAGTGGGCGCAACAAGGCCTAAAAATGTATAGTTTTTCGTCTATTTTAATCAATTTTGTAAGCTTTCCCCCACAGACAGGAATCGTTACTGGCATGGCATCTTATTATTAATCAAAGGTTAATAATATTTTTTTGTTGGTAGCCTGCTCACAGGATGACCATAATATTATTCTAAAAAATGTCCAGATGTCCAGGTGCAAAAACGGCAATTCACGAATTGACACGACTACATGACGATGATGCGTTACGGAAAATATTCGAAAGTATAAAATTAAGGAAATTCGTAAAATTTTACTGGTATTTGGAGACAAAATTATCATTTTTGTTGATAAATGATCTATAAACTTTTGGTTATCATTACAAAAATATGACCCGTCGGACTTTTCTACTGATTTCTCATGTAGTTAAATAAATATTAGTCATTTACGTTATTCGCGAAGCTATTTTTAATTTTCTAGTGGCAGCGCAGTCATCGGTAGAGTGTAATCAAAATACAAAGCCTAACATAAAGTATTGAGACTCAATAATACTTCGGCATGTGCTGCAAATTTCGTTAGTTCAAAGGTGAAGGGGGCGCGAAATTGGTTTTGGCCCCCGCAGTCAAAATTGCACCACCACGCTACTGGGTTAGTTTATACTGCTGAAAATACAAGCACAATTTTGATAGGATGTTCGGATGCAGATTGGGGAAGAGACATTACAACTCGACGTTCGACAACAGGATAAGTTTTTCAAGTACAAGGTAACACAGTAAGCTGGTGTAGTAAGGATGTGTAGCAATTTGTGGGAGGCGGAGTACATTGCTCTGAGTACTACTAGTCAGGAAAGGATTTGGTTATGAAGATTGCTGGGAAATATTTCGAATTAACAAGATTGCCCTACCATCCTATATGAAGATAATTAAGGAACGATTGAGTTAACTAAGAATCCAAAATTTCATAATAGAATAAAGCATATCGATATATCGTATCATTACGTCAGAGAGCAAGAACATTACTATCAAGTGTTGTAGAACTGAAGATATGTTAGCGGATGTAATGCGAGGCAGACCTTTAAAAAAAGAGCGCCCTGTCTTGCACAATACGATTATAACTTTCAAAATATTATCTTCTCAACAATTGCTTGAACCCAACCTAATGCACGAGTCAAATATTTATTTCATTTATGCATTTTACTTATGTTGCCAGTATTATCGTGCGGAATAGCTCTCTATTAGGTCTGACACTAGCACACAAAATACAAGTAACATGAAGTTTCTTTGAAAAAAAGGCGGATTCCGAAATGGTAATGAGCTACAAATTTTGAAATTTCAATCTAATATAGCAATAAAACTGCATCTTTTTGGAGATGACAAAAAGTAAAACTGTATTAAGCACGTAAAAGTCGTGAGGTGTCCAACGGGAATGAAACAAAATCGTTCAAAGATCACTGACTAAACTTGGACAGCATCATTCAGGTTAATATATGAATTTGTAAAAGATTTCCCTAAATTCCATCTGATTGTACTTTAGTTTCTATCATGCTTTAGAAAATTACTATGAAACGATCAAACATTCAATTCAGACAGTGAGCTTGACTATGTTAGTTCAGTTGGCTATCAGGCAAAATCGGTCAAACCAATCACAGTAAGACAAAAATTTAAACGAACCAATTACACGATAGTAATTAGACTCCCTTATCGGTCCGGCCACCCCGCTTATCAGTCAAAATAATTCCAGATCGTCCACTAATCTGGCTATTGACCAAGGGAATGGCTTAAATAAGCGTTCTTAAACCCCGTTATCGGTCGAACCAGTCGAGCTATCCCGCTTATCAGTAAGCCAGTTAATATAATTCCAGATATGTTAAATTTACTGATCTGATTACTAAGGTGGTGTTTATAGAAGTTTTCATACATAAAACAGAATTTTGTCGATGAAATCCAAACGATTACAGAAAAGGAATTTAATGATCACGAAAAATTGTAATCATTAAATTTGATAAATAATTTTTGAACTATAAGCATCTGTCGCGTGAATGATTTGACATATCCTAGATCCGCCCCAGATGTCAACATAACAATGCATCTTTTCAAAATCGCGAAAACGTTCGCATTTGTCAAGGTTTGCTAAATTCGTTTTTCCTCAAAAACAGTTGCTATAGCGATGTATTAACCTTAAAATATTGCTATAAATAAGTTGGACAAATTTTGCATCTCTTTGAAATATTTTTTCGCGATTTTCTTTTCACAGTTTCTTCAAAAAATACCGAAATATTTTGTTTAGGCCGTGTTTATCAGAAGCGTGGAAAGACTGGTAACGATAATGTTGACTTCGGCTTTAAGTCTCCGTGCGAAGGTAGCCTTCCGGTTATATTTAGTTCACTGGTATAGAAAATATCATGCGACAAATCATTGGAATTTTGAGGTGCATAAGGAAAAAAAGGTACGCAATGCGTACACATGGGAAGCCTATCAAGTAAACAGGGCTAATGAAGTAGGTGAATGAGCATAATTCAAATAAAATTGTGTATTTAATATCATTTGCATCAAACTCGTTCACTATTTTAAAATTGATTTTAGTTATTCGACTAAGTAAGTGTTTAACCATTTCTGCATTTTTCGAACGTTTTAGATTAGATTGCACGCCTCATAAATGATTGTGCTCACAAGAATCATATCAACGAAAGTAACGTCATTTAGATTTCTTGCAATTTTTAAAGGTTCTTTCCCACTGAAAACTATTTTTTCTATAGTTGTGTTTTAAAAACGTTTTCTGACGTTTCTTAGATGTTGTTCAGAGTTATCCTCCTAAACATGAATACCGTATTTGTTCGAACAAGTGCAGCGGTGCTAATTTAATTTTTTCACCACACGTGTGGCGTTTATTGGAAGGCAGCGCTAGCTCGGGGGCGGCGCTTGTTCGAAGAAATACTGTAAACACGACGTGCTTATAAAATGTTATTCAACATATTTATACAGGGAATTAATTGTGTTTAGAGCCAACGGATCGTGTTTTTTATTTACTTTTTTCTAATCACGTTTTGAAAAGTGTATATATTTCGAACGATTTTTCGTTTGCTGCAAACGATGTTTGATAGTAAAACTTTTTGCTCAAGGATTGCAAATGAACGGAAGTATTTTGTATTTCCTGTTCATGGAGTTTATAGTTTAACACGTATCGTATTTTACTAGATGTAAAGTTGTAAACCACACAAATAATACTTGTAGTTCGCACAATATTCCAAAGCAAAATTAATTCATTTGCTTTCGGCGTTTGATTAAACTACTCTAAGTCTGGATGAGTAAATCCAGCGATATATAAGCAATGTGAATAATGCCAAATTGGACTTATTAGCAGACAGTAGATTGTATTATATACATTTTAGAGGTCACTTTTTATAGAGGTTTGTGACGAGCATTGAACTAAAATAGATTATACAACAGTTCAATGGTAAAGAGTACGATAACTCGTTTGTATAATCGATGAATCGAGCTCATGTTAAGTTCCGCTTGACTGAATAAATTACAACAGGCAATATAATGTATTTTTCAGGCGTAATGTTTTTAGCTAATATTTCTCAAAATAACAAAATTTTCACAGGATTATATCAACAACGATTCTTTGCTTGGTGTCTATAACTTCTGCTTAATCTCTGTAAGCTAACAGACGCTTTACAGTTCACATATAACTAATGTATTACGTACATAGGTACTATTATATGTATGTGCGCTTGTTAGCCGCGCATAGGGAGCGGCTACCCACAAAAACGTGAGTACACAATGTGACTATAAATCCCACTGTGCCTTTTGTAATACTGAATTCCTATCTGACGAATCGAATATAAATTTTTTCTGTAAAAATATTGCTAGTGTTTTATCGCTTTATGACCAAGTGTTTAATTTAAATGATGTTTTTAAAATTGTCATAAAACAACTATCTTGCTTTAAATGAAAGCGCATTTCTACGTATCACAAGGCAAAACAATCTTCCAAGTTTGTCTAAATGGAGGCGAAAAAAGACTACTAAACTTAAAATCAAGAATTATAAATTAGATCTCGAAGAACATAATTTTTTCTCGACTTCCATATACTTATATAACATAAAATAGTTTCCATGTATTAATGGAAATTCATAGTTAGAGCTCCTGTCGTGAGCTGCGGAATGTTTCTGCCAACGCTAGGCAGTGTTCTGTTTAAGTATATTTAAGGTTCCTGGATAAATTGTTAATGTCGACACACTTTTTAACCACTAAAAACAGTTATTATTCACTATGTGCGCATACTCGGCTCAGACTGGTCAACTACCTGTAGTTAATACACGATATCTGAAGTTTATGACTTCATAACCAACAGATTATAGTTTCTACAATTATGACCGCCATTAAAAGCCAGTTTTGAAAACAAATCAAACAACAGCGATGTTTGCCACAGTTTCTAAAAACGATGTGAAAGCTTTTAAATGAAAAGGATGCGGAAAACACTAAAAAAAGCCGCGAAGCTGGCTTTAAACACATATTTACAACATATTTAAACGAGACGAACTTGAATAAACCGTCTGACAAAAACAAATTAGCGAAGGTTTGAAAAATTTTTGTATTGATATGTCTTGATCATACTTCAGTGAATAATAAAACAATATTGAATGCGTGTTTTGCATGATATCAACAATTATTCAGACCTTGATCAATGTTATCCTCATCAGCTTCGCTTCGGCAGATAACAATGACGTCGGTATGAATAATTCTTAAAATCATGTTCAACCTCATCCAATAATTGCTTATTATTTGCAGGGTAAAATCTACATTGCTACTTCTACGCTTAATCCACTGACCTTCACTTTCACAATGGCTGTTTCGTCTCTCGGGAAAGGATATTGAAGATTTCCTTGAACGTTTACAACCCACTTCAGTCCATTCATCTTTAGACTCTTCTAAAAATCTGTCATATTTCACCGTGCTCATTGAAGAAAATGTCTTAGCTTCAGATCGACGATTTGAAGAGGACGTGAAAGCAATATCTTTGGAGAAAGCGGAATTTTTCGACACTTGATGTTCAGACGAGACGACGGAAAGACTATCATCGGGGGCAACTACACTAAAACGGTTGGTGGTCGATAAAGCTTGTGAACAATTTATCGAATTTGATTCACTACGCATACGCAATCCATGCTGGGAATCCATTCTTGTCAAGGATATCGATCTGTTTAAATTTTTTTTCTTTTCTTTAGGACTTTTAAATTCTACAAAAAACAGTTTCCTAAGTTTGATGGCTGGTAAATGAAAAGTTCTGCTGTATTATTGCTTGTAGGAAAAATGCTATTGCTTCACACCATTACTAATATAAGAACTATAAAACAGGAGAATTTTAAGTCTACATTCGAGCTAAAACTTCGCAGATAAAAAATTAAATGTGGAAAGGTTCGAGCATTAAAACAAGTATTATTTGAAATGGTAAATCAGACGAGGCCTTAAACCTTGCCACTGATTTAGGTTGGCTACATAAACTACGCTACTGTTACGTAACTCAAGTAGCATTGTCATAATCAACTTGTCCACTTTTAACCTCAAACAGCATGACAGTAAGAGGCAGATTTTAAGCAAAAAGATTATTTTTTGTTTAGCTTAGCAGCGAATAGACACAGCAGAAATTGATAGAACATGAATGCAAATAAAACTAGAAGATTTAATTTAAACACAATCAAAATTACTTTTGTTATGTTATTGCTGCATGATATACAGAATATTCGTGTGATATTTTATTTTGGTCATTTAGCACGCTTCTTATATTCGATATGAGATACATCAAGTAATGTTTAAACATGTCAGCTGCAACGTGAAATTAATAGCGATAGTTAAAATGCTAAACGAAAAGCGTATAAATTTTTCAAGATTGGGTAACTGTGAACAGAGGCGTAACTAGAACGTTAATTGGGGTGTGTAAATTCGTATATTCAGTTGTGCCCTACTGATTTTTTTAAAATTCAATTCACTTTTAAATAAACCAGCAGGGCGCAACGGACTGTATGAATGCACCCCAATTAACGTTTTAGTTACTGCTCTGATTGCAAAAGAGTAACTTTTCGATTTTAAACTGAAATCTAGAATTCGTCAAGTTCAATATTATGGCCTAGCTAGTCATGATTGCATAGCTGAAAATTCTTGTGAGAGAAATTAAAGCTTAATTTGAAAACGTTGTATTGAAGCGATTGATACTTGCAAGATTAAAAAGTTTTAAAATGGTGCAAGAAACAAATAAAACATTTTTATTGTCAATCCTGCATTTTATATAAATCTTCTTATATACCCCGAAAGACAGCATTCTCAAAATCAGTGGCGGATCCAGACTGCGTCAAAAAAAATTGCAGTAGCCCATTTTGGCGTATATTTACATTTCTAAACACCTTAGAGGCTGACCATTGGTAAAATTAGATTATTTAGAATTTAAAAACCAATAGCATTTTTCTGAATGTAATTCAAATTTCAAATTGAGGAACTATAATTTATTTTGTCGTAAACTTAATCAGCCTCTGCTTAGATCCATGACGCATTACTTATGCAATCATTATCTTGTTTAACGTTTGTAGTTTACCTTGGTTACTTTGAGTAGTCTCAGGAGCCGTTGTAACGATTGTTTTCTATCAAAAATATATTTTACAATTAGAGAGGATCAAGCTATAAATACGTTAAAAAATTAATTCAAATGCAATTGTGTTTTTTTTTCAAAATTAAGAACGGTGCAAATGTTGTGGGTTGAATATAAATGAATAAAACTGCTTTTTAAATAGTATGTGCTTCATATAAGAAATATCATAATTAGTTTTGTTCATTATTTATTCAAAAAAATACAAAATCATTGCCTGAAAAAATTGGCTACTTCTTAAAGAGCAAATGACCTCATCTTGACTTTTTTTATTCTGATACACCACCACCAAAAAACATTTCAATGCATTTTAACAATTTCTACATTTTTTTGACTGAAATGCATATTTTCAGAATTAAAACGGGTAAAATGCAGATTATAGGAAACAGAGAGAACATTTGAGAACTAGAACTAAGGAATAGATCGGTTGATACCATTTGAGTTTATATTACAATACACTTCTTACTTGTTTACAGTTTGACCAGTTATAAACATGGTAAATTTTGCAATGCATAACTTGTCCAGGATTTATTCATACATTTTTTTGTTCATTTAACTTTGCTTTACAACAAGAAAAGGGCAAACTGAGCTATCTCGAAAAATATCCTGCACGGTTACTTAGAAATAACTAGACATTGTTGCACTCGACAACTTCCAATACGTGTTACAACAGAAAGAGATGGATTTCCAAGTTCTAGAATCTTCTTATCATAAGTATTTTTTCAAAGCTCGTTTGTAGTATTTTAGAAAATCACTTTAAATTAATTAAGGGTTGATTCATTTCTGGAGTGCTTGTAATATAGTTTGTACGCGTGAAATAGTTTAAAAGGGGGTTAACTAACGTTTTAAATATGCATGAATCAATAATAATATCCAAAATCCGGTGATAAGCACTTTAAAATTAATACCATTTAATGCACTGCTATTTTTTATTTTGTAATGACTTTAGCAGTCCCAGAAACATTCTTTACAATTGACATAAAATGGATAGACCTGACGACATTTGTTATAAAATTGTTACCACCCGTGTTAAAAATATACATTTACCTCGTTAAAAATATCCCTTTTCTGTATTCCAGTTTCTCGCTGATAATCCTGTTTTGCCATAACAACTTCAGACTCTGTTTTTTTTCTTGGCAAATCACCAACAGAACGTCCCCTACGTCTTCTTCCTCTTTTTTTTCTTTTTACCAATTCTTTATTTTCTTCTTCAAGTTTTCGTTCACGTGATTTCCTTTCTTTTTCTTTTCTCAATCTTTCTTTTTGCTCTTCCCGCTCTTTCCTTTTTTGCTCCTCGATCTGCTGCTGCTCCCTCAATTTTTCTTCTTGCTCTTTAGAAGCTTTTTCAATTGCCAATTTTAATTCCTAAAATGAGAAAAAATTGTCAAAAAAACGATCCAAAATTGTCACAAACAGTATAATGAAATAATAAATTTTATTTCCAGCTCAATCGAAAAACATTAAGTGTCAAAATTCTAAAGTCATTTACGTAGAAATCAATAACACATGTTTCAATACCTACGGATTTTTCTGTAAAATGCAGCAGCAATATTAGTCAGGGAAAACAACTAGATACACCCACCCTTTTCCTTAAATAGCAAATTGATGTTAATGTACAGGTGCAACTCAAAAAATACAAAATTTTTGACTTAAATGACCGTAAAATATCGCCGTAATATCTTTTAATTTCAATTCAAATAATATTAATATGTTATCCTTTAAGTCTTATCTTCATTCTCTTGTTTTTTTTTACCTCCTCTCACCCCAATCTGTATAGCTCCTGTCAACATGTCTAATTTTTATAAATCATAATAGCATATTACCCTTTTATGTCATTAGTTGTAAAAGGACTGTTTACTACAGTCATCACAGATTAATATTTTCCTACATTTTGTATGTATAGCCATTTAGTGGCAACATATTTATTACAATACAAATTCTTTATCTATTCAAATAGTTTTGATTGGACATTCATATTTTGAAAAGGTACATCTTAAATACCTTTTGCTTAAGTTGCGCTTCTCTTTTGAGATGTTTTGAGGTTTTAATTACCTTGAAAATGCAACAACATTCGTCACATGAGATAAAAAAGAAGATATCTATTCGTTTAGGCACAAATCGTGGCATCACTATTTCCAAATCACAAGATTGAAATTGTAAAAGTACCTTTGGAATCAATACAGTTTCTGGGGTGGTCGTTTTCGAGATATTTTTCTAAAATTGTATCATAAAGTTAAGCTTCAATACAAAGTAAACAAACTAAAAGTGAAGATAAAATCGAATTGCATTCTACCAATGTCTTTTAATAATCTTTCGTTTTTATTGTTTTTTAGTTGTTATTCATTTATACAAGTGTCATATTTTCTTCTCTTAAAGGTAACGTAATATAAATCCAAGTAATGTCCATTAAAGCTTCTTCATTTTTACCAGCACGAATTCCAAGTTTGAGGGTTAATTTTAGCTTAGTATTTACTTAAAAGCTATTTATCAAAAGCCCTAAATATATTGAACACTTGAAAACAACATTGATAAGAAATCGTAGACGACAAGATTCGTCACACGATTCGTCACAGTGAAAAAATTGGCAGTAAGTATACAGAAAATTGATTTATTATAATAGGCCAGGTATCTAGCCACATTAAATCATATTTTCATCTAAAAAATCTGCTTTGGTCATGCAAGATTTTTGCTTACAGAAATAATAAAATAGCAAATGAAAACAAATGGTAAGATACAAAGTCCGTAACTTCTTTTTCAAAATTCCATAATTCGTGTATAATTTCAGATAAATTGAGTTAACAAAATAAACATTAAAAACAGATCCGATTCAGCTTTGGGCAAAGTAAATTATAACCACTAATTTTAAATTTAAAATACCTTCAAACAAAGTCATTAGTTATAAATTTCTAAAGAATAAAAATTAGCAAATTGAAGAGTTGAAGTAATTTATTTCGCCCATTGCTAGATCCGCCGATGATTAAAAATACAGAGTGATGAGTTTTATAGTTTAACATGATTCACTGACTGCAAACCTAGTCTACAAAATGGTAATGCCGCAAAAAGTGCAGAATTTATGACAATATGCATTTTTTGACTTTATTGCTAAGAACATATTAATATATACAAAGTGTATATACAATGTGCCCTCGTGGCTATCACCATAGTAAAATGGTGACTCCTGCACTTGGGACACAGGACGTACGCTTACTTATTGTATGGATTGTATTGTAGAGTCATCATAGTGCTCAGACCTATAAAGGTGAGCTTTGCATATCGCAAACACGGTGAACGTCTCCATATGAGACTCTACACAATCCTACAGTGCTCAAACTACGCATACGCATGCGCAGTAGTCAGTGAGCGTCCTGTGTCCCAAGTGCAGGAGTCCCCATTTTAATATGGTGATAGCCAGGAGGGCACATTGTATATACACTTTGTATGCTGAGAAAGTTCCTGCCTTCAATAGCTATGAAGCCAGGAACTTTCTCGCCAAATTATATCAAAATATTTTCTAAGAAATATAAAATTTTCCATTTCTTACCTTGGAATTAAGTTTCATAGCGCTGGCGCTGCAATTTGTTTTTTCTGCTTCAACATAGGTTGGTACAGGTGGGTCAAGACTGCTCAATATTCTCTTTACATCATCACGCTATAATAGTAATGTTTTGATATTGATATGAATAGTCCTCCTTGCATGAAAGTAAACCTCCAGGCATTGTCTAACTAGTTGCATTTAGAGCTTAAATCCTGTGATAAAACATAAACGGCGTACCAACTAATAACAGTTGGAAGGTTTTAAATGTGCAAGCAACTAGAAAACAAAGATAAATATGCCAAACAATGTGTTCTTACTTTGAGGACACCCTTAGGTTCTATATAACAGTACCTACTAAGATTTCTGTATTATAATGTAATTTTCCCCGAACTAAATTTTAGTATAATCAGTATGATAGATCTGTCATGAAGAAATATATTTCATCTAATTGATATTTACTTAATTTTTTTATGTTACGAATAAATTTGCTCTTGTGATGTATGAAATGTTGCCAAGAAACATAAAATACTTACATATGGAAAACGTTGGAGAAGGGACAAAAGCAATTTACGAGCATCACTGATTCTTTCATAACCAATAAGTAAACCAAGCACAGAGATAACATCGTTAATATCAGTTTCAAGAGAGTATTTAATTGCTGTGCAATAAAAAAACACATCATTTTCAAGTGGAAACTCTACACTTACTTTGCAATAAGTCAAAAACTTCGTAATGAAAGAAACTTGCGTGATATTAAGCGTTCGCAAACTTTTAATGCTGTGACAATGGCATAATTTATAGTAGGTGTATTAGGAATATTCAACATTATCCTACACAGCATAGGTTAGACTGGTAAATGAGCATTTTTATTCGAATGAAATTCTTCTTAGAAGAATGCTCAGCCATCACCCTTTCATTCTTTTGCAACCAACATCGCGAGTCGCGACACTTATAAAATAGTTACGAATTATCATAACAATGTGGAATAAATTAAGTGATTATTTACCTCTTTTACAGGTGTTATAGACTTGGTCTATTGAACCCTAAACAAAAAAGTAGATTGATACAAAAACCACCTGTAAGCAAATACATAAAAAATCCGATTGGCTGAGAAATTACAGAATTTCATAAAGAAATGCTTTATATTAAAACTCTGTAAATAAAGAAGGGGACACGTGAAAGACCAGTTTTCGGATTACGGTGGCAAAAACTGTACTCAGTGGTGTAGCCAGCCCGACTTTTTACTCCGGCTATGCAAATATTTTAGTGTTCACGGACCGTGAGAACAAAGAAATTCGAAAGAAATCTTTTAGAAAGTACATAGCGGGTGTAAATCTGCAGACTGGCTACGCTACTTACTGTACTTCATGAATAATATCATCTTACCATTGCAATGTGACATTCTGCTTCTTTTAGGTAGCAAATAGATATTTGCGGGAAAAAACGTTTGGCTTCCTGAAACAAATGCAGAGCGATTTTCTTCTCCTTTGAGGCTAAATAACGGTCACCCGTCCTCAGTAAAACGTTAATTAAGAAGCGGTTGAAATCGGGGAAGATCAACTAAAACACATTTAAAATAATTGAAGTATATTCATTTACAGAATAATGTTGCTTTGTCTACTTACAACTTTTGTTTTCGTGACATACCTGGAATGTCTCGATGTCATCGCGCAATTGGAAGAAGGTATACATCTCGAAAGGCTTCATAATTTCCTGCAAATAAAAAAATTCAAAAAACTAAAACGCAGAATGTTTCTTTTAAAGGAAATAGATAGTTTCTGTAAAGTTTTCTGTAAAAAATAATAAGTGTTGTGTATATTTAGTATCGTATAGCTAAATACCCTTCTTCGAATAAATTTCTAATCACAAAGTTACTACATTACAAAAGATACAATGAAATGTAAAATCACAGGCATAAAATTGAATATATTTTAAAATTTTTGAAATCTAACTCTACTTTTTGGACCATGTTCTCTTTGGAAAACGATATTTCGAACGATTTTAAAAACACTTTTCCACCCAAACCAGCCAAACATAACGTTATCGGTTTTCGTACTTCAGAAACGTGAAACACCATGTCAAAAGGTACAATATTAGGTTTGACAAATACTTTTACTTATTTCTTTCTTACCTAACACATACTCATTTTTACAAATACTTGCCAGAAACTTACTGCATTTTTTTTAAGATTTACCTAATGTAGAAGAGCATACAAATAATTTCAATTTCATTTTCAAGGAGTTATTTTGATTCTAGACGTTTTTTTTTGATATTTTTCAAACATTTTAATATATTTGAAAAATATATATGTTTTTGAAAATATATATATTTGAAAAATAACTCCTTTTAATGGAGTGAAAAATTTAGAGTTGTTTCAACCCCAAAATTGGAGTTAAATTAACTCCATTTCATGATTGAATTCTGATTTTAATCCACTTGGAGTAATTTCAACTCAGCCAAAAGAGTTAAAATAACTCATAAATCAGAGTATAATTAATGGCATTATTTTAAACCGTAACATTTGACTCCAGGAGTAATAATGACTCCAAATTAATTATACCGTTATGGCAACAAGTTCATATGGCGTGTGCCTCGTGGCGCTTCGTTAGAATTTGGATTTGCAGCAACACTCTAGACGTTTTTTTTTGATATTTTTCAAACATTTTAATATATTTGAAAAATATATATGTTTTTGTTCTTTTAAGAAAAACAACATATGTTTTTGAGCGCAAACATTGCATAATGGTTAGTGTTAAGTGATATGATACATTATATAGGAAGCTAACATATGAATAAGTTATTTACAATGAATAGGCTTATGATTTGGTGACAAAGTATTAAAACATTTACATAAAAAATATATAAATTCAATTATTGATATTTATTATATTGATATTGATAATTTAATTATTGATAATAATTTATATATTTTATGTAAATATTTTGATATTTTGTTACTACATCATAGCGTTTCTTCAGAATTGTGACCAGGGATATACCGGGCGGAAAGCGAACTCTTAATATAAATATTAAAGCCCAGCAAAGTGCTTTTAAAGGAGCCATTTAATACAAAACATATAAAAAGAAATATTTATTTAGAAGCATAATAAATATTTCTTTTTATATGTTTTGTATGATAATAACTCTTTATACTACTAGTACTGATATTATATTAAGAACTGCATCATAGTCCTATTCAATGTAAATAATTAATTTATATGTTAGCTTCCTATATAGTGTATAACAGAGAGGTCATGGGTTCGAATCCCGTTGAGTCACCTGAGTTTTTCAGGTTCATAATACAATTGCTTAAATTGTCCAGCAAAGTGCGAAGATCATATCTTCATTTAATTTCAAACACCGCACTGCATATAACATTCTTTTATATAATGTATCATATTACTTAGCACTAACCATTATGCCACAGAATAGATACGAAACAGAAACACCACTCAGGGAAAAATCTGTACCTACTTGTACCCAGTTCTTAAGTGCGCATCTTTTGCGTCCGCTATTACTCCAGCCAGATAAACTGGCCAGAATGTATATAGATTAATACTATGAAGAGTTGTTTTTCGAAAATTTGACGAATTTAAATTCACTTATGGACAAAATTTTTAATGCCATCGGACAGGATATCATGCATATGAGGTGGAAAAACAGTTTTGTTGTAAAAGACGTTCGTCAAATATAATTTTACGGGTTTTATAGTTTCTTGCCTTGAATTGTATGCGAGATACATGTTTGGAATGTCTCTTACATTGAACGGCAGTTGCCCTAAGAACTTTTAATTTAGGACAAAGGTAATAAATATATTATTTTGATTCCATTTCTGTATTTTTTAGTAAAGAGTTTCCTATTGGAATGGTCAATGGATTTGTTAGAAGCCAAAAAACAACTACTGTGCGTAAAGAACGTTCTTCAGATGAAGACGTTCTTAGTAAAGAATTTGGTCTAAGCTACTTTTATATTTGATGCTTGAATCGGGGCTTTTTATTTGCAACGTAGCTTGTCTGCATAATTGTAATTGAAAGTTTTTTTTTGCAATTGTATATTGAGTTCCTGTATCTATCATGTTTGTCAAATTAACTTACAAATAAAGATTATTTTTTTTAATATTCAATAAACAATATATGAAATTACAATTATTTATAGAGTGAAGTTATTGATAAATTGTTTCAATTAAATTAACAACTTCGTCATTATGTCAAACATATTATCAAACTCCTACAGCTTAGCTCTATGGTTAAACTCCACATGTGAGTTGCGACCAACACTTATATGTGAAAAATGATAAGAATTATGTTTGATTCACCAGCAGAGAGAAAATATTGCAACAAAGGGCTCGAACATTTAATTTTTGCTAAAATCCATAAACTTCATTCAATAAGTTAAAAATTTTTATTGTAAAATGTTTACAATAAAAAGGTGAAACACAGATACAACTAGAAAACTTTTTTAAAATACTTGACAACAGGGAAGAACTGTGCTAAGCCAACACCAATTCAATTCACAAAAGCATTCAGGAAGCTTCTTTATGTTCACTTCTCACAGCATCTATGTCAAATATATAAATAATCTCCTGATTGAATTTAAAAAGGCAGAAATAACAAAGTTAAGTCATGTGGACCATATGACAGTATATGTTTTACAAATTGCTATTCAAGCACTCTATTGGTGGATAAACATGCTGCTGCTGATGTTCCAATTTGCTCAAAAAGTCATTCAAGCTTCACAATTCACAGCTGTGATGAATACAAAATCTTTTGGCATCAGACGACCTTCATAGTTGCCATGCAACATCGCTTCTGCTTTTTTAAAACACTTGGGTAGACAATTTTGGTTATTCGAATGTCCCGCCAAACGTTCTTTGCAATATATAAACTAACTGGAGGATAATTAAATTTGTCACTTGTTTCAGCCACGACCGAGACTTCAAATGTTACAACAAATATCTTCAAGATTCTCTGCAGAATTCTTATATGATAAAATTAAAACTGACGACAAACCATATACCGAGTACGCATCTCTTCAGATACATATTTACTCTGAAAATACTCCGAATAAACCCTCATTTATCAAAACGGACGTCGAATTAATGGATAAATTCTTGAATGCTTGATGTGCTAACTGTATACACACAAAAAATATTAAAAAAATGGCCAATCTATAGAAATATTTGGGTTTATTTGCCAAAACCCATCCGCAGAACTATATACTATATTACAATCTAGGTGCATTCATCTGGCTGGAAACATGGCCGCCGTTTAAAATACCCGGATTGTAGAACTAAAAACAGGAGACACAAACATCAAAGGTTCCGACATCGAGAGGCGCTTCTGTTACAATCCTTATTCTGTGATTATGGACTGAAGTTGCCATTCAGATGATGTCGAAACATGTTTGCGCTCAAAAAATTGTCGTTTTTCTAAATTTTTTTTAAACTTGCTGCTAATTAGAAATTATGTATTTTTTCGATGCTGTTAGCGAAATGGCTTGTAATAATTGAGAAAATCCGTGGATAACTCATAAAAATCTAAAAGATTTCGACAACAAAAGCTTGGACATAGAAAGTGAGGAAATTATACTCGGCTGATATATTGTAAAAGGGATGACTTGTAAGATTAGAGATATTCAGTGAAAATCATGGAGAATTCGTAAAGAAAAGCGGGGATTTTAATTGACACAAGAGTAAAAGTAGCTTTGCCGACTGATTTTGTAAAAACATTTAATAAATTTATTCAAGAGTTCTATTGATCTGCTGACAGTGACAGCCATTGCTATTCATTGGTATATTTATTTATCATCTTAACATAAAATTTGTTTTTTGTTATTATTGTATTTTGCTAGAAAATTTTCCAATAAATATGTTTTTATTAAACTGTTCTTTATATACTTGTCACTGCCTCGAAATACATCTCGAAATGTGACGAGTAATTCTTTTGAAGTGAGCATGACTCAAAATGTGGAGCTAAAATAACTCTATAAAAGAACTGTAACAACACCTTAAAGAGTTATTTTGACTCCACTTTTGGAGTTATGCTTACTCCAATAGCGGAGTTATAGTTTTGGAGTAAAATATAACTCCAAAAAGGGAGTCATTCTGTGCTTTTTTATTTAACTCCACTTTTGGAGTTAAATCATCTCCTTGAAATTAACTGTGTTGAAAAGCTTATACTAATAAGTTTGTTTAAAGCTCCGGCAAGAGCGATTACATTCTACAAAGGCTTGTGACTTCACAAATATAGCTGGTGGTAAAAAATTAATGTGGACATGTTTTAATTCTATTCACCATGATTCAAAATAAAAATTATCCTTCTTTAATCATAGTTTTCTTCATCTCAGTTCTGTTTCCCGTGAGAATCACTTCTTCTTCAAGGGCTTGGTAGATCTGCAATCCTTTGCTATTAAACCATTTGGTAAATCAGTAGCGGATCCAGCATTAGTCAAAATTATAACTCCTTCATTTTAAATTTAAAGTACTTTCAGAAAAACATTATTGGCTTTGAATTTTTAAAGATTATAATTTCACCAATGGATATGCTTCAAAGGGGTTCAGGCAGAAATTGAAATGTATGACAAAATGTGCTGCAGTAATTTATTTTGACTAACCCTAGATCGGCCACTGTGATAAATTCTCTGATTAGATTCTCTGGTGGCTTAGACACCCGAAAATATTGTTCATGCTATGTAAATTTTCCTTATTAATATCATTGTTTTATAAACAAATGTTTATACGATAAGTGAAAAGCAAAGTATCTACCCAGCATTAAAAACATGCGGGCTGGCTACGACACTTAATTATCTATTGCAGCATACAACTGGGAACGAAATTTCTGCTCGAAAATATGTCTCCGCAGGCTCTGTAAATTATGAAAGAGGTGTTTCTTTGGGATCATTGCATTGTCTATAATATGTAATTCACGCTTACCAACACAATTCTCGGACTCTTTGTGAAAAAATAAATGCAAATCTCCGCCAAAAATATCTGTGGTGTATAAGTGGCATCTAATGTTTATAAGTGTCAAGAATTTCGATTTGATACAGAAAAGATGTGAAATTGCGGTGAAAATGTTTAACTGTACCGTGTATGCAAACTACACGATTGTATAAAATACTGCATTGCTCAAGGTTGGATAGAACAATCAAGTTTTCTTTTATCCTATAAATCATCCAACTGCAATCCACTTATGTCAGTGTTTTGCTTGCTCAACATGCAGCACTTAACTTCAGTAGCAGATCCAGCGTTAGTCAAAATAAATTATAACTCCTTAATTTTAAATTTAAAGTATTTTCAGAAAAACACTATTGGTTTTAAATTTTTAAAGAATATAATTTCACCAATGGCTATGCCTCTAAAGGACTTAAAAATGTAAATATATGACAAAATGTGCTGCAGTAATTTTTTTTGACTAACCCTAGATCCGCCATGTGGGCGGATCAAACATCAGTCATGAAACGTCGGAGGCGCTCCGCTCCTGGGGGGATCTGAGGCATTCTCTCCTGAGAAATTTTGAATTTCAGAGCCATGAGAATGCCATTTTTAGCGTTTTAGAGCAATACAAAATGTATTTTGTGGGCATCGTTTTTGCGTAAAAACAACACATTTTGCTTACGTTTTTTTCAAATACAAAATGAAGTAAACAATACTTGAATGTTTTGCAAAATATTTAGGCTCATTATCATGCCAAATATATGAATCATTAGCATGTCTAGGAACGTAAAATGTATTTTACAATAATGCTATTCAAAAACAGATATAGTCTTCAAAATTTTCTACCAAGTTATCAGGCATAGACCCCCCTAGAGACCCCCATTCAAACCTCTGTGTAATGAGTTAAGTTAGAAATTTGGTACTACAAGAGACAGTTCATAGATATAGAAAAGCTCAGACTTCAAACTATGCAAGTTTATTGTAACCTTTTACCCATCTCCATATCAGTGCCAGCAAATTCACCTTATGTGAAAAAACTCAAAATTTTTTTCTGCCAAAGATTAAGCAAAAATTATCAGAGTGAAAATTTGCAGTTAAGGACAGCTTAATGCCATAAATGTTTATTAGGCATTTCACTAGACTATTATCTTCTGCAAGGTGTGCTATATAGCAATCACTTGTAGCATTGTATTTGCAAATACAAACAAAATGTAACCAACGTGTCTTTAATTATATAATTGCATAAATGTTAAAATTGGTTCATGTGTCATGCTTACTGTTTATGATACATATCTTTTCATATGATCAAAGCTCGTTTAAATGTAAATCTGAAATAATTTAGTTTAGAAATTATAATGATAATCAGAAAAATTACCTAGTGATCATAAAAAAAATACTTTGCTGTTTTGCCAAATTTCAAGGTTTATCTGTATACATAGGAAGACATTTTTACTTTATATAAAATGCTTTTCATACATCATTAGCCCTTTGGAAATTATGGCAAACAATCTGGTATGAGCCGTAGATTAACACACCTTCACATCTCTACATGAGGCGTTCAGTGAGAAAAGGGGACAATATGTGACATGGGACAACATTTCATGTATGTGAAATACTCAGGTTTAATACCATTCCAGTCAAATTGTCAAAATAAAAAGCTTCATGGATCAGAAGACTCAACATCACAGGTTATAGTAAACAGCTTCTCATGTAATCAATGTTAGTTTTCCCAAATCTTACACAATGTGTAGTATAACAGTCCAATGATTGAATGATCAATGATCATAAACTGAAAAGCCCCAAACATTTGTTTATGATAAAGTAAATAATAGTATGGCGCCTTATGGCTACAGACTTTTTGTCCATTGAAATATATTAGCAGGAATGTAGGATTTCGCTGCCATATAACTGCCACGATTCCCCAAGCACTAAAGAAATCATAGCTAAAATCCGTCGGCAGCAACAATTTTAGAAGCATCAATCTGCTTACCATACGCCATATTGATATATCGCATCACATACACGCATAAATTGACTTTGATGTTTTATATTTATGCATACACTTTAGTTGTCCTTTACTTACGATTTTGGATGTAAATTTCTGCTGAGAAAACTCAAAACAATGTTGGCTTGCTTTTGAACATAAACGACTGAAATGTCACTCGCGAGGTCGTCTTTGCGACGCATATACAATTCATACAGAAATTTGTCACCCTCTTGAAAAAAAATCACAGTTTGGACAGTAGCATTTATGTCAATATATGAATTTGTAAAAGATTTCTATGAATTCCATCTGATTGTAGTTTAGATTCTATCATGCTTAAGAAAATTACTATGAATCGATCAAACATTCAATTGAGACAGTGAGCTTGACTATGTTAGTTCAATTGGCTATTAGTCGAAATCGGTCAAACCAATAACAGTAAGACAAAAATTTAAACGAACCAATTACACGATAGCATTTGGACTCCCTTATCGGTCCGGCCACCCCGCTTATCGGTCGAGACTATTCCAGATCGTCCACTGATCTGGCTATTGACAAATGAAATGGCTTAAATAAGCGTTCTTGAACTCCGTTATCGGTCGAACCAGTCGTGCCACCCCGCTTATCAGTCAGCTAGTTAATATAATTCTAGATATGTTTTTATCTACTAATTTGTTTACTAAGGTGGTATTTGTATAAGTTTTCATACATAAAACAGAATTTTGACGATGAAATCCAAACGATTACAGAACGAAAATTTAATGATCAAAAAAAATGGTAATCATTAAATTTGATAAATAATTTATGAACTATAAACATCAGTCGCGTGACTGATTTGTCATACCCTAGATCCGCCACTGATATTAGCAACAGTCATGTTCACAATACACAAAAACCCATGACAACGCATTCCACACCTTCCAATCATATTAATCTAACCGCTAATTCAATTGGACGCTCTAAGCGTCCACAAATTAAAAACAATCGTATACAACTTCCTATATCTTTCTGATGAAAGCTTATTGAGCTTTCGCACCGAGTCGAAAGCTCAATAAAATAAGTTTATAACAATCCGTAGCAACTTTCATTTTTATACATTAAACATAAATTTATACAATATGGAAATGAAACTGACTTTGATAGAGTCTGAACTGAAATTATTTTTTATGTTTTATGCAACATGTTAACCGTGCATGATAGCTATTTTTTATCAATGCAACACGTGATCGGGAAACATCTCCCATTTGGCAAAAGCTTTACTGAGGTAAGTTCTCAACTTAATGAAAATGCACTTTAAAATACGTTTAAATGCAACCATATTTAAAAAATAACACACTTATTATAATCCTGTGTATTTGAAACTTAGGGATCAATAGCAAACACAAACATAGGCAAAGCGGCCTGCAAATTTTTTATGCTATGTAAATATTTTAGTATTCACCTACTTTGAAAACAAAGAAAATTGAACTATGGTTATGATGAAAAATTTAATGGCATAAACAAACTTGCGAGCTGACTTATTAAACTAAATGAATTATATAAGGTTACCTTTACATGAACATGCCTGTTCTTTCATGAATGCAAAATTTACCCTCGGACACCCGTGCCTTGTGGTCAAATCCTGCATTCTAGCTTAGAGTTGTAAATGAAAGTTTTTTTGATGATGAATGGAACGATGGAGACCCGTTGAATTGCTGGTTTCATGTTTTTGTTTTAGATAGGCTTTTAAATATATTCAGTAAAGTGGATGGACTGGCTTCGCCACTTGACACCACACGTCCATTCTTACAAAGACATTACCCTCAGCAACTGAATTAATAGAGGGAAAAGGTTCCATGCTCTGCTCTTACTGGGGGGGGGGCACAAAGAAATATAATTTTTTTTACGTAGTATATACCTTTTGCAAAAATGACTTTCGTTTGTAATTTACAATAAACAGATTTAGATTTGAGGACGCGAAGTTTAAGACGACGTTAGCTGACTGAGGCAGTCTAGGTCAACGACGCTTACGTCTTTCATGTAAAGAGTGACTTAGATTATATGAGAAGACGATAAGTTTTTACGAAAAACGAATTTCATCTTTTATGCAATGAATTTTATCTTTATCAAAAATGCCACAACTTTCCTCACCAATATTAAAAATGTAAAACTAAAACCAAACGAAATCATGATATCTTACGATGTAGTGTCACTTTTCACATCCATACCACTAAACATAGCCAAACAAGTCACAAACGAACTACTTACTAACAACAACTCGTGGAAAATCACAACCGAACTAGACAAAGAGGATATCATCGACCTGCTTGAGCTCTGCCTCTCCAGAGAATTCTCCTTCCAAAATTCATATTACCGACAAATCTCAGGAACACCAATGGGTTCTCCTTTATCCATCTTCCTTTCAGAAGCTGTTATGCAACACCTTGAAAAGCAGTCAGTCACCAACAACACACACATCAGACTATGGAGAAGATTTGTTGACGACATCTTTGCTATAGTCAAAAAAGACAAAACAGAACACATTCTACACACAATAAACAACACCATACAGAACATAACCTTCACCATGGACAAAGAACAGAACAAACAACTTACCTTCCTAGATATTATACTTACCAGATCACATGACGGCACATTAAACACACAAGTATTCCGCAAAAATACACACACACAAACTCAACTAATAGCAATCATCAACACAACACAAAATTAGTTACATACGATCGGATTAAAACTGCAATACAGAAGAAGCCAAGAATGCTCTTGATCCATTCATGCAAAATTACCCACGAAACATCAACGTATCATACATACCGTGAACGATAAGACGAACGTAAGTGACATTCATCGTCAGAAATGACATCAAATATCGGAATCCATCGACATCAATCCAACTCAAACTGATTGACAACCAACGCGATCTACATGATACCATGTAAAGATTGCCCCAAACAGTACATAGGACAAACATCCAAGAAAATTGTAAAAAGACTCACTGAACACAAGAATGCCGTCATTGATTACTGCATGATGACATTGATTGAGGAAAGAGTTGAATTTGTTCATTGGTAAATGGGCTTTCGGTAAATGGCACTTCAACAATGTCGGTGTCTCATTTAGGCACTGGTCCACACCAGTAAATACAATATTCTGAAAATTGGGCTAAACAAAATTTTAAGTAATGTTTATGTTTGTAACGCAAAACATTTTTTTCTTTTGTATGTGGAATTCTTCTAGATGTACCTGAGTTTCAACAGATTCATTGCAATCAAAACGTCTGGCTTCCTGCAGTCCTCTTATCCAAATCTGTGAAGGTGTTAAGTTGTTTTCAGATCCCTAAGGATGGTTTATAAAAGAAAACTTAGAATCTTGCAAATTACAATTGATTATAGCTAGGGAAACAAAATGAAGACACAAAAAATGTGCTCGATTGTTTGGGTCAACAGAAATTCACTCTCCAAATGGTAGAACAATCCAAAAAACAAACTGAGACACCCACAAAATGCATCACGCCATAATCTCTCTATTCGTTCATTGTGAGTACTTTTCCCCCGCGGAAAATTATACTGCGAAATGCTCACACTTCACTTCAAATGTTCAGTTTAAAATTCTATTACGCAAAATTATGCTGCCTCTCTTCGGTCCACGTTGACTATGACTAATCATAAAGGTGGATACGTAAGCGTTCTCCCCGCTTTTATCAGATATTACTCGTGATGATAACCCGTATTGGGAAACAGCATCTTGAAAGTATTGTAGAACAGTCTGTGCTCTGTTGTTGTTTGAAGGTTTTATATACACAGGGAATGGCGAATACCCATCAATTCCTCCGTGGACAACAATTCGCCATTTTTAAACAGTGGGCTATACTTAGTTAACTTAATATACACTCAAACGTCAAAGTAAAAAAATATTTAATAACCTGATCATTTTGTGATTGGGATGGATATGCCACAAAGATAATATGAATTTAACATTGTAACTACGTCTTTTTAGTGCATGTTTGTTTCCACCTAATCATTAGGACAGAGCAGGGTAATGATTCTCGCACTCTTGTCCAGAGAACTCGAAATCTTTTTGCATTGCAAAAAGCCTTTAACCATTTTTAAGCTACCATCCTGGATAATAATTTGTTGCTATAACAACAATTTCATCTGGATGATGATCTTCAATATTACCTTACGTTTCTACAAAATAAAATTTAATCAAAAATATTGTAGCTTAAAAAATACATCCTTTAAAGCGGTGTTTTTGGTATTTAAAAAAAACACAAACACAATTATTAGACCAAAACTCGTGCAGTAAAAAAGATTGTATGGCACATCATAGTGATAGCGTAGCGATGATACTTCATACCTGAAACACTTAGACGATACACAGTCATCCGTCTTTCAACAGATCGACAGCTAACTGCAAGAACAGCACTGATGTCTTTCACTTTAAAATCCATCTCAAGCAAATATGACAACAGTTTCTTATAAAGAACGTATGTTGGCCTTTGCTTTCTTTCAGTTCTTTCTAACCCTGCTCCAATTCTATTTCTCGCCAAGCAATTAACATTTTCCATTGGCAGCATCATTCGATTAGCTTCTGTGATGGTGGCATAAATGTCTTTGGACAAATCCATTATTTACAGTTATTCTTTATATATAATATAACATGCATGACATTAAATTTTTGTGGATCAAAATTGCCAAGGAAAGAATATTTGATTGCTTCTATTGCATTGATCAATTGATATACCAAATCTTTTCAAAACTACCAAATCGGCCGCCATTCTTTTCCATTGTAAGCCAGCAATGCACTGACATAAGTAGATTGCTGTTGCATGTTTTAAATGGTAAAACTAAAATTTGATCGTAGTTTGCAGCTTTGAGCGATGCCATATTTTATGCAATAATTTCGTTGCATATACGGCAGAGTTGAAGATTTTTCAAGGCAATGTTGCATCTTTTATGTCTCAAATCAAAATTCTTGACACTTAATTGTTTACAATAAATGCCATTTATACACAATAGATGCCACTTAAACACAATACATATTTTGACGGAGATTTGACGCCATAGTAGAGTTGATTCCGTTTATTCATTTATTATTTGTTTATCGTTTTGCCTACATTTCATGGCTATCCATATATACGTCGTTCGTACTTATTTTTCGTATCAATTAAATGACATGCATGAATAATTGAGCAGGATGCTTTTTACATGGATAAACAATAAATGTTGTCAGTGAAATTTATTACAAAATTCTTACCCCACGTGAACGACGAATTATACAATTAACATAATTCTCCACCAGCAATTCCAACGACATTTTGGAATGTATACTAAAATGTAAAAAATATATCATATCAAACAAAGGTCCTAAGAACATGCTTCATTTCAAATTCATACGGCAAGCAAAAACTTGGAAATTTTGGATGCTTGTCGGAAATTTAAATGGCCATATTTTATGCCAGCACCTCAAAGTTAGTGATTTTAAAGTCATGCAGGGGCGGATCTAGAGTATGTCAAATCCGTCGCGCGACTGAGGTTTGAAATTAAAAATTACCAATTCATATTAATTAAAAACTTATTAATTATTCTTACTTTATTATCGCATTTACTTCGTGATAAAAATCCAGCTTTATTTATTTTTGAAAACTAATGACTAATCCGATGAATATCTCCTTGGTAACCAGATCAGTTGAATTTTAATTGACCTGGAATAACCGACTGATAAGCGGGGTGGCTTGACTGGTTCGACTTATAAAGGAGTCTATGAACGCCAAAACACTTATTTTACTGGTCAATGGCCAGATCAGTGGACAGTCTGGAATGGTCTCGCCCGATAAGAGGGGTGGCCGGACAAATTAGGGAGTCCAATTGCCATCTTACAATTGGTTCATTTGAATTTTTGTTTTATTGTGATTGGTTTGACCGATTTCGACTGATAGCCAACTGAACTAACATAGTCAAGCTCACTGTTTGAATAAATGTTTGATCGTTTCATAGCAATTTTTGTAAGCATGATAGAAACTAAACTACAATCAGATGGAATTTATGAAAAATCTTTTACAAATTCACATATTGACATGAATGCTGCTGTTCAAACTGTGAATTTTTTCAACAGGATGAAAAATTTATGGATAAATTGTAAATGATTGGCAAAGACGATCTCGCCAGCGACATTTCAGTCATTCATAATCAAAAGAAAGCGAATATTGTTTTGAGTTTTCTCAGCAGAAATTTACATCCAAAATCGTAGGTAAGGGACAAGTGAAATATATGCATGAATGTAATATATAAAAGTCTATTTATGCGATTGTGTGATGCGATTTATGTCAATATGGCGTATGATAAGCAGATTGATGCTTCTAAAATTGTTGTTGCCAAAGGACTTTTGGCCATGATTTCTTAAGTGCTTGGGGAATCGTGGCCGTTATATGGCAGCGAAATACTACATTCCTGCAAATATATTTCAATGGACAAAAAATCTATAGCCATAAGGCGCCATACTATTATTTATATATCATAAACAAAAGTTTGGGGCTTTTCAGTTTATGATCATTGATCATTCAATCATTTGACAGTTATACTACATATTGTTTAAGATTTGAGAAAAATAACATTGATTACATGATAAGCTGTTTACCATAGCCTGTGACTTTGAGTCTTCTGATCAATGAAGCTTTTTATTTTGACAATTTGACTGGAATGGTATTAAACCTGTGTATTTCACGTACATGAAATGTTGTCCCATGTCACATATTGTCCTCTTTTCTAACTGAACACCTCATGTAGAAATGTAAAGGTGTGTTAACCTACGTTTCATACCAGATTGTTTGACATAAATTCCAAAGGCTATTGATGTATGAAAAGCATTTTCTATAAAGTAAAAATATCTTCCTATGTATGCAGATAAACCTTGAAATTTGGCAAAACAGCAAAGTATTTTTTATGATCACTAGGTAATTTTTCTGATGATCATTATAATTTCTAAACTAAACTATATCAGATTTACATTGAAACGAGCTTAGATCATATGAAAAAATATTTATCATAACAAGTAAGCATGACACATGAACCAATTTTAACATTCATGTAATTATATAATTAAAGATATGTTGGTTACATTTTGTTTGTATTTGCAAATACAATGCTACTAGTGATTGCTCTATAGCAAAACTTGCAGAAGATAATAGTCTAGTGAAATGCCTAATAAACATTTATGGCATTGAGCTGTCTTTAACTCCAAATTTTCACTCTGATAATTTTTGCTTAATCTGTGGCAGAAAAAAATTTTGAGTTTTTTCTCAAAAGGTGAATTTGCTGGCACTGATGTGGAGATGGGTAAAAGGTTACAATAAACTTGCATAGTTTGAAGTCTGAGCTTTTCTATATCTATGAACTGTCACTTGTAGTACCAAATTTCTAACTTAACTCATTACATAGAGGTTTCAATGGGGGTCTCTTGGGGGGGTCTATGCCTGACAACCTGGTAGAAAATTTTAAAGACTACATCTGTTTTTGAATAGCATTATTGTAAAATATATTTTACGTTCCTAGACATGCTAATGACCCATATGTTTGGCATGATAATGAGCCTAAATATTTGGCAAAACATTCAAGTACTGTTCACTTCTTTTTTTACGCAAAAACGATGCCCACAAAATACATTTTGTATTGCTCTAGAAGCGCTGAAAATGGAATTTTCAAGGCTCTGAAATTCAAAAATTTCTCAGGGGAGAATATCTCAAACCCCTAGGTGCTGAGCGCCTCCGACGTTTTATGACTGATGTTTGAAAAATTCCAGATACGCCGCTGATGTCATGTGCTTGAAGATTACAGAAATCAGAGCAGATTTTCTGTCGGACTGTTACACTTTTCGGAAATTATGCATTTCTCAATATATATTTACGTTAATGTACTTAAGTTTTAACATTGTACTTAGTATTATTAACTGCACCTAGAGCAGTGTTAATAGAACAATACTCACAAATGGTGCGAGTGTTAAGTAATAAATATATAGACTGGGAGGAAACTCAACATACTAAATGTTTGGCATTAAAATACTTTAACTTTTAAAGCCTGAACCTAACCATAACCCTAACCCTAATCTTAAGTATAGCTTTCGTTATTAGTTGTTTTAAGCGTGTTAAACATGTATCGCCATTGATTGGGAAATGTCTCGTCAACTACAATGAGGGAGCTTCAAACACCATTTTTAAATGCAAAGTTCGTGAAATGTACTTTTTCCAACCATGGAACTTCAAAAAAGGATCACAGCAACGAGGTAATGCATGGGAAATGATCAGTGATTCTTAAATGATATGGATAGCCCAAAGTTTAGCGTGACGCAAAAGTCTGTTTGAGACCAATACACTTTACTTCAAAAACAACAAAAGAAAAGATTAAGAGAGGAGGAAAAAGCTTCTGGGATCTCTCCAGAGCCATCTGCAGTAGAAACTTCTATTGAGGAAATTGTTCAATTGTTCAGAAAAAGAGATGGAGAAAGAAAAATTTAGAAGAGAAACAAAAACAAAACTCTGTTGCAGAAGTAGAAAAGGCTGTGGAAATGAGACAACAGCCAATGGAAACATTAGCTGAAACTTACAAAAGAAAATCTCAAAGTAAAGATGGTGAAAAACCTAAAACAAGAATGTCATCAAATGGAAGTGAAACCATCGCCTATTTACAACAAAAGTCAAAAGTTGATGCAGAAACTAAAAGAGAAGAATTGATGTTGAGAAAACCTGAAGCTGATGAAAGAAAGCAACAACAAAACAACAAAATTTCTCAACAGGAAGCACTAAAGCCTTAACTGACAACATTGCTGCTCAGCAAAGGCAGCAAGAGAAACTAAGGCATCAAATGCAACTTCAAAACACTGCTTTACTAACATTGATGCAGAATATTGTTAAAAAAGACTAAAATGTTTTGTTAAAACAGTGTATATATTTTTGCTTGAGAATAGACCAAACTTTTTTCACATACGCAATTTACTGTTATTAATATTATAGATAAAACATTCATAAAGTTATCCATAACAAGAGTATATTTGAGTGAAGTTAAAAAATGTTCCTGTGACTTGACTCTGCCCATTAAACAATTTGTCGACTTGATAAGATTGAATATTTTAAAACTTTTTACACAAAATATTCACGTATAGATGGAGGTTAAAGTTAAAAAAACTGTGAAATTGTAGACCCATAAAAAAACATCTTTCATTATGAAGTAAGGTACAACAAGTGCACATTTTCCCTACTGCATTAAGTTGTATTTTTAGGTTCTTCTTGAATTCAAGGAATTTAAAATAATTAACTATGTCTCCAAAAATCCATTCGACAGACACTCTTACACTGCTCATTGCTTTGTTCCATTGTTGTTGTTAAGGAGTTATTCTTGCTCCTTTAAATGGGCATTGTAGTTGAGGTCGATGAGGATAGGCAGGGTCACCATAAATGCAAACAGGAGTTTCGTTGATCAAAGGAACCAGCTGCTGAAGCTTGTTATATAAACTGGATTGAGCAAGCATTGCGCTGTCATTGCGTCTACCCTCCACAAGACCAAAGAGATTAGCCACAAGACCATTTGAAACAGCAATTGACTGAAACTTTATGGCACGAACTCTTTTATGGCCATTATAAATAACTCTTTGATTTTCACCAGGTTTAGAAATTTTACATACTGTCCCATCGACAAAACCAAAACAATTTTCAAGGCACCACTCCTCTGAAACACTACTTTACAAAATTCTTGAATGTTGCCTGAAGATAACCTTGGTTGATCAAATGTTAACAGCAAACGGTTCCACTCCATGGAAAAAAGTTTATGACAGCATTACTGATCATACATAGTTGAGGAACTGGTCTACCAATTCTTGGCAACATATCCGGGTATCGACAAGGGAAGGCAAAACGTTTCAAAAATATGCACAATGCCTCAACTCTACCAACCTTAAGGCCGTTATAACATGTAATAAATTGTGGAAGCCTCAAAGCATCCACAAGAGTGTAAATGTGTGATTTCATAAACTGAAAATATGCTTTACACTCGTCGTCGCTTAATTTATCTAAATCAGGCTCTTAGTATTTCCAATAAGGCAAATCCGGACATTTACCAGTATAAAAGTTGAAAAGGAAAATAAAGTCATCGTCTTCGATTGATTGATCCGAATAAGACAAAAAAAGACGCTCTCGAATTGCTCTCCACTTCGGCGTTTTTTGTTTTTGAATTTTTTTGAAAGCAATGTTTTATGATTTATATTCCCGCCAATTATTTTTCCGCTGAGGTGGCGTTGTAAATTTGCGTAAACTAAAAATACGCTTGCGCCGGAGATGTGAAACACAAGACGTCGCCGTTGCAAAAAACCGTGCAACGTAAGCTCTCTAAGATTAAGGAACGTCACTAAAACACCACACGAGTACATACGAGTACATACAAGTATATACGAGTGACATATGAGTACATATAAGTACATACGACTGTCATACGAGTACATACGAGTACATACGAGTGACATACGACCATATACTGGTCACAAATGAGAAATAAAACAATTTCTTCAATAATACATTGATATTTGCGTTCACTTTTTCTTGCATTTGTCTGGACTCTGGGGCAATCATTTGATGGATTTAAATGCTGAAAAGGTATTTTACTTTCATACTACATTCATTTGTATGTTTCAGTTGAATTTGTTATACCTATTTTAGTGATGTAAATAGTGATGTAGAGAAGACAGTGAATGATTGGAGTGTTCTCTTTCCAATCAGCTGTAAAAATACTCGAGTGAAAAGATTAAACTAGGGTAGAAGTTGTCCAAGAGTGGGCTGCAACAAGTTAGCTACATATGATTGATGTTCCACCAAAATATTCAAAATTTCACTCCAGAAACAAGACGCCTATGTTTAAAGTTTGTGGGAGAGCATCCACCTAAAAGTTTATATTGAGTGAAAACTCAAAAAAACATTTAAGTATGTAGCGAGAGACTTGCCGAGCGGAAATCGAATACGTGTGATAAAAATCAATGCCCAACTTCTTTCTTCCCCTTTAAGGACAAAATTCCCAAGCCTCTGAGATCTGGTGTAGTCTATTTATTCAAGTGTCGAAGCTGCGACGCTTCGTATGTGGGTCAAACCACACGTCATCTACACACCAGATTTTCGGAGCACTTGGGAATATCCCCCCTTACAGGCAACCAAGTTTCCCACCCTGCATCATCAAGCATTCTTGCTAACATTAACGCAACTGGACACACCCCCAACTTAGACGACTTTAAAATAATCTCCTCTTCCAACGATACTTATGAACTCTCCATCCATGAAAGCCTTCTAATCAATAAACACAAGCCTTCACTTAATGTGCAAGGAAACTCCATTCCACTTAACCTCTTTTAATTTCTCTTCATTTCACTTCCAAACTTCCTTATCATGTACCCATTCAACACCGCTTCCTTTAGTAGTAATTTAACACCTTTTTGTAAATATAATACCTTGTCTTAACGTCCTATTTATTATTTGTCTGAAGATGTCTTGAGTAAAGACGGAACGTCACAATAAATTTAAATTTCACAATTTGTTTTTTTTTTTTTTTTGGTCTATTTCTATGGCTCTAATCAGAACTTTATGTTGGGCATTGATTTTTAAACATTTAAGTAGTTTTAAGCGGCAAAGTTACACAAATGTGATAATTTGCACAAATTTTTTATTGCTATAGAAGTCGCTTATCATGTAATTATCATGTCTGCAGATCACGGAACTGGGTTTAGTCGAAAAAAATTACAGCTGCACATTTTGGAATGTATTTACATTTCAGAGCCCCTCAGAGACAAGTCCATTGAGGAAATTAAATTCTTTAGAAATTCAAAACTAATAGTGCTTCTCTGAAAGTGCTTTGAATTTAAAATGAAGAAGCTTTAATTTATTTTGCTCACTGCTGCTCGCTGTGAATACCCCTAGATCCGCTACTGCACGGATCTCCGTGTAAACAATTGAGCAGTTCAATATCATAATCAATTTTGTACTTTGCTTGCAAAAACCCAATTGCATTTGTTTTCTAAAATTTTAGCAAATTTGGAGGCTAATGAGGTGTGATTTTGTGTGTAGTTACTGAAAATAATGAAGCGGAAATCAAATCCATCAGTGCTTTTCTAAATATCAGCATTTTATGTCAGTTTACAAGATCGTGACTAAAACACCACACGAGTACATACGAGTACACACGAGTACATACGAGTACATACAAGTACATACGACTGACATACTAGTACATACGACTGACATACGAGTACATACAAGTGACATACGACTATATATGTACTCGTATGTCAGTCGTATGCACTTGTATGGCAGTTTGTATGTACTAGTATGTACTCGTATGTACTCGTGTGGTGTTTTAGTCACGATCCAGATTGCAATCTAAAGACGATAATTCGACACATTATGCGCCTTTGCACAGCCAATATTTAAAAGTATGACCTGCAAAATGTTTTGTAAAGCCAAGGACAAACCTGAACATGTGAACGCAAAGCAACATCGAAGAAGATGTTAAAACTACAAGAATATTTTCCATGAGCAAAAAAAAAGAAAACGAAAGGTATGCTGTCATTTAAAAGTAGTAAAGACAAAAAAGTCAGGTGCGATGGTTAAAATGGGTACACTCAGACTTTTGTTACATTTTTCTTATCTTATTAGTGCCATCGTCCATAATTGTTACATGCCACTTAGCGCATCTTTATAAATTATTGTTTTCGATGATTTTTCTCGGATTTGCAACGACCAAAACATTTGCCATAGATTTCACTCATAACAACCAAAATTTATTGTGTGTGGCGACTCGTTTAAAGCTCCGAGCGCGATCTAGTATCGCACTTTAGCTTGCTGATTAATTATTCAGTCACATTGAATACACAAACAGCAACACTCCTCGCCTTCTGAGGCAAAATGAGCAGCTCTCACTAAATAGCTGCCTAAGAAGTCAGGCAAGAAATTGCCGAAACTAACTTCTTAAATCATTTATTATAAACTATGTAGATCAAAGAACAATGCGAATCACAATCAAACCATCACTGCGGAAGCGAAACAATATTATACATTCTCAATGACACTAACGACATCACGCTCTTAAAATGAAAATTTGAGCAATGTCATCGGAAAAACCAATACCATAGTTCCGGGCAACGTGTTCATAGTCGCCCTGTTTGATTGCAAGGCTAAACCATGTATTTATCAGGCAAATTTTACAGAATTTAATAATATGACTCCAGTAATTTCATTACATGCAACATAACCAGACATGCTATTCATTATTTAACAGAATGTATAAAGAAAAAGACACTTACAATGTCTCCTACATTTGAAGTGTTATTATCAACGGAAAATCTTTATTCTATTAGGCCATGCGATTTTTACTTATCGTTTGAATCCAACTGAAATTTTTAACGACATCTGCGGCAACACACGAGTTGTGGGAAACAAAGAATGTAAACAGGAAGTAAGATGACCTACACTGTATACTTGAAACGGAATCTGAAATATCAGAGAAATCTGAAACATAAGACTTGATCTAAAATTCTAGAAAAAAAGCGTTTGCTTCCAGATCCCTAAAACACCCAAAAGATTATTATTACTGCATGGAATAAGGGCGCAACTTTGAGCTTACCACATAGATATATTTTGGTTGCCATAGTTCACTGTAAGAACACATTTTTTAAAATTTATGAATCAAAACCAAACTTATGAGTACCGTAGCCACAAAAAATATTAGTCAACAATTCAAGTAAATTCTACTCTATCAATAATGAAGAACATTAGCTAAAAGCTATATTACTCCAGTATATCGGTATTGTTTCGCATTGTTGCGTTGGCATTTCTGGAAAAAATTTCAACCATTTAAAGAATGAAAACATTAGTTTTAAATTGCAAAAATATCCAATGAGAGACGATGTTTGAATTCTGCTTTTGATTATCAACAGTTCTTTTTATAGCTACCGAGGTTATAGCTATTATTTACAAAGGCAAATCTAGTATCACCATTCAAAGCAGTATTTGAATTCCTTATAATAAGCAAATTTTGTTTTACAATTATTGATTAGGAAGAGGCGAAAGATATATCTCTTTAAATTTCCATGTTATGTGAACTAAAGCACACCATTTTAGACAATGTTAGTGCAATCTTGATTGTGATTGACAAGGAACTAAATGCTTCATAATAAATATTGGATAATGTTTGTCGGTATTAGAGCGGTTGATGTGGAGAGATGTAAAATCATTGTTGGGATTACAATTGGAATTGTATAAACATATTTTCTCTTGGTTTATTGCAAATCAAGAAAATTTACGCTGGAAAAAAATGACTGTTGCATGTAGCATTTCTTAATGAAAATCACTGAAATACGTACAGCACATGCAAAATATTTGTTTGTTAGGTTATGCTCTCATGTGATGTACATATGTGTATCTTGTAAAGTGTGTGTTAACTTCCTACATGTTTAATTATAGAAATGATTGTAGACGTAATCGATATTATTTGTAACAAGAGCTGAGGAAATAAACTGACCAATTACAGTTTAGCGTCACGTATGTAAATAGCTGTATCATTATGTGTATTAGTTACTTGTCGTGTGCTAGTCTTTCTTCTATGTGTGGGAATAAATGTAATAAAACCTACAGACATCAGTGTGATTATTTTTCATGGCCACTGTGTCAAACCCAACAGGTTATGGGCCCAGGAGAGCAATAATGTTCAACGGAGATGAAAATAAGTATGAGCTATGGGAGGTAAAGTTCTTGGCGCAAATGAGACTACAAAAATCGTATAATGTGTTCGTTCCTGCGAACAGTTAACCTTCACCGAGCGCAGCGAAGAAAGCAGATGCTTTCGCAGAACTACTCCAGTGTTTAGTCGACAGAAGTTTATCCCTGGTTATACGGGAAGCTCGAGATGACGGACCTGAAGCACTCAGAATTCTGCGTCAACATTACCAAGGAAAAGGAAAGCCACGTGTTATAGCTCTATACACCGAACTCACTACATTGAAGAAGAACGACAACGAAAGCGTTAGTGACTAGAGCCACGGCTGAGAGCCACGGCTCTGAAAAATGCAGACGAAGTTGTAAGCGATCCGCTTCTAATCGCTATGGTACTGAAAGGGTCTTTGACATAGCACAGATAGGGCGCTTATATTACCTAAATAGCATTTCGTCTTCTAAGAATGACGCAGGGACTCTGCTAGAATGGCATAGAATTCTTGGGCATAGTAATTTTTCGGACATACGTAAATTAGAGAAGGTAGTGGACGGAATGAAGATCTCAAGTTATAATGAGAATGAATGTGAGATATGTACTCAAGGCAAGATGACACAGGCAAGGAGTAGAACCAATGATAGAAGAGCTACAGTCCCATTAGATCTAGTACACTCAGACTTAGCAGGACCGATCAGCCCAGAAGGCAAAGACGGTTTCAAGTATGCCCTGTCATTTATTGACGATTAGAGTGGGGTGATCATGATATATTTTTTGAAATACAAATCTGACACTATCAAAGCCACAAATCAATTTCTGGCTGATATTGCACCTTTCGGCAAAGAAAAATGTATTAGAAGTGATAATGGAGGGGAGTTTGTTGGACACGAGTTTAGAACCCTTCTGCGTGACAACAAGAATAAACATGAGACATGTGCTCCTTATTCACCTCACCAAAATGGGACGGCAGAAAGAGCTTGGCTAAGTTTATTTAATATGGCCTGGTGTTTGCTATTTGAGTCAAAGCTGCCAAGGACCTTGTGGACCTATGCAGTGATGGCATCTGTGTATATCAGAAACTGGTGTTTCAATGACCGGTTGGGTAAAACCCTGAGGCTTTAACAGGGTTAAGACCTAATCTTAGGAAGATGCATGTGTTTGGTTCAGTGTGCTATGCCTACGTGCAAAACCCGAAAAGCTTGAACCTAGAAGCAAGAAGGGAATGGGTATGATAAGTGTAGCTGCATACCCTGTAAAATAAAGTGAAAAGATTAAAGTAGGGTAGAAGTGTCCAAAGTTGCAATAGTATCATGATTGATGTTCCACCAAAAATATTCAAAATTTCACTGCAGAAATAAACACCTATGTTTAAAGTACTGTGCAAAGTTTATATTGAGTGAAACTAGAACCCGAGACTTGCCAGCGGAAATCGAATACGTGTGAAAAATCAATACCCAACTTCTTTCTTCTTTAAGGACAAAATTCCCAAGCCTCTGAGATCTGGTGTAGTCATTTATTCAAGTGTCGAAGGCGACGCTTCGTATAGTGGGTCAAAACACGTCATCACACACAGATTTTCGGAACGGGAATATACAGGCAAGTTTACACCCTGCATCATCAGCATTCTTGCTAACATTAACGCAACTGGAAGACGACTTTAAAATAATCTCCTCTTCCAACGATACTTATGAACTCTCCATCCATGAAAGCCTTCTAATCAATAAACACAAGCCTTCACTTAATGTGCAAGGAAACTCCATTCCATAACCTCTTTTAATTTCTCTTCATTTCACTTCCAAACTTCCTTATCATGTACCCATTCAACACCGCTTCCTTTAGTAGTAATTTAACACCTTTTTGTAAATATAATACCTTGTCTTAACGTCCTATTTATTATTTGTCTGAAGATGTCTTGAGTAAAGACGGAACGTCACAATAAATTTAAATTTCACAATTTGTTTTTTTTGGTCTATTTCTATGGCTCTAATCAGAACTTTATGTTGGGCATTGATTTTAAACATTTAAGTAGTTTTAAGCGGCAAAGTTACACAAATGTGATAATTTGCACAAATTTTTTATTGCTATAGAAGTCGCTTATCATGTAATTATCATGTCTGCAGATCACGGAACTGGGTTTAGTCGAAAAAAATTACAGCTGCACATTTTGGAATGTATTTACATTTCAGAGCCCCTCAGAGACAAGTCCATTGAGGAAATTAAATTCTTTAGAAATTCAAAACTAATAGTGCTTCTCTGAAAGTGCTTTGAATTTAAAATGAAGAAGCTTTAATTTATTTTGCTCACTGCTGCTCGCTGTGAATACCCCTAGATCCGCTACTGCACGGATCTCCGTGTAAACAATTGAGCAGTTCAATATCATAATCAATTTTGTACTTTGCTTGCAAAAACCCAATTGCATTTGTTTTCTAAAATTTTAGCAAATTTGGAGGCTAATGAGGTGTGATTTTGTGTGTAGTTACTGAAAATAATGAAGCGGAAATCAAATCCATCAGTGCTTTTCTAAATATCAGCATTTTATGTCAGTTTACAAGATCGTGACTAAAACACCACACGAGTACATACGAGTACACACGAGTATAGTACATACAAGTACATACGACTGACATACTAGTACATACGACTGACAGACAAGTGACATACGACTATATATGTACTCATGTGTCAGTCGTATGCAGTTGTATGTACTAACTCGTATGTACTCGTGTGTTTTAGTCACGATCAGATTCAATCTAAAGACGATAATTCGACACATTATGCGCCTTTGCACAGCCAATATTTAAAAGTATGACCTGCAAAATGTTTTGTAAAGCCAAGGACAAACCTGAACATGTGAACGCAAAGCAACATCGAAGAAGATGTTAAAACTACAAGAATATTTTCCATGAGCAAAAAAAAAGAAAACGAAAGGTATGCTGTCATTTAAAAGTAGTAAAGACAAAAAAGTCAGGTGCGATGGTTAAAATGGGTACACTCAGACTTTTGTTACATTTTTCTTATCTTATTAGTGCCATCGTCCATAATTGTTACATGCCACTTAGCGCATCTTTATAAATTATTGTTTTCGATGATTTTTCTCGGATTTGCAACGACCAAAACATTTGCCATAGATTTCACTCATAACAACCAAAATTTATTGTGTGTGGCGACTCGTTTAAAGCTCCGAGCGCGATCTAGTATCGCACTTTAGCTTGCTGATTAATTATTCAGTCACATTGAATACACAAACAGCAACACTCCTCGCCTTCTGAGGCAAAATGAGCAGCTCTCACTAAATAGCTGCCTAAGAAGTCAGGCAAGAAATTGCCGAAACTTCTTAAATCATTTATTATAAACTATGTAGATCAAAGAACAATGCGAATCACAATCAAACCATCACTGCGGAAGCGAAACAATATTATACATTCTCAATGACACTAACGACATCACGCTCTTAAAATGAAAATTTGAGCAATGTCATCGGAAAAACCAATACCATAGTTCCGGGCAACGTGTTCATAGTCGCCCTGTTTGATTGCAAGGCTAAACCATGTATTTATCAGGCAAATTTTACAGAATTTAATAATATGACTCCAGTAATTTCATTACATGCAACATAACCAGACATGCTATTCATTATTTAACAGAATGTATAAAGAAAAAGACACTTACAATGTCTCCTACATTTGAAGTGTTATTATCAACGGAAAATCTTTATTCTATTAGGCCATGCGATTTTTACTTATCGTTTGAATCAACTGAAATTTTTAACGACATCTGCGGCAACACACGAGTTGTGGGAAACAAAGAATGTAAACAGGAAGTAAGATGACCTACACTGTATACTTGAAACGGAATCTGAAATATCAGAGAAATCTGAAACATAAGACTTGATCTAAAATTCTAGAAAAAAGCGTTTGCTTCAGATCCCTAAAACACCCAAAGATTATTATTACTGCATGGAATAAGGGCGCAACTTTGAGCTTACCACATAGATATATTTTGGTTGCCATAGTTCACTGTAAGAACACATTTTTTAAAATTTATGAATCAAAACCAAACTTATGAGTACCGTAGCCACAAAAAATATTAGTCAACAATTCAAGTAAATTCTACTCTATCAATAATGAAGAACATTAGCTAAAAGCTATATTACTCCAGTATATCGGTATTGTTTCGCATTGTTGCGTTGGCATTTCTGGAAAAAATTTCAACCATTTAAAGAATGAAAACATTAGTTTTAAATTGCAAAAAAATATCCAATGAGAGACGATGTTTGAATTCTGCTTTTGATTATCAACAGTTCTTTTTATAGCTACCGAGGTTATAGCTATTATTTACAAAGGCAAATCTAGTATCACCATTCAAAGCAGTATTTGAATTCCTTATAATAAGCAAATTTTGTTTTACAATTATTGATTAGGAAGAGGCGAAAGATATATCTCTTTAAATTTCCATGTTATGTGAACTAAAGCACACCATTTTAGACAATGTTAGTGCAATCTTGATTGTGATTGACAAGGAACTAAATGCTTCATAATAAATATTGGATAATGTTTGTCGGTATTAGAGCGGTTGATGTGGAGAGATGTAAAATCATTGTTGGGATTACAATTGGAATTGTATAAACATATTTTCTCTTGGTTTATTGCAAATCAAGAAAATTTACGCTGGAAAAAAATGACTGTTGCATGTAGCATTTCTTAATGAAAATCACTGAAATACGTACAGCACATGCAAAAATATTTGTTTGTTAGGTTATGCTCTCATGTGATGTACATATGTGTATCTTGTAAAGTGTGTGTTAACTTCCTACATGTTTAATTATAGAAATGATTGTAGACGTAATCGATATTATTTGTAACAAGAGCTGAGGAAATAAACTGACCAATTACAGTTTAGCGTCACGTATGTAAATAGCTGTATCATTATGTGTATTAGTTACTTGTCGTGTGCTAGTCTTTCTTCTATGTGTGGGAATAAATGTAATAAAACCTACAGACATCAGTGTGATTATTTTCATGGCCACTGTGTCAAACCCAACAGGTTATGGGCCCAGGAGAGCAATAATGTTCAACGGAGATGAAAATAAGTATGAGCTATGGGAGGTAAAGTTCTTGGCGCAAATGAGACTACAAAAATCGTATAATGTGTTCGTTCCTGCGAACAGTTAACCTTCACCGAGCGCAGCGAAGAAAGCAGATGCTTTCGCAGAACTACTCCAGTGTTTAGTCGACAGAAGTTTATCCCTGGTTATACGGGAAGCTCGAGATGACGGACCTGAAGCACTCAGAATTCTGCGTCAACATTACCAAGGAAAAGGAAAGCCACGTGTTATAGCTCTATACACCGAACTCACTACATTGAAGAAGAACGACAACGAAAGCGTTAGTGACTAGAGCCACGGCTGAGAGCCACGGCTCTGAAAAATGCAGACGAAGTTGTAAGCGATCCGCTTCTAATCGCTATGGTACTGAAAGGGTCTTTGACATAGCACAGATAGGGCGCTTATATTACCTAAATAGCATTTCGTCTTCTAAGAATGACGCAGGGACTCTGCTAGAATGGCATAGAATTCTTGGGCATAGTAATTTTTCGGACATACGTAAATTAGAGAAGGTAGTGGACGGAATGAAGATCTCAAGTTATAATGAGAATGAATGTGAGATATGTACTCAAGGCAAGATGACACAGGCAAGGAGTAGAACCAATGATAGAAGAGCTACAGTCCCATTAGATCTAGTACACTCAGACTTAGCAGGACCGATCAGCCCAGAAGGCAAAGACGGTTTCAAGTATGCCCTGTCATTTATTGACGATTAGAGTGGGGTGATCATGATATATTTTTTGAAATACAAATCTGACACTATCAAAGCCACAAATCAATTTCTGGCTGATATTGCACCTTTCGGCAAAGAAAATGTATTAGAAGTGATAATGGAGGGAGTTTGTTGGACACGAGTTTAGAACCCTTCTGCGTGACAACAAGAATAAACATGAGACATGTGCTCCTTATTCACCTCACCAAAATGGGACGGCAGAAAGAGCTTGGCTAAGTTTATTTAATATGGCCTGGTGTTTGCTATTTGAGTCAAAGCTGCCAAGGACCTTGTGGACCTATGCAGTGATGGCATCTGTGTATATCAGAAACTGGTGTTTCAATGACCGGTTGGGTAAAACCCCTTATGAGGCTTTAACAGGGTTAAGACCTAATCTTAGGAAGATGCATGTGTTTGGTTCAGTGTGCTATGCCTACGTGCAAAACCCGAAAAAGCTTGAACCTAGAAGCAAGAAGGGGATTTTCATTGGGTATGATAAGTGTAGCCCTGCATACCTGGTGTATTACCCTGAAAACATGAAAGTAGAGAGAGAGTAAGATGCGTAAAGTTTTTTGATAGTATCCATGATGAGATTGAGAAGACTCCAACGGACGATGAAATTTACCAACCTTCTTACGCAACACCTACGTCAGAACAGCCTACTGCAGAAATAAGGGTAAACCTGATGATTTTGAAGGGAATGACACTGTAAGGTATCGAACCCGAACCCGGAATAGGCCAGCGTATCTAGATGAGTATGTAGTTGAAAACATAACCGATACCACAACTAAGCTTGCAGTCGATTATTGTTACAGGTTGAATGATTTACCCACTTCTGAAGTTCTAAAGATTCAGTACAGTGGAAAAACGCCATGGACGATGAATTTACCTCATTAGTGGATAATAACACTTTCACACTTACTGAGTTACCCCCAAATCGTGAAATAGTGGGTGTAAAAGGGTTGTACACAATCAAAACAGGCATGAACAATGAGGAGACGATTAAGGCTAGGTATGTAGCTAAGGGTTATTCTTAAGTCTCAGGAATTGACTATCATGAGACGTTCGCACCCACTGCTAGAATAAATTCAATACGTGTGCTGATTCAACACGCAGTCAAAACAATATGCAAGTACACCAAATGCATGTTAAATCGGCATATTTGAACGCACCCATTGATTGTGACATTTGTAATGATTGTGCCTCGTGTCTTTATAAGACTGAATTCAGACTACTCAAATTACAAATTAATCAATAACTCATGACATCTTTCCTTCTGAGATTAATCTAACACTTAACTGTAATAAGATTGTAATCTATATGTTGGATTAGCTAAGTGACAATGTTCTATAAGTAACTTAGGTATCTTGGCCAAATCTAGTTGGTGGTTTTACAGTCCTGCCATAGCGGGTCACATAAGCGTAGCTGGGTGGAGTAGAATGTTCATCCTCGCTTGTTCTTGTGTCCACAGGCTCACTATGGTGCACATGAGGCTCTTCAACTTCTTCTGGTTGGGAATTCTCAGCAGGTTCAGGAGTGACTAATATATCATGCCTGTTCCTTCGCAATTGGCCTCCGGTGTCAGTTTGAACAATATATGACCTTGGTGTCTCTGCCTTCCGGATCACCTGTCCTTTTATTTTCCAGCCTTTGCCATCGTGAAGACGAACATTTGAACCATCTGAAATCTCAGGGAGAGTTTTTGTATGCTTATCGTAGTACTGTTTCTGTATTATACCTTTCTTGGAGATTTCTTGGGTCTCTATTGAGGGTAGGCGAGTCTTTAGTTTCCTATTCATTAACATGGCTGCTGGAGCTGGAGTACCGTCAGGGCTTGTGCAGGCTCTGAAGTTAAGTAAGGCTAGGTATGGGTCATCACCAGACTTAATGGCTTTTTTCAAGAGGGTCTTGACTGTTTGTACTGTGCGCTCGACTTTTTCATTGGACCTCGGATGAACAGGACTTGAGGTGACGTGTTGAAATTCCCATTGCTTGGCGAAGTCTCGGTATTCCTTCGAAGCGAATTGTGGTCCATTGTCTGTGACTACTGTGTCTGGTATGCCGTGTCTTGCAAATATTGACTTTGTGTGCTTGATTATTCCGGCAGAGGTAGTTTCTGAAAGTAGACTTACTTCAGGAAAACTAGTATGGTAGTCGACAATTAGTAAATAGTCCTTGCCATTCATGTAGAATAAGTCACATGCTACTCTGCTCCAGGCGTGATGAGCTGGTGGTAGTGGCATAAGTGGTTCGCGTTGCTGTCGTTTTCTTGATTCTAGGCATGTTTCACAGCGGGAAATCATCTCAGATATTTCTGTAGCCATCCCTGGCCAAAAGATCACTTCTCTTGCTCTTGTTTTGCATCGTTCAATTCCTAAGTGTCCCTCGTGAATTCTCGCTTTCATCTCACGTCTCATTGAGGAGGGTACTATGATGCGGTTTGATCTAAGGAGGATTCCTTCAGCTTCTGATATTTCATCGATGAATGTCAGGTATGGCTTGACAGCATCAGGGATGAGTTGTTTGTTGGATGGAAGACCATTGGCAATTATGTTTTTCAGCTCTTGAAGAGTAGGATCCTTAGCAGTCTCGAGTTTAAATTCTAGTAGCTTGGAATCTGATACTGGCAGGTTGTGCAGAGCTGAGTGCACATGACAGTTCATGTCTTGCTCCGATATCTCTGGTGTTGGTTTACTTTCCAGGTATGCTCTGCTAAGAGCATCTGCAACAGGAATGTCCGTTCCTGGTGTGTAGTCAACACTTAGCTCATATCGCTGGAGCCTGAGCAGTAGTCTTTGCAAGCGCGGAGGAGCCCTGCATAGTGGTTTTGAAAAGATTGCTTTGAGTGGCTTGTGGTCTGAACGTACCGTGATTGGTCTGCCGTAGGTGTATTCGTGGAAGCGCTCGCATGCAAACACAATTGCCAATGTCTCTTTTTCTATCTGTGCGTAGTTTTGCTCACTTTGGGTAATTGCTCTACTAGCATATGCGACGGGCTTCCATGTGTTCTCTTCTAATTGCTCGAGTACTGCACCAAGACCTGATTTAGAGGCGTCAGCTGTGATCCTTATGGCATGTTTTGGATTAAAGTAGGTTAACACTGGACTGCTGGTGACGAGGTGTTTTAGATTTCCTATGGCTTGACGGTATTTCGTTTCGAAATGCCAGACGACGTCTTTTTCAAGTAGTTGTCTTAGCGGCGCTGTCTCATCAGATAGGCGCGGTAAAAACTTTCCGAGGTACGTCACCATACCGAGAAAACGTTGAATTTCGACTTTGTTGCTAGGCATGGGCATGTTGATTATTGCTTCTATTTTTCTAGGATCTGGCTTAATGCCTGCTGCAGTGATTACATGTCCTAAGAAGGTTGTCTCGGAAAGCCCGAAGCGACATTTCTTTTCATTCAGTTTAAGTCCAGACTTTCTTACTCTGTCAAGTATGTCCTTTAGTGCTTTGTCGTGCTGCTCTTTGTTCCTACCAAAGACTATGATGTCATCTTGGTCGTTTGCCGCATTCGGTATACCATCAATGATTTCAGCAACTTTCTTCTGAAACACTTCAACGGCACTGTGAATCCCGAATGCTAGGCGCTTAAAACAATATCGTCCAAATGGCGTGTTAAATGCAAGTAGTTTCGAGCTGGCTTCGTCGACTTTTACTTGCCAGTAACCGCTGGATGCGTCAAGCTTTGTAAATATGGTGGCGCCGCCCAGTTTGGTTAGGACTTCGTCCACTGTAGGCATAGGATAATGATGACGTTTTATGGCAGTGTTCAAATCTTTAGGATCAAGACAGATAGGTAACTGGCCATTGTCCTTTTCTACAACTACCATGGAGCTGACCCAATCGGTTGGTTCGTCAACTTTCTCTATGACATCAAGCTTGCACATGCGTTTTAACTCAGCTTTGAGACGTTCCATAAGTGATATTGGAATCTTTCGAGGTGGATGAACTACTGGCGTTACATTGGGGTCAATGCTAATGTGATGTTCACCCTTTAGGCATCCAAGTTCTCCAAAAACATCTTTGTACTCTTGTATGAAGTTTGGTGTTTTAGCATTTACGGTCCAAACTCGCTTTATAAGATTGAGGTCGATGCTGGTTTGTAACCCAATTAGTGGCGGTGAAGTAGTGTTTGCAACAACAAACGGTATTGCGTGGGTTTGATTGTTATGTTGAATGTCCAGCGTGCATTTTCCAACCACTGGAATATTCATTCCGTTATATGCTGTCAACGTTGTATTAGTTTTCTCAATATGCGGTCTAGTTGCTAGTTTCTCGATTGTTCCCATTGGTATGACGTTAGCCTGAGCTCCAGTGTCAATTTTGAACCGCGTGATACTTTCATTTGATCGCAGAGAGATAATCCAGTCACGATTTCCATCTTGCGTAATATTAGCCGCATTGACGGAGTTGTCTGTCACTTCCGTTGAGAGAGTTCCTATGAAAATGTTATTGGCATCGCCTGCGATCTCGTAATCGTGACCTTCATGACCTTCCGTGGTATAATGTACGCTGCGGGACGTAGATAAGCAAACAGAGGCAAAGTGATTCAATTTATGACACTTTGAGCATGTTTTCCCATATGCAGGACATTTTCCTCGTTGGTGAATTTCGCCACAGTATTTACAATTGCTGCGAGCTTGCGAAGATGCTGAAGTATATGCGCTTTGTTGTCGTGGGCGCATTGTATTGTTAGATTTCGTGCGTAGTTCGTCGACATTGTTCTGGTTTCCGGTGTGTGGTCTGCTTAATGTCATTGCTTGTTGCTTTGTTGCTTCTGATGCCTGACCAATTTTTATTGCGTTTTCTAGAGTCAAAGTCTCCGTCCTTGACAGTCGCTCTCTAAGCGGGTTGTCTGAGACCCCGATTACTATCATGTCTCTGATGAGTGATTCTCTAAGGTCGCCAAATTCACATTGTGCACTTCGTCTTTTTAGCTCGGTGACAAAGGCATCAAATGTCACCCCATCATGTTGCTTGTGCGTAAGGAAATTGTGTCGAAGTAGAGTGATATTTTTTCTCGGCTTGCAATATGCTTCAAACTTCTCCAATACTGGTTTCAATTTCAATTTGTCTGCCTCGTCAGAGAACGTAAATGTATTGTAGATCTCTATGCCGTGCTTCCCGATACATATTAGTAAAATTGACGTCTTGATATCTTCTGTTTTCTCGTGTGATTCTGTAGCTACCAGATAAAGCTCGAATTGTTGTTTCCATCTATCCCATAAATCTGATAAATTTCCTTCGAATATGAGTGGATCTGGGGGTATAAATTTCTCCATCTGACACCATGTAATGATTGTGCCTCGTGTCTTTATTAGTCTGAATTCAGACTACTCAAATTACAAATTAATCAATAACTCATGACAACATTTATGTTGAGCAACCAAAAGGCTACGAAAAATTTGGTTAGAATGGAGAAAAACTTGTCTACAAATTAAACAAGTCGTTGTACGGTCTTAAACAAAGCGGTAGGAGCTGGAATCAAACATTACACGACTACTTGACTGGGGACGGGTTTAGCCAGTCCCTTGCAGACCCATGTGTGTATTATAAGTTCGTAAATGGGGACCGTAACAAATGTATTATCATGATCATTTGAGTAGATGACTTAATAATTTCTGCAAGTAACTCAATCTTGTTGAAAGGCGTAAAAGAGGGTCTTTGCAAGTAATTCAAAATGAAAGATTTGGGCATTTTACATTGGTTTTTAGGCATTGAGTTTAAGTGTTCTGATGACGAAATGGAAATGAGCCAAAGCCGTTACGCAGAAAAAATATTGGCAAAATTTGAAATGTCCGATTGCAAACCCAAAAAGGCACCGTCACTTCTCGAACACGATAAATTAATGTGCATGGATTCACCCGAATTAGAGGATCCTAACTTGTATAGACGAGTTGTTGGGAGTCTGAATTACTTTATGACAGGCCTTAGGCCGGACTTATGCTATGTAGTTACCAAACTGTCTCAATACATGTCCAAACCGACTGTTGCATCATTAAATGCAGCAAAGCATGTCCTAAGATACCTTAGGGGGACACCACAATTAAATCTAACGTTTAGAAAGAGCGAGAACCCTTTAGAATTGGTAGGATACAGTGATTCAGATTGGAGGGGGAATGCTAGTCACAGGAAGAGCATTTCCGGATACGCTTTTCTATTGTCAGAGGGAGGACCTCTGATATCCTGGAAAAGCAAGAAGCAGCAGGTAGTTGCACTTTCTACTTGTGAGGCAGAATATATAGCTATGGCTGAGGCAGTGTAGGAAAGTAGGTTTTTGAAGCAACTATGTTGCGACCTTGGCATATTCTCAGATAGCAGCAGCGCGATTAGCAATGCCGATAACTAGGGAGCAATCAAACTAGCTACGAATCCAGCTTTTCATAAGAGATCGAAACATATTGACATTAAGTATCACTTCATTAGAAGTGAAACGCAGCGCACACGATAAACTTAAGGTACGTTGCAAGTGAAAATAACTTAGCAGACATATTCACCAAGGCGGCAAGAGAAATCAAACTAGATAGGTTCAAACATTTAATCTGCAATTAAAAGGACATTGTGAGCAAGGGGGGATGTTAGGTTATGCTCTCATGAGATGTGTATATGTGTATCTTGTAAAATGTGTGTTGACTTCCTACATGTTTAATTATAGAAATGATTTGTAGACGTAATCAATATTATTTGTAACAAGAGCTGAGGAAATAAACTGACCAATTATATTGTAGCGAGAGACTTGCCGAGCGGAAATCGAATTCGTGTGATAAAAATTAATGCCCAACATAAAGTTCTGATTAGAGCCATAGAAATAGACCAGAAAAATTGTAAAATTAAATTTATTGTGACGTTTCGTCTTTACTCAAGACATCTTCAGACAAATTATAGTTAGACAAATTATGACCAATATATTATGACCAATATATTAGACAAATTATGACCAATTATAGTTTAGCCTCACGTATGTAAGTAGCTGTATCTTTATGTGTATCAGTTAGTTGTCGTGTGCTAGTCTTTCTTCTATGTGTGGGAATAAATGTAATAAAACCTACAGACATCAGTGTGATTATTTATCATGGCCACTGCATCAAACCCAACATTGTTAACCTCATTACCGGGAATTAAGCAGGTACCTTTTTTATAAAAATGCCAACCATCCTCCAAATAAAACAGAAGTCATTAATGTATGTCACCCACTAAGAATATCCAACTGGTACAGGCTGACACAAATTTGGGCAGATCTACCATCTTCATTGCATTCTGGAATCTCGTGAAATAATAGCTTGTTATTTGAATGTATTTTAAATAATAAAATTGACATCGAGAGTTACATTCATAAAACAAATCTTGTTCAAACAATGACGTTTTTAATGAGTTTTTTATGAATAGTCAGTAAAATCGATGACATCAAAAATAGATGTTTTAAAGCTACCACTTGAGTGTAAATTTTTCGTTGTTTTGAATTTTAGGTGATCTTATTTTGTGATGAATGCCATTAACAGTGCTTTTACTGCCTTCTCCAATATTACCTTTTGTAAGATTAAGATAAATTTTCTCAGGGATTGAACAAAATTTTCATCAGCAGAAGAATTTTATATGACGTCACCATGAAATGCATTCGTCCAATGCTTTCTTACAATATTTAAAAGTCATCTTAAAAAACCTTTTACTGTGTACTTTTACATTGTATGCATTCTTTGTACGATTTGTCTTTGTACCATAGTCGAACAAGAAGTTCGCCTTTATAAAGAAGACAAACATTGTTTACAAAAATTAATCTTTCGTAAGTACTATACTGTTAGAATTGAGAACATTGTACCATTCTATAATTAATCATCATTTTAAAATTTATCGTCCATGTTTTGACCATTACATCATGACAACATTAATATCGTTACAACAGCATATTCCCTCTGCACTGTACAGAATTTACAATTAATCCATCAATCAAACAGAATTTGCAAATTAATTGTGAATTCGTGTATAAGAGGAAAAATTTTAACGTTTGCTTGGAAGAACGTGTCTTTTCGCATTCTAATTTAATAAAATAGATAAAAGATGTTATTCATGTTTGTACTGGCTTATGCAAACCTCGGAGACGTTTGTGAGAACCCTCGAGCAGGTGCAACCTTTGGTCTTAGGCTTGCACTGATCTGCTCTCAATTCCTCCAAAAGATCATCTCGGATTGTCATAAGACAATGCAAACACAGCAAAAATCTCTTATTTCTTAAAGAATAATTTAAATGTGCTTTCTTGTTGAATTTACAGGGTTTCCTAAACATCACCAGTAACAAAATATGAATTAAAGTGGTTGTGGCGGACAGATTACACTACGTTTGCTCGCTATAGAATCAACCGTTGGGGCGTCGTCCCACGTCATTCTTCGTTTGTTTTCTTTGATTTCTACACCAACTTTCTTGATATGACGTTCTAAGATATCTAAGCAATACTGAATATGATTTCCAATGCATGGATGGGGGAAATTAACCCTTTGCGTATCTGATTTGAACACATTACATAAGCGCCTGAGATTCGATCGCGAATATATTTTACACATGTCTTCCTTCCTGCCGGCTTCACTTATCGACAAACAGCAGGAAATTGGAATGAGTTGCACATATATACGCTATCCGTATTCAACGGTCCATGGTAGGCAGTTTGGTGCTGACGTAATAATAGACTTCCATCAACTATGTCACTATGTTGAAGTCTGTGACCCTCAGGCAAACGATTGTTGTAGACATTTATGTCACCAAACATTTCTACATTCCATTCGTAACGCTCTTTCTTGAATAACCATGCATAGCTCAAGATAACAGATACAAAAGAAATAAAACTAGTGCCTGTGTGGTAAAATTTATTAAACGCTTCATCGAAGTTATCTGTCTTGAATTTTTTCAATATGAGTTCTCTGCAGCGTGTTATCGTGTCACGGTACATGTACACAGGAAAAATGTCATAGAATCAACTGTGGGAAACCAATTGCCATCTCTGTCGTTCTTGCTCATGATTGCACCCAGCCTATTCCCATTGTACAGTCAGTACCAAGGATTCTTACCTTGCCATTCTGCATTATGGTTGACATGGTAACTGGCAGAATGAATGGCGAACCACTATCCAACCAAGCTAAAACCTCGTCATCTGTGTAAAGATCTATGAAAAAGCTGCTCCACAACTGACGATTATAATCAGGTGGTTTTACCTGGCCATGAAAAGTTAAACCGTCGGATCTTTGGATAGTGTCTCGTATTCAACTGTGAAAGTTTGGTAAGGAAAATGTTCTTCTATCTTATTGAATGATGTTCGACCAAAGGCGTGATCCTCCTCCGATTCTTTATCAAAAACAAGAACCATTTCGCCCAGGGATCCAAGCCAGAACAGAGATACTGTCTTCAAAATATTGCAGAAAAATAGTTCTTTGTGGCCTTGTCTTTTACGTGATATTCTCAGGAATAGCGAAATAGAAGAATACCAATGTTTATTTTGTAAACTGCACCTTGTCGTTCTTTTGTCCTCCATGTTTTCTCGCTATGGTTGGACAAGCTGTTTCGTGTTCAGACAAATATACATAGCATACAAGAAATGAAACATTATTCCCATTGAAATCGGGCTGAGCCCAACCAAAAGTGTCCCACAATAGAAATAATTTGTCGGATTAAAAGTTCAAAATAAATGAGTTCAAATTTCAAAACAGTTTTCATGAATTTATTGCTGATGTTGAAAGAATAATCCAAATCTTTAAAAAGCGATTTCGGTTTAATTGAACTCAAAATTTATTTTATGAGCAGTTGCGTAGAAACAGTGTGCCGTTTCATGCTTTTCGCATGTTAGTCGGGCTTTCAAAATTCAGCTCGACCATACAATATAATTTATAGGAAGAATATTCCTAATTATTATATATTTAAAATGTTCTCAACTATGTATATAATTGTAAAGCTCTGATTTATTAGATATCCTGAAGAATATCATGAGCATGCTCTAACTCGCAGATGTGGAGCATATAGTCACGCTCATTTTGTAGAGCCCGACTTCAGCCTTCGACGATAAAAATCGGCAAAATAAGGTATTCTAAATATGTTAGCAACGGATTCACAGACTCACACTAGTAATTTACTTAAGATTTACTTAATTTGAGGTGAAATTTAAAGATAACGAAAACTTCATGAAAACGAGCTTTTGTCCATTCGACAAGCTGACGAACATTGAATTATTTAAAGCCCAAACAATTTGGTTACATATTGTATAGTTCTATACTAGCTAGAAGTTGAACTCCTTGCAGTTGCTATCATTTCTCGCAAAGAAAGATTGATTCTATTGTACTTTTCAAAGCAGGCTATGTTTTGCTTGCGGTGTTTCGTGTATTTGTGGTACTTCAACATCATTGACGCGGACAGTCCCAGATTAGACAAAGTACGACTTTGCAATTAACATCGCACAATATATGAATCGACATTTCTCTTTAAGTTAAAGACGTTGGACATGGAATATTTTTGGTTTTGGACGTTGGGTACATTCCATTTACAAATTAGTCAGGCATGTTGCAGATTCAAGCTTATAATGAAGGGGTAATTGTAATAGGGTGAAACTATAAAAATGCTGATTGAAATTTATTGTCTGCACAAGAGTCTGCATACAAAGTGCATGATGAGTCAGTTCTGCGTTTTGCGTCGCACAAAAATTTAAAGCGTGCTACAATTTTAATATGAAGTCTCAAGAAAAGGGAACATTAGCAATTCTATTTTTGCTTCGAAGCAGATGTAAACCAAGGTATGAAAACGAAAAAAGGTTCGAGTCAAAGAAAATTTAAACCACTGAAAGAACTAACTTATACAAGAAATTCGGTCGAATAATCAGGAATAATTTTTTTAATACTTTCGTCATACCCCTTCGAATTGGTCTTGTTGGGTAATATACTTGAAAAAGAAATCTTTATAGGCTACCATGAGCCTGTAAGTCCTAAAGAACACCTCGCCTTTTAAAGTGGTTATATCACGAATTTTAGCCACCCTTTTTTATGAGCTTAATTGAAAATTTGGATTATTTGAAGAACTATGACATGCCGCTGGACTTAAACAGATAAATATAAGTTGCTTAATTTTGCTTCCAAAGTCGGGTACTATTTGCGAATTTTTTACGACGCCATATTGATACTTGTGACATAGATAGTTGAACACGTCTGTTTCCGTCAATATAATATTATATTATAGAAGGTGATTTTGTTGTCGTTTTTCTTGTCTTAAAAACAAATAATGACAGTATTTTCAATAAAATATTAAAAAACAAGTTGTCCGGAAAGTATGGCCTCAAATCAGTGCTCAGATAATTCGAATTCGATGTCTGAATGCGTATCTGATTGGAGCTCGGAATCCGTGGGTTATGTCGAGCATTTAAACGACTTCGCATATGACGATGAAGCGCTCGCAGGAGATGGTGATGAAGTGCATACTCCAGATGATCCCGATGGAATTATCCCTGCGACCTTTGAACAACGAAGTGATGGCGTAATTCCACTAGGTGAATGGTAAGTTGTTGTTTTCTCCTGTTTGTAATATACATAAAGTTACTTTATAAACCAGAATGCTCCCACGTTTCGGGTGTAATTGTCAATGCTGTCATACCGATTTGTTAGAAGGCGCATTAGAGTACAGATGCTGTAAGGAAATTGGACCAGCTTTGCAGAAAATGACATTCGATGGCAGCATTGAGAAAATATCATGCATAACACAGCATGCCAAATTTGGGCCTTTAGTTCATGAGGCTGTCCTTGAAAACGTCGGGCCACTATTGAGAGATAGGAATGGACGTGCTTATCGCCGCCAAGCATCACAATCATTAAATATGTAAGATTATAAATTGTATGAGAAACAATGTTATAATCAACATTGTTTCATCAACAATAATTAGTGCAACCTTTTTATTTACTTCAGGTACTTGAGACCTGTGGCATACAGATGGTTGATGCGATGGTTTTGTGGGTCTATGGGATGGGAGAATACTCGGCCTTTACCTGCTTGTGTTTACCACTTTATTCGGAAAGCATATCCAAGTGGTAACACAACAGGTTACATACCATCAGAGGGGTGATGATGGAATAGTCTTCTAACTTGTGCACTGTAGAGACTGTTGACCTTCTTTGCTGAGTTTGGAATGGTCAGGAAATATGCCTAGATGAAAACCAAATAGGAGATACATGGATGCACTATATAAGTTGACATGCAGTTTAATGGTTTGAAACAAGAGTAAACAATAAAACAAATTGGTGCAACTACTGAGAGGTTAAGCTGAAAGAATTAAATGAAAGAATATCTTTTCTTCAATGTCAGTCTGGGAAAAAGACAAAAGAAAAATATATGGAATTGAATCATAGCATAAATGTAAAATGGAAAATAGCAAGCCGTTCAAATGGCGAATCGTTTGCTTCCCAGTGCATGCTTAAACATGCTCAGCTTCATCACTAGTAGATGGTACTTCCTCATTGAGAGAACATGTTTCCTTCAGCGATGGCTTATGGAGAGTATGTCGAATAATCTACAAAACTTATATCGAGTTTACATATGACAAAAGAAAAATTAACATAAACAAGCGTAAACTTACTTGTCTTCGCTTTCGATCGGTTATTTCGTCCTGTAATGGTTCAGGAATCCCAGCCACGTCAATGGATGGGATAGCATCTTTCTTCATCCTTCTTTTGAGCTTGACTTACACGCTCAAATTAAGGTCAAAACAAGAATCTTCAAAATGCGCAGAACACAGACACGAGGTAGAGGAAGCCTAAAAACCCGGTCTATGTTTACGCACAAAATTTACCCATTGTCTATGTCTTTGCGGCTCTGTTTCTTTTTTAGGAAACAGATGCATCGACATTCCTTCGGTTTTTGAGTCATTGGCGCAACTAATTTCATTAGGTCCGCCAGCAACACAGCGTTTTCCTCCGCGTTTCTTATTAAGATTACTAGTAGAATACGCCATGTTGATATTTGTGTTCAACTTTCTACGTCACAAGTCATAAGCATACCGATCAAAAAGTTCGCAAAAAAAATGCTGAAAATCGTGACTTTCAACGTCCGTAAAATCACTTTCACCAATCCAATTTCAATTATAATTGCAGATTTAAAATCACTGAAACAAGGTCTTTCAATTTAGCTAATAAAAAAGGGGGGCTAAAATTCGTGATATAACCACTTTAACAACACGCGACTCGCAACGAAGCATATATAGACTTCAGTTTTCCACTTGGTAATGCCAAGTGAGACTGCATTACCTTGATTTTCGTTTTGGCATTTACAAACTTTTACAATACGCAAATCAAACTAAATACTATTCTCGAGAAGCCTTAGTGAAAGCCCCATAGGTGACTTTTCTTTTACACCATGTATACATTTAAGTTTCCAGTTGCACGAAAAAGACTAGTATCTTGTGTCATGAACTAATTAATAGAAATACAGATAAATTTTTAAAGCAAGTAGAAGTTGCTTTGACACTAAAATCTTTTAAAAATATAACATTAATCTTGATGACTCTTCGCGAAAGTTGATGGGCAAACTCAACAATTTATTATGACAGCCAAAAAGTATTTTAGTAAAAGCAAAACTATTGACACTCGGCACACCATTTTTATTCTAAAAGTTTTGACAAGTGTTATGTGTCAACAGGACAAAAGCTCAGCGATTTACAAATTTGATTGCCCGGGATGGGATGCTTCTTACATTGAAAAAAAAAACAAATGCCTTTACACAAGAATTAAAGAGCATGCACAATCTAATAAATCTGAGCTTTACAATTATATACATAGTTGAGAACATTTTAAATATATACATTCCTTACAGGCTACATTTGTCTGCTAATCTTTTGGATTGAAAATATTCTTTCAGTTTAGATGATAAAATTTTTGAAAACTGTTAAATTACTAATCGTTCTTAATTATTATTCCTAATTATTATTCAAAGATGTTTATGACATTCGTCGTATAAATGGTTCACTGGAATTAGCTATTTCATTTAAAACATGCGAATGAACAGTTAATCACGATTTGAAAATTATGAAAAGTTCCCATTTTCTACTAATGATGACATGTAACACTTTTTATTCGAAACGTTTAGAATGAAAAAATATATTTACTTTATACGCAGTATTAATTGTTTTGTGTTTTACTCAAACTCAACAAATTTTGTATTAATAAAATAGAAACAATTCACGACTACAGACATCGCGGAGCCAGCTCAAAAGGAGTGGTGAAGGAGGTGGGGGAAGGGCAGAGCCCTGTATTAGGAAAGTTGGGACACCGGAAGTAAAATTGCCTTAGCGTCCGCCATTTTTGTACCAAAAGCCAGCAAATATAAACCATAAATGGCGGAAAGACAAATTTTCTGTTTTATTTTCTAATTCACAAATAGACAGCGATCCCTACATTTAGAATTCAGTTGTTTATAAATGTCATTATAATTGAAAGCATTTATTTGATGCATTAGATGTAATTTATACACCGTTAATACTGCTTTTGCCACAAGGGAGCGCATATGTTTCTATTCTTCATTGCTTTGATTGGCACTATTATAACACAACCAAAAATCATAGCAAACATTTTTTTATAATTTATTTCCTATGTAAAAGACGGTTATAATTTGCGCTTTTGGAACGAAAATGGCGTCTAGATGCCCATGTGACTATATCTACCCAATCACTTTGATCATAATGCAAAATGCAGACAACAATACGTGTCCCAACTCTTACAAATACAGGTCTCTGGGAAGGGGGAGAGTAGCACGAGAATATACTCGATACGTGGAAGGCTGAATTTTACCCAATAAATAGCTTCTCTATGGAAAACGTGGAGGGAATGCCCCACCCCCCTTAGTTCCCCACTAGGTCCACGGACAATGCCTCCCAGAAAGAGCCTATAATGCAGATAAAATTCTCAGACACTTTCGTTTAAGTGTGTTTGCAAGTGTTTCTTCAAATTATCACATCGTCCGAAAGTCTTCTGACAGACGTAACACTGGTATGGCTTTTCACCGGTGTGTGTTCGAATATGTTGTTTTAAGTTACCTTGAAGAGCAAACGACTTGTTACACACATCACACTTGAATGATTTCACTCCAGTGTGAATGGCTTCATGACGTTTCATGTCGCTCAATTGACTGAAAGTTTTTGCACATACGGGACATTTGTGCGGTTTTTCCCCGGTATGAATCATTTCGTGGCGCTTGAGATTGTACGAATTATTGAAAGTCTTACCGCAGCTGTTGCATTTGTACGGTTTTTCCCCAGTATGGCAAAGTTTGTGCCGTTTGAGGTGACTCGAACCACTGAATATTTTTTTGCATATATCGCATTTTCGTCGTTGCTCTCGCGTATGAATTTTGTAATGTCGATTAAAACATTTGATATCAATGAACTTTTCACCGCATAGATCACATTCGCGAGGTTCATCTGACATGTGGAGTTTCTCATGTTTAATAAAACTGCCATACTGAAAATATTTTTTACCACAGATGTTGCACTGAAACGGTTTTTCACCTGTGTGGGTTATAACATGCATCGCAAGTTCGCTCGAGTATTCAAAACTTTTCTCGCAAATGTCACATTGATGCTTGGCAGGCGATTCTTTGTCGTCCATGTTTTTCCAGTTCGTACCAGTCTGGCCGTTTCCCCTGCAGAAATTGAAGCAAGTCAGAAATCAAGAAGTATCAAAGAACCATGAGGCAAATATTCAAATACTTGGATAATTTTTCAAAGGTAACTGAAACATATCACAAGATTCAAATCTTCAGCAATTTTATTACTTGTGCAAAATTTTGCAATATTTAATATTTACTTTGTAAGCAAAAATGTCTTCAGCTTAATGGTTTCAATTCTTTTGTTTATCTCCCCCCACACCTTACGAAAGAATTTTTTATACCTCACATGAAGTGCTTATTCCACAAAAAGCAACTTCGCCCTCCTGTTTTGTGTAGGTCACTGAAAACCATTTATACAAAACATTGTCAAGGAAGGTATGCATCCAAGTAAAAGTTTTTTGTGATTAACACATGAGATATATGTACCATAAAATTACATTAATATGAATAGACCAAGGTATATGCTGTTAAGCCAGGCTGGAGTTTCATTGCTAGTGGTGGGCCGGTGGTCTGTTGCAGCCAGTGTCAAAGCCACCTTGCTATGCTACCAATAAATGAGGTTGTTCCATGTAAACATCAGACATTAATATTGGCATTACTTATTTCTTATTGCATTAACTAAGAATCAACCACAAACTATTAGTAATGCATTATCAAACTTGTGGTGTGGCTATGACACCAGTTAAATCCAGGAATCTCGCATTTACCATACAACTATTGAAGCCTTAATAGCAAAAACATAAAAAACATCACCATGTCCAGCTTTGATAATGTTTGAAGTGATACCTATGATAATAAGAAATTAATTTTAGCATGCTTAATTTTACATATTTAAGTTACTCAATAATTGTTCACTGTAGAAAGCCTTCAACCCTTCAACTGATTTGTGATTTTGTTTTGATGTGCCTCCATCCCAAAGCAATTTGCTTTCACGGTCCCTAATAGTGCTACCCAAATGTGTGTATAAAAAGAGCTTTCACATAAACCAGTGCATTTCAAAAGATAATTACAGTGATAGTTTAAGAAGTTTAAACTTATATCAACTTTAATCAAAATCTATCTAGGAAGAAATACATAATTATGAGCATCATCAACAAGAATGGAAATTTAAATTAATATAATTTATAGTAGAATTTTAAAGGCAATGTGAAGACAAAGTCTAAAACTTTACTTCCCAGTAACATTATCATTTTCTAATTCTTGCATAAACTTTCCAATACTTTGCAACATTATTTTTGGCAAGAACGAAAGATGCTCTGCCACAATTAACACTGACATTCATGGAACTAAAGCCAAGTTAATGAGCAAATTGTAATCAAGTTGAGAAATAACTTTTTTAAGAATGTTCATTCTTAAAATTTTCTAATTCTTAGCAGGTATTCAAACAAGCTTTACATTCCCTAACAAATGATTTCAATTAACATGCTCTAGTACAATACAGCAAACTCTTGTGGTGGGGAGACACCTATCCAAGGCTAATTTGCAATTAACATACAGGAATATGTTTGCTTAAAGCATACTTGCCAGAGTAAACACTTCATAGATAATTTGAAATGTCACAAGCTTTTAACTTAATACAGTCAACTGTATTCCAAGTTAGCTTACAACAAAAGTATGAATTCATTGTAGATTTAGACAAACTTTATTGAGTATTGATGATGTATTGATGACTGAGCAATTAATCTAAGCAGTAACTCTTGTTTGTTTTTTACATAGAAGAGAGCCAATTACAACGAACTAGTCGCTAAAAAAACAATGACTAGCAGCTACTAATTCACGCATTTTCCAATCATTAAAGTACTTGTACATAATATCTTTTATTTTAATGGCGACCGAATGATTTGCTCCCGAGTAGAAGAATAAACATCAACCAAATGAATTTCTAGTTTTTCTATACTACAAACATGGTAGACAAAGTCATTCGACTTCCTCACCTTAAAATAAAGATTCAAATCCTCCTATGCATTGATAATGGAAAATATTTCAAAAATCAGGCAACTTGCAGTATTTGGATAACCTTCAAAAGAATACCCACTCCATAACAGTCAACATAACTGAAAATACTTAAAGAAGAAGAAGAATATCTTGCGTAAAATAAAATCTTGTTAAAAATGTTTATTTCTCGACATGTGTCAAAGTTTCCACTTTATCAAGTGTATTTCATGTACTTGTTATCGTTTTGTGTGTGAAGCTACGGATACACGAACAATTTTTCATTCAGAAACGCAAAATCGGCGTTCAAAGAAATAAAAAAATTCTCGAGAAGATATAACAACTTTGCGATCGTTCGATTAAAAAATTTACATTTTGCGGTTACTAAATTATTCGTAATAACAAACAAGCACTTTCAAAAATAAATCAATATACATTGCGTGCTTTGGACTAGAAGGAGATTGAAATTCAGTGTCAAGGTGTCGACTCGTTGAGCAGCAGGGTATCTGGAAATGAACATTGAGTTCTATAACAACTGGAGCGGCTATCTCAATTCATTGAACTAAAAATACTTACAGATGTATTTTAGCTCAATGTCTCAATCACGTAAGATCACGGCTTCAGCATTGAGTTCTATAATAACTGGAGCGGCTATCTCAAGCGAGGCTTTAGATATCGGAGGTTGTCGAAAAAATGGTGGAATGGACCATTGAATTATAAATATACTGGAACATTTCATGTCGATATGTTCAATAAGTCATGTGACATCATATGAAAGATGCGCAAAATGGAATAGTGGGGATATAAGGTAGCTCAAATATATTCTAAAGCTCACTTTAAATTCAAGAGGCATTTTAACAATGCTGTTGATAAAAAATTTCTAAAGAATATTTAAAACAAAAGTACTCTCTCCAAAGTATTTTGAAATGGAAATATATTCTCAGTAATATATTCTGACCCACCCGGATCCGCCACTGAACTGGAAGATCAGAATCAGGTAGTGCTTGAGACATGACTACTTCGCTCCAGACCAATAGCTCATAAAACCGAAATGTAACATCAAGTAAGGTAGTCTTGTTTGATTTCTGAGTTCTGTTTTGTCATTGGTCTGGAGACGATTGTATTATAGCGTTAACTGCTTTTTACATACACTTTTTGCTGTTAAAAAGTAGTTATGTACTCAATGGCGTAATCAGCCCGCAAGTTTTGGTCCTGCTATGTAAATATTAGGTCATTAAAAATATTCATTTCTTTAGAAATCTTTTGATTTCACAGTGAGTAAACAAAAAAAAAATTAAGTTAGCAGGACAAAATTTGCGGGCCAGCTACGTCACTGGTTATACTAAATCACGCAGTTAAGTCAGTGGTATAAAAAAGTAATTATTGTCAACTGCAGTTAAAAATTGCAAAAGTTAATTATACTATGCAGCTATTCTCATTCTGCGATTACATGAGAAAATTGTCAAACAGGGCTGAAATTTCAACCCAGATTGATAAACCTGACCTGAAATTTCTCACTGGCTGTAATTTATCACGAGCTCAAAATCTGAAATGAAATCTTTCAAACGTTCCTGGTAAAACCACTGCTAAAAAACGTTCTTGGTGAAACGTTCTTGGTGAAACTACTGCTAAAACTTAACACATGCGTAGTCGCGTCCTGTTAGCGTTTACGACCAGAACGTTATTTGTGTAAGAGTTTGGACCGTTGATATCTATAATAACTGGAGCGGCTATCTCAAGGGGCGACCTTAGATATCTGATGACGCCAAAAAATGGCGGATTTCGTCCTTTGCCGCTGAGATTTACCGAAATTGATCGCTTTTCCGAAAATTTCACAACTTCGCACTCCCTCCTGAGGAAAAAGTTAGGAAAATGTATGTGTGTATTTGGGATTCGGCAAGCATTTTTTTGATGAAAATCAAGGTAAAAACCTTAAATTCATAACAGCGAGTCAACTGTGGTTGTCAGTTATCTGCTCCTACGAGGATGCATTTATAACTATCGACGAAAGACCTATATGTCGGCTACACATGTATGAATGCAGATGTGCGTCGTTTTCTTACCAGCGTCAAACTTGTTTGATCGATTAAACTCTTTAGTCTATAAAAAAAAGTATATCATAGTTCATCTCCACGGTTCACGAGAGAGAAGTTAGCTTATTTGTTATCATTGCTATTTTGCTTCTTTTCATGGAATGGGCAATAGCTTTTTTCGCCACAAGTGTAGGATTTTTACTTGTTTCTTTAAAAAAGTACATATTAAATCTCTGAGTATTTACGGATTTTCTGTAATTGAGTTTCATATGAAATTTCAAAAAGACTCAAGTCTGCATAGGTTTGGTAAATGAAAACAAACAATATTGTATAGAAATTACTTTAAGTAACCTATTTTTGATGTTCTGAAGTGCAACTGCATCAAATACTTGTAAAGCTGTAGCACATTTTGATTTTGTTGTATTGATATCTGAATTGGGCAAAATGCAAATAATCATCAAAACACTTATGCTTCCAATGGTGTTTATAATTCATTTTTAGTTTTAATACTTCTACCCTTCTTTTTCACTTTGTTTTGTTTTTCCTATATTTGCAATAAAAGTGCACTATAATTTGAATGATTAACGCAGTTTTCACCTCAATAATAAATTTCATAAGCAGTTGGCAGTGCATTTTGTTCTCTGAGTATCCACATCTGGTGTTTTCTTCATACAAGAATGATGAAGTGCAAGTAGATATGTCATAGCAAGGCAATAAAACCAAATGAATTACATTGCTATAGTATACTTTTATGCTAGAAGCTTAAAAGCTTTTTAGAAATTAGAAAGTTATTGGATTATATTACCTCTATATCATTAATCTCATGATAAGAAATAAGAAGCAAAAAACTTGTAGAAAAGCTTTGAAAAGTGAAAAACGTTTCTTTAAAAAAGCAGCAATAATGCATATGATAAATCTCCATTCTGTACTCTAATAGGTAAATAAGCTCAAAATTTTCTTAAATAAATATAAGAAATATATAAGAAATATACAGTACAGTAATTTTACAGGTTTCATCACTGAATCTTCAATGCTTCAGTATAGTGCATTAGATGTTAGTAACATTCAAACAACACTCAACTAAAATATTTTGATAAAGATATGACATGATTTAAACATTAAGTTACATAAAACCCAATAGCTTATACAGTTTGAAGCTTCACATCTGCATTGAGTCATCATCAATCTCAGTACAAATGTTTACATAGACACAAACTTTATGGCCTTCCATTTTACATGTTTGTGAATTGACATTTCATT